AGCCTTTCTCCGCTACACTGTAAAGCTTTGATTCGGTCGATGTCGCAAAATTTAAATGTCCAGACACAGAAACAAAGGCAGATTAAAATCGACATAAAAAGGTAACGTTTACACTAAAACAGACATCCGACCCAGTTCTGTGAACATTGGAGTCTTAACTTTGATTGAGAATTGAAAGTAAACACCGCGGTCAAGTTTCAATACATTTTTTACAGCGTTTAAATACATGCAGCAAAATCTCGGCCCATCCATGGGCCCGTCGGGGACAACGGGTTAAGTACTCAGACATCTAAGTAGAGAAGTAACAGGACATGCTCGAGAGGCAGTACATCTACTGAAAAGTGAACTACTCTCTTTATTTTATTTTATTTTATTTCATTTTAGCGATTGCCTTGTCTGAATATTAGGCAAGGGCTAATATAACTTTCGTAGATGTCGCCATCTTGTTTCAGGCCTATGATTTTGCTTTTTTCCAACTTGGTAACTGAAAGGCTGGTAACTTGGGTGTGACGTCATTTTCAGTTCGGACTTCTGACTTTTGAGGTAACTTGAACCCTGTCCTTTCTCTGTCCATTCTCCTTGGGAGTAAGAAATCTAATACCATTGTCTTTCTCTTCTTTGTGTTTGAGTCATTTGTTGCAGGTTTTAGACCCAACATTTTCTTGGTCCTTCGAGCCGGATTCCAATAGACTTGACGATTCCAACAGGTGAGGTGGATGACAGATAAGACTGTGGCCACGGCAGACTCTCTAGGTTGAGTCTTATAGACCTCTTTGAGGAACTGGACTCGACCCGCCTGCTGGGATCTGACGGTTGACGGAAATCCGAAGAAAGGATCTATAAAATCTATAAAAGACAGAAAGGACAGCGGAGTCCTACTAGACGTAGTTTAAATTCTGTAAAATAAGAAAGGACGGCGGAGTCCTACTAGAAGTAGTTTAAATTCCTTAAAATAAGAAGGGACGAACGGGTCCTAGAAAACCATTGCAAAAGGACGGCGGAGTCCAACTAGAAATAGTTTAAATTCCGTGTCAAAAGTATGATTGTGAAAGTGTGGGAGTGATTGGAATACAGATATATCACTAGACATATCCTATTCATACCAAAACAGTGGGACTGTAAGTAGTGACCTTATTGTAGAAGCAAAGGCAAGAATTCTCCACTCGCAAGAGTAGAAGTGAGAATTACCACATAAGGGAATTTATCACTACCCCATTGAAATACCCAGCCTAATAGGATACCCTAGGTGTCGCCTAGGCTGGACCAAAGCACATAAAAATGGGAACAGGATCCAGTAAGACTAAATTGGAAGAATTAAGATTGGAGAATCTTTGAGAAAAAGCCCAAAAAGTTACAATTTCTCGAATTATGGATAACCAAATTTGGGTTTGACGGCAGACTAAGAACAAGCCAATTAATTAAACTACAAGACTCCATAAACGAAAAAGCAAAGGGTGATATAAAGAAAGCACAAAAATATGGGTGTCAAATGGTTGATGAATGGAAAAAAGTAGCAAAAGCAAGGGAGGACGGAGAAAAGAGGAAAAGAGAGGAAAGAAAGAGGCAAGAGGTAGAGAAAAAGGAGCAGAAAGTGCTGTTCCACAGGAAAGAAGATGATGAGACAGGACCAGTAGGTAGACGAAGACAACCTCCCTACAATCCTAATTGGGAGGAGCGTCAGGAAAAAGAGAGACAGGAAGAAGAAGAACAGGAAGAAGAGAGAAGAGGGCCAGATGTAAGACAAAGATTGTATCCAGAAGTGCCAAAACTGAGAAGTACCAATCCATTTAAAACTGACCAGACCAAATCTTCCGAAGAACCCCTTCTGTATGACCTCCGGAGCGGAGAGTCTTGATATCAGTGGTCTAAAAAGATGGGAGGAGATCCACTGACTCCCACAAGAAAACCTCCCGGAGAACCATGTGAACAGTACCCCATGATCGAGGTGGCAAATCCAAACATTGCAGAAGGCCAGCAGCCTCGCATTCTGGTGTACAGAACATGGAACATGGAGGACATAAGTAAAGCCTTGCAAGGTGTGACCCCTCACAAAGAGGATGCTGCACAATTTGGCAGGGATATGGAAGACCTTAGACGGTCTTACCATTTAAATGGCACTGAAACACAACAGATTTGGATGAGAGCTTTGGGCCTTGATTGGCATTGTGTGCGGGGGGATTGGGACCCAAATCAAGGGGGAAATCCCTTGGCCCACAATGACAATGCATTAAACCAATGCTGTAGCAATCAAGACAACCCTGGGTGTGAAACTCACACATTCCTCAAAGGGAAGTTTCCTTATCTGGTCCCAGGAAACAGGATATAAATCTTTCCAGACTTGTTTGCGTTACCTAAGTGACCCAACCGGAGGTTGACTAAACCTCTGACTCTTCACGATTGGTCGATTCGGAGAACAGAGACAGAGTTTTTATTACCTTTTAAACTGACTCCATTACTGACCATCTAAATAAACATTAACGTCTCAACCCAGATCTCCCATTTGAGATTTACCTTCTTAAAGTGTGTGAACATACGGACCCCAGGATAAGGGGGGGCACTGACCTCCAGACCTCGGTCGTAAAACCCTGCTCGACCATGCACTGATAAAGACTACATTCCTTTGGTGAAAGAATACAAATGACTGATCCTGACATCTTATGCATTCAGCAATGTACTAATCTGTCTAATCATGAAATTTGTGTTAAAATGAGGTGTTTCCCATTTTTCTATGTGCTCCAGAAGCCGAGTTATCACTGACAGAATAAATCCTTTTATTCTTTAGTTTCTTTAGACCAACAGCTTTTTAGACTGTTTCATGAACTTTTAAGAGTTAAATTTATTGATTGTGACTCATAACTTAACTCTAATTAACAGAAATGGTTTAGAAATGTTTGTTCTATATTTTAATCGTTTATTTAGTATTTTTAACCATTAGGTGGTTATAATGTCATTGAATAATCTGAATGTGAGTATTTAGAATCCATTATTAATCATGATGAAGTTCATTCACATGTGTTTACTCTTTTGTTATTCACAGTTTCCATGTGTTACTATCTGTTTCATTTCAGAGTAATTTAGCATGTTCAATGTGATACTTAAAACATAATGAGAATGTTTGATGTGATCCTACACTTCATTCATATGTGTTTAGTATCAAATTATTTATCATGAAACCTAGCATTCAATGATATTAATCATAGTGAGTGAGTATCAGATCTGACTCTTTTACCAGCCAAAAGTATAAGTTAGATCAAATAATCAGAGATCCAAGGTCCTCTCTGCTTGGAGACCACACGACCCTCCTCCTCTGTCTCCTCACACACACAGGCCGGAGACACTCCCAGTGTGAGAAGATAAAACCAGTGAAGTGGGGTTGCTCCTTCTCTTTTTCCCTTGTTCGCTCTTATGTTTCTGCTCTCTCTTCTGCCCACACCCTTCTGTGGTGCGCTTCTTTGTTTTCTCTTAGAACTTTTTCTTAGACTTCTAAGTTTTACGCCACGTGTTGATTCACGTTGATTTTTCTTTAACATCGTCTTAGTTCAAGTTTTGAAACTTCAACTTTTTACGCGCATAGCAATTCAAGATTAAGCCTTTGATTGATTTTTCTTTAATTTCGCGAAGCCATTTTTGAAAGTTTTCTCTGCTCGAGTCTCGTTTTTTTTCTGAGTTATCTGCGTGATTCAAAGTCACCTCTGAACGCAACCCAGCAGGCCCAGGTCATCCTCTGTGCCAGAGTTTTTGAGTGAGACCAAAGAAGTACCCAAACAAGCATCCACAGGATCCACAGGCGCTGGCTTTACTTCGGGCCTGAGTGCTGCAACTCCTGGCTCATCCTTCGGCTGACCTCAGTCGTCTTCTGAGCTGAACCGCTCGAACCGCCAGTAGCCCCGGACCTTCGGAACCTGCTCCATCTTCTCCCAGGACCAGTCTCACTTAAGTATGCAAACCTCCAGAGCTCCAGACAGGGCTGATGCTGTCTCACGCGTTCATAGCTCAGATATCCTCTTATTCTGGTAATCTTAGATTCCTCCAAATCCACATCCGAGTTTATCTCGACACCAAAGTTAGTGTAGGTTAATATGTTAGCGCATATTCACTCACTATCATTAACTCTAGTGCTCCTAGCCTGACTCAGAATCTTTATTTATTCACCTATTATTATTTATCCTCATTATCTTATCATCATTTATTGCATGTGTGTTGTACCATCATTTATCCTGTAATAAACAGATCATTATTTTTTCTAAGTTCTTGTCTGTTAGTGTTCTTCCAGAAGTGGAGTCCCTGAAATTAGAATTTCGACTTAAAATATGAGACTGATTAATTAAAACTGACTTGATGTTTGATTTCTGAATTAAACTTTTGTTTTCTTTATTTTCCCACCATTAAGGGTGGGTGGTGCCCCTTTCAACGAGTGCATAAATGTCATAATTTGAGATTATTAATCTTCAGACATTTATTATAAATTCCAATCGCTACAGTATTATTTTGGTGTGGCCTTGTGAGGCTCATCTCAAATCGCTACATATATTTTGGTGCGACCGTGTGAGGCTCATTTCAACCGCTACAATGCGTAGAAGCACTTGTAACTAGAACTACAAATCAGGTCAGACACCGAGCAAATTACTCTGAAATTGGCAAAGTAAAACAAAAAGACGACGAAACCATTTGAAAATTATCAAGTAAGACTGACCAAAGTTTTTAAAACCCACAGTGGGCTAGAGGATGATAACAATGACAATGGTGCCTCCCGACAACAGCTCAAGAACGCTCTTCATGCCGGCTCCAAAGATGCAGTCAGAAGCTGGGTGGATAAGCATTACATAGGGTTCCCTTTAGGAACTCTAAATGACTATGTGGAACATACCCTCCATGCCGAAAAAGTTGTAAAAAAACAATAAAAAGGAAAGAGCAAGTGGAGCTAGTGCATTTTTCGCAGAAGGTGACAATGAAGACGAAGTTTTCTATCAAAATGCGAAAGGTAAATTTGGAGGCAGAGGCAGAGGAGGGTTCGGAGGTAGAGGACAGGGTAGGCCCAGACCAGGAGGAGCAAACCAAAGAGGGACAGGTTGCTGGGCATGTGGAAAGGAGGTACATAAAGCCATGATTGCAAGAACAAATTAGATGGAGAAAGGCATGAACAGTCAGGGCGAGATCAAAATCAAGCATGACAGTATGAAGGACAAAGGAAAGAGTCTGATATATTGAGATATTTTATTATGAACCATGTGAAACCAGAAGTGCAGCTGCTCGTAAATGGAAAGGAAATGACATTCCTTTGCGACAGCGGCGCTTGTGAAACCACAATAAAAGAACCAATACCACATGTGACATTCTCAGGCAAAACCATGAAAGTAAGAGCTGCAAATGGAGAACTCTCAGATGTGCCCCAGACCACACCGTTGTGGTTTAGGGACCCACACCCCCAGGGCACATCCTGTCAGTTCAGTGCGTTGGACATGCCACAGTGTCCAGTAAATTCGCTTGGTTGAGACGGACCGTTGAGCTTGAGCTTGGCCTTGGTGCCCTCTTCTTGTGGGCTGATGCTGGTGAAAAGAAAAGATGAATTAGGCCCAGGAGACATTTTTGTTTCCCAGGGTCAAGGCCAACCTCATTATTGGTACAGTCTAGACTTACCAAACAAAGGTCCAGCAGCTTTAGCAGCTGCATTGCTTGCTGAAGGCAGAAATGGTGTTTTGAAAAAGATCAGATGCTACTGTATTTACAGTAGTGGACATTAGCAATGCATTTTTCTCAGTACCGGCGGATAAAGACAGTCAGTACTGGTTCGCCTTCACCTTTGGAGGCCAGCGGTACACATACACTCGGCTACCACAGGGTTATTGCGAAAGTCCTACAATATACTCCCAGATCATGAGCTCCAGTATGTCGAAGTTCACTCCCCCTCATGGGATTCAAGTCCTTCTGTATGTCGATGACATCCTTCTGGCCTCACCCGATGAAGCCACCTGTAAGGCAGATACACTGGCATTATTAGAACGCTTAGCTGCTGAAGGACACAAGGCCAGTAAAAACAAATTGCAGCTCTGTAAGACAGAGGTAAAATACTTGTGCCACAATCTTAGTGCAGCAGGCTGCACCATAGTTGAGAGTAGAAAAACAGCTATCCTACAAGCTCCTAAACCACTTACAAAGAAACAAATGATGTCATTTCTAGGCCTAACAAACTATTGCAGAACATGGGTTCCTAATTATGCTGAAATAACTCAACCTTTGAGTTAACTAATGTAGGATGAAGACCTAAAGATGACATCTTTGATACAATGGACACCTGAAGCTGAAACAGCGTTCTGTAACATCAAGCAAGCTTTAGTGTCCAGTACAGCTTTAGCACTGCCAGACTATAGTAAGCCATTTATTCAGATGGTAGACTGCAAGGGACAGTTCATGACCTCTGTCCTTACACAACAACATGGAGCAAAACTGAAACCAGTAGTGTATTATTCATCCAAGCTTGATAGCGTAGCTTGTGCATTGCCTCATTGCGTCAGAGCTGTGATAGCGGCCTCGATGGCTGTGGAAGTCAGTGCTACCACAGTACTGTTTCACACACTCACGTTGCAAGTGCCTCATTCAGTTTCACTGTTGCAGACTAATATGACTTTCTTGTCTCCGGCATGACATTTGTCTTGCATGTCGACTCTGCTATCACAGCCACACATGACTGTAGAATGATGCACAACCTTAAATCCAGCTACTTTGCTCCCTCTGCCAGATGATGGCGCTAAGCATAACTGTCAGGAGTTAGCTGAACAAACAGCAAAAAGCCGAGCCGATTTGCAAGATCAACCTCTGCAAACTGGAGAAACCCTCTTTGTGGATGGTTCCTCCAAAAAGAATGAATGTGGTAAAACCTTAACGGGTTATGCAGTTGTAACTAGCGCAACCGTTTTAAAAGCAGCAAAATTACCATCAAGTTTCTCTGCTCAAGCAGCAGAACTGGTTGCGCTTACTGAAGCTTGCAAAATCATAGCCGGAAAAGAAGTCACAATTTACACCGATAGCCAATATGCTTTCGCCACTACACATACTTTTGCACAATATTGGAAAAATAGAGGCATGATGACTCCTACCGGTAAACCTGTGACTCACGCTCAGCTCCTGATGGAACTCTTAGCCGCCGTACATCTACCAAAAAAGTTAGCTATTTGCAAATGTGCCACCCACACTTCTGGAACAGATTCTGTTTCACTGGGAAACGCATTTGCAGAAAAGACGGCCAAGGCTACGGCTGAGGGTGAGATCTCAGTCTGGACCTTGGAGTATACTGACGCACTTTCTGATGATGTTCTTAAAACAATGCAACAACAGATCCCAAAAACTGAAATCAAACTCTGGACTAAACAAAGAGCACATTTGCAAAATGGCATCTATGTATGACCTGAAGGGAAGCCTATCCTACCAAAGAATCTTTTTAAATGGGCAGCAATATTGAGCCATGGTTCCACACATGTCTCAACAGGAGGGATGGTAGGATGGATACAGCAGCACTTTACTGCATATGGATTTAACTCTTATTCAAAAAATTTTTGCAGAGCATGTTTAACATGCACCAAACATAATCCTCAGGGAAATCACAGAATGAAAACATGCAGTTTCCCTGAACCAAAATACCCCTTCCAGGTCATACACATGGACTTTATCGAACTAAGCCCAAGTGATAATAGATGCATTTTCCAAATGGTTAGAGCTTTTCCCAACTAAAACACCAGATGCATTGACGGTCGCTAAAGCACTTTGTAAAGACATCATACCTCGGTATGGTATCCCAGAAATAATTTGCAGCGACAATGGCACTCACTTTGTGAACCAAATCATCAAAAGAATAGGACAAATGTTCCATATGGACCTTTAATATCATTGTGCATACCATCCTCAAAGTGCAGGCCTAGTAGAACGAATGAATGGAACAATAAAAAACAGACTTAAAAAATGTATGGAAGAAACAAACAGACCGTGGACACAGTGTCTGGACCTCGTGAAACTCTACATCAATATAACAAGAACTAGTGGATTGACTCCTTATGAAACCTTATTTCAAAGCCACTGACTGCAGGATAGGGGTCGTTGTTTCGGTAAAAATGACTGTGACAGTGTTATTCAGAGCCCTGCTGATGACAACCCTAGGATAAGGTTTGTCTGCAGGTAACAACATATATACTCCAGGCTTCACCCATAATAGGCCTAAACGAGAAAATAAAGACAAAAAAAATTAGCTGTGCAGTCAATGCGACATGAATGCATGCTTCCATTCCTGCGGTGTATTTACCGGCAAACCAGACTTCTGTTATAACCATCCCAGTAGGCAGTCTCTCTTATAAAGGATATAAGGGAACGGGCTACACAAAATGGTATATGACAAATAATCAACAAAACCAGGGATGGGGCGCGCTAGTAGACGATCCCAATGGCTATGATTGGACTACTCAAACCACAGATGCATGGGCCTCATACCACAGGGAAATCATAAATTTAAGAGATCCTCGAAAAGATAATAAATTGATAACGGTGAATCTCACGAATGGACGAACACTGACTCCCCCAGGGTATACGGGGGAAGGGAGGTCAGTGCTGGTTGTTCCTGTTATGGGCTTGGTCCTCTGGCACTGATCTATCATTTCTGATATCGCTGTGTGAGTTCAATTGTACTAGAAATGAAATCTCACCAACAAAACCACAAGTTTCCCCTGCAGGGAAAGCAGGAGGAGTTGTGGCCCGTGGTGAACTCAAAACTGTGGATGAGTGGTTCCAGGTCACCACAGGCATATCAGGAAATCACAATAATTAGTTACTAATGGCAGAACAAGCTGCAAACATGACAAAAAAAGACTGTGTGGTTTGCATGGGCCTGAGACCACTCCTGCGAGTAGTACCAGCTGTGGTCCTGTCGACCTGCGTCCTGCTGTTAATGACTAACGTCACCGTTAACAGCAACTGCACAGAATGGGATGGAATATTCCCTCTGACCAGACCTGGGGCCTCATTTATAAAACCTGGCGTAGGATCCATACTAAAAGTGTACATAAGTTGAAAAGCTGAAAAGTGCGTAGGCAAAAAAAAAAAATCTGATTTATAAAACCCTGCCTACGCACACCTGCACGCACTTTCCCATTATAAATCACAGACCAGCCGGAAAGTTGCGCAGCAGGGATTTGATTCATGCCCCGCCCTCTCCACACCCAAAATTCACCATGTATGGTCATGCAAATTACCTCATGAATGTGATTTGCATATAAATAAGCCTGATGGCTCCACGGCATTTCACGCTTAATCATGGCATCAGCAAGTCGTAGAAAAAAACTTTTCAGAGACCGAGGTGGAGGTTCTTGTAAATGAGGTGGCGGCGAGACGGGAGACCTCGGCGGCCATTCGAGTGGCATCACCAATAAAAGAAAAGCCACCGAATGGCACGGCGTTGCCGTTGCGGTAAGTGCGGCTGGCACTGAGCGCAGCGTTGCCGAAATCAAGAAGAAGTGGTCTGATCTAAAGGTGGAGGCAAAGAAAAAAGTGGCTTTGCACCGTCGGAGCGTGGCGGCGACAGGTGAGGATCAGAAAACACAAGCACGTGTGACACTCATGCATGTGTTCCAAAAAAAACTGCTCCGTTATCCACCGCTGCTTATGTGGTGAAAGTTCGTAAACCAAAAGGATTTAGTCATATTAATCTTAAAACAAATGCATGTAAATGGAATTTGTTTTTTTGCACATTTGTAAATTCAAATTGGCAAACTTTCTACACCGCCACAGTGGGGTCTGTGCTTTCTGCGAGCATCACTGCCTGGTACAGCAGCTGCAGCTCTCAGGACAGAAAGGCCCTGCATCGAGTCATCCATTTTGCTGAACGCATCACCCGGACTGCACTGCCCGGCCTCCAGGACATCTACACCGAGTGGTGCAGGTCCAGGGCAAGACGGATTATCAAACACTCACCATCCCAACCACAGACTGTTTGAGTGGCTGCCCTCGGGTAAGAGGCTTCGCTCCATCAGAGCCAGGACTCCAGGTTCCTCCCCCAGGCCACACGGATACTGAACTCCTCATAACACACACCCCATAACTGACTTCACAACACCCTCTGAACAGACTTTACATTATTATTATTCTGTTTTTTTGGCACAATCGGAGACGTCATTTTCATTTCACTGCCACTGTATCTGTACATTTAGGCATGTGACAAATAAAACTTGAAACTTGAAACTTGTGCTGCATTGCGCACGACTGTCACTGTATGGCTTTTTATATGCGCGCTTTCCATTAACCCATTGTTCTCACTTTGCTCCAATTGTCTCCAAAAAGTGCGTAAGCAAGGTGTGGAGTTTGCTTAAAGTTGCGCGCATTCCTACACTAGTTTTTTTTTATAAATCCCAACTCTTGCGTAAGAAGTGGCGTAAGCGCTTTCAAGCCAGGTTTTGTGCGTAAGCAAGCTTTATAAATGAGGCCCCTGAACCACGAAAACCTTTCTTTTCCACCCATGTAGCACGTGGAAATTTCACTTGCGTAAATATTACAGGGACAGCTGAGAGTTTAGGCTCAATCAACAGCAGCTGGTGTAAAGCCACATTGACTGTTGCTGGATCATCCTTCAAACCACTGTCCAGGAGTGACATCTGGTGGTGGTGTGGAGAAATCAAATTGCCCATAAACAAAACTGGAGTCTTTGCCTTAGTAACCTTGATCTTACCTGTTGTAACTTTCCTGACCAGTGTGGCAAATTTAACCTCTGCAGTTAGTCTTATTCCCTTGTTGAGCCACCCCAGAGCAAAAAAAAACTGGCAAACAGAATCAGACCTGACTTACATAGATCCTATTGGAGTTCCTCGTGGGGTACCAGATAAATATAAATTGGTAGATCAAGTCGCTGCAGGTTTTGAGTCTCTCATCTGTCCTTGGTGCACAATGGCAAAAAATGTAGATTAAATCAACTACATCCATTTCAATGTTCAAAAGCTAGGTAACTGGACTGAGGCTGGTTTCCAGGCCATCCACTCGCAGTTGTCTGCAACATCCCTGATGGCTTTCCAAAACCGTATAGCCCTTGACATGCTGCTCGCAGAAAAGGAGGTGTATGTGCCATATTTGGAGAAATGTGTTGCACGTTCATTCCTAACAAGACTGCTGCCGATGGCAGCCTCACTCAAGCTATAAAGGGCCTTAGAACACTTAATGGCAAAATGAAAGACCACTCAGGAATAGATAAATCATTTTGGGAAGACTGGATGAATGCCTTTGGAAAATATAAAAACCTTGTGGCTTCAGTCCTAATCTCTGTTCCTGTTTTGCAGCTATTTTGACCTTGTGTGGATGCTGTTGTATTCACTGTATTCGTTCTCTCCTTAACCGCCTTATCACGACAGCATTGTCCCCTGTAGAGCAGCAGGTGCAGGAATTGTACCTGCTGCTCCAACAACAGGACGAGGAGGACAGACTTGTTGAGACTCAATGGCCTGACCTGTGCCCCAATCCTGATGATGAGTATGATTCTGACTAATGCAACACCTTGTACCTCTGTGTGTAAATTTGTAGTCATACACATGAACTCACAGCTGAAAAATCGAGAGAAGTGGCTGAACTAGAGGGATTATGAAAATCTGAGCAAAGTAATGATAAACAGGAGGGAAATGTCAGAATAATGTGTATAAATGTATATAGAAATTATCAAGTCTTACTCAAATTCCAAGTGGAAAAGTTTCCTACAACTATGAACTGCTTTAACCTCTTGTTACACAACACATGAGGAAGTACTCATGAGTGTTTTCTAACTTCTCTGACCTTGTTTCTCCAATTAGCAGGTATGTGTTTTGTAACCTCCGCTGTGAGACGTGGGAGCAGTAGTAGAGGAGGAACCGTTCCTACCATAAGAAGGAGATTGTGAAATGTCAACCAAGGTCACCTTACCCTCACAGATTGTCTGCTTGTTAATGATTATAATTAATGTAAGCGACCACGCTGCTGCAAGACTGTTTCCCATTGGCGTCGTTAGGCCTATTGAAGGGGGGCTGAAGCCCCCCTAAAATATTCTTTAGCCCCCCTAAATAATTTTATATATATTTTTTTTTTTTTATATATATATATATATATATATATATATATATATATATATATATATATATATTTTACAAAAAAGTGCTGACAAATTCAATACAAAGACGCAAGAATATGAGTTTAAATAAATAATAATATAACGTCATTATTCACTTAAATATGATCACAAATCATTTGGTTTCCCCTGACTTCACTGTGTAAGGTGGAGAGCCTTCGTCAGCGCTTAGTTATTCAATCCGTTCCACTTGTTGATATAGAGAACGCCCACATTACTGAAAATCCAGTCCGCGCTTTCACTGCTGCCAGCAGCAGCACTTACATGCTCCCTGCACACAGTCACAGCGAGACGGTCACGTCACGAGCCAGGCAGAGAGCAGCATCATGTATACGCAAGTTTTTCAAAAAAGTAAGTCTTTATAGCTGCTGGTAGTAACAATAAGCTCCAGCTAACAGCAAATAGTCCCATGTAATTTATGAACCAGGTGCTCCCCATTTTGAGAAATAAAAACCTGGCTGTCACACCAAGTTAAATTGTTAGCATGATGTTGATTTCTGTCACTTGTTTTAGCTCTGAAAAAAGCGAGCTGAGCTCATTCACGTATGATTATCATCAGTGGAAAATAATAATGCACTAATAATACTCACCCCACCATCACCACTGACCTGTAGGAGTCAGGACAGAGGAGCACAGCAAGTGAGAGGGGAGACACCTCTACTGGAGAGGTGAGTATAAAAGAATTCACAGGAGTGATGCAGACAGTCTGATTAGAATTTTATGGAACTCAATATCGATATGAAATATGAAATTTCAGTCATGGTGCACCATATAAGACTTATTTCATTTGAGTTTTTATTTAAGAGAGTCAAGATTAGAAAGTGGAGAGAGCCAAGAGATAAATTAGCCTGACCCTAATATTTTTGGGGGTTCTATTTTAATATTACTTTAATTCAAGTAATTTAGTAATATTTTTCAGGGCTTTAAATTGCAACCATTTTAGTCACATATGGGCCCAAAATGTAATCTGTGTAACATCTTACTATTTGGGAGCAAAAAATTACTGTGGTGTGTGAGCTTAAGTCATGACATTAGCCTCTATGTTGGATTAGTTATTAATTCAATGCGTTTCATTGTATCTTGGAGGGTCAGGCAGAAGGAAAGGCTGAGGAGCTGCAGCAAATGGCAGAGGAAGCTGAGAGATGAGAGAAAACAGGCCAAGAGAGGGAAAATAATGAAGCAGCTGCAGCAACTCATTCCACTACAGGGTTTGATTTAGGTGACAAAGACACAGGGCCCAGACAGGTCAAGCTGAAGAGCTACCCACAAGATAGTTTTGGTACACAGAAGCGAGCATTTCACTACAGCTGGTTTGAAAAACACAACTGGTTAGGATATTCAGTCAACCAGAATACAGCTTTCTGTTTCCCATGTAGAGTGTTTGGCAAAACATAAAAGGTGATAGTTTGGTCAGTAGTGGTTGCAAGAACTGAAGAAAAAACAGACTGAAATAAAACAAAAAAACTCCTGGTGGCCTGAGACTACATCTTAGTTAAATCCGTCCAAAAAAGCTGAAAAGCAATTTCTCAGTCTTTGTTTTCTGTTTGTGAAATTTTGTGCTCGCTCACTACGTTCACTCACATCCTGTTCATCTCTTGGGGGCTAAGCCCCCCCTGTCCTTAAAACCTAGTGATGCCCCTGCTGTTTCCCCACCCTTTAGTGCATGCAGCGTTTTGTAACTAGGGACCACCCTAAGGATAATAAAAAGAGAAGAGACGACAAGATACGCTTCAGAGCGGTTGGAGATTGTAACTGAACGTATCTCTGTCCGTTCTCCCCGCAGTAAGAAATCTAATACCATTGTCTTTCTCTTCTTTGTGTTTGAGTCATTTGTTGTATGTTTTAGACCCAACAGCTACGCTCTGACTACCAGAAGTTTTGATGCCATTTTTATACCCTTGCTCTAACCTTTACGTTGTTTTAGATACTTTTTAATTGACTGAGATTTTAATCACCAAACAAAGAAACTTAGACCGAGTAAAAGCACAGATCATACTGCTCCTCATTTCGGCGCCAACTCCTTACAAGACCCGGAATTCTTGTTATATACAAGAAGGATTTTCATTGCCACCCCATCACTTTTAATTCTTTTGAGCAACTTGCTTTTGTTGTTAAATTGAAAGATCCTGTTTTAATCATAATCATTTACTGACCACCCAAACACAACACTGTTTTGATTCAGGAGTTTTCAGAGTTTCTATCCCTTTTTATTTGTAAATATGACAAAATTCTTATTTTGGGTGATTTTAATGTTGTCCTTCACAACCCTTGACTGTTGATTTTACTGAAATTCTGGACTCCTTTAATCTAACTTAGGCAATACAGGAACAACCCATGAAAAGGGACATTGCCTAGATTTGGTTTTATTTACCAGACTTTGTCCTGGGGAGTTTTTAACAAAGGATATATGTGTGTCAGATCACAAACTGGTTTTATTCGCCATGGTTTTATTCCAGCCTCTCTCTTTTAAACAGTATGGGCTCTATTTTGGTGCCTCGCCGGAGATGTGCCGCAAGCGCAGCGTCAGTCAGATCCGCCGCGCTGACAAGGCGTTCCCAAGCACATTTTGGTATTTTGGTGAGCCGCGCAGCCCGGCGTAAGTATCCCCCCTCTCTAACTCAGCTCCTCCTAGCAGCATAAGTTGTAGACGGGGAGGAGAAAGGGCATGTAGTGGGTTTAACACAGCCGAGACCTGTTTTCACCAATCACATAAGCTCCTCTCCTTGCCTTTAAATCCGCCACAGGCGAGGCGTATTACTATTTTCATGAAGTAGTCAAAGAGATTAAGAGATGTCTGAAGACAGTAATGCCACAAGATGGCGACAGAGGGCAGCTCCTCAACAAGTGTCCTCCACACTCTCTCATATGAGCACAGATGGATTTAGTGTGCGTAATGTTGGACCCACTGGTAAGACAAACACCCTTTTCCACAAATAAAGACACTCACATAAAGTTGCTCATATTCAAACCTCACGTGACAAAGGTGGGTTGAGCGCACAGATCACAACATAAACTCCAAAAATGGCATTAAAATCGGAACCATCTGTGCGTAAATGACGCATCGCGCTCCGTGGCCTGGCTCTTTCTTTCATAGATGTTGGCATATAAAATAAATTTGGCCCACAAAACTGAATATTATAATATCTGTATGTCGGCTTAAAGTAGATAACGCATCTGAGCGCTGAAACAAATCATCTGTTCAGCTGCAGCAGCAGCAAAACGGACAGAGGACACGGAGACATGTCCAGGTCGAGCTGTGTGAGAAATAAGAGGAAGAGGAAGAAAGAAAAGGAGGGAGATGAATTACATATCTTGTTAACTTCATCATGTGTGTTTATTTACTAGATATTTAATTTAATTTGATGCGGTTTCAGCTGTGTTGATTCGGTCAGGTTGTGTGTCCAAACGCGTGCCAAACGCGCTCATCAGATCAGATATAGATCAGAATATATCGATATAGATCTAAATGTATCTGCTGACTCAGATTAATAGTTGTTGATGATTATTTATTGCACTGAAATGTGCCTGACACTGTGGAAACCTGCCGGTGAGGCATCAGTGACGTATGTCGATACGCCGCCGGTCTACCAAAATACTACTAGACCAGCTGCGTTCCGCCTTGCGCTGAAAGCTGACCAGGTTTGAATCGGCGAGCTTTCAGCGCACTTTACACGCCGTTGGTGAGCACGAAAATGTCACTGCGCCTGCTGATTCTGTCGACACCTCCCCCTGCCACGCCACCACGCCCAGCTTGGCGGATCTCGGATCGCCTCCATGCGGCTCAGTCCACGAAAATACCAAATTGGCCTTACGCCGGGCTCCGCCAGACGAAAATACAACTGCGCGGGGCTCGCCGCCCTCCGCCGCCTCACCGGCGCGCACGAAAATAGAGCCCTATGTGTGGAACCTTCCTGGACTCTGTAGCTCCTCTGACATTTTTCATGGGTGGACTCTGTAAGCTAGGGCTGGGGTTCTTTGTTTGATCTTTTCTTTTTCAAAGAAATTAACGTAAATGGAAGAAAACTGGTCTGGTGATTTACCTTGAAATCTGGAGACTCCATTTAAAAATACCAGAAGGCAGTTAAAGATGCAAGGGCAGCATTTTACTCTAATTTGATTTTAGCTAATTATTCAAACCCCAGAGTTTTATTTATGGTCTTAGAGTCACTTTCCAACCCCTCTCCCTCTTATTTTACTGATGCTTCTCAAGACACCTGTGAGAAGGTTTTAACTTATTTTATTAACAAGGTTATGGACATCAGGCATCAAATCACCCCTCCTAGTCTCCCTGTATTCTTAAGTCGGGAAGTTCAGCACTATTTTAGTAGTTTTGAGCCAGTGTTCTTACCCTTTTTATCTGATATTTTAGCCCACATGAAACCAGCTACGTGCAGTCTTGATTTTATCCCCATCAGATTTCTCAGAGGTTTTTAACATGGTTGGGCCCAGCATTTTATCCATTATTAATAGCTCTCTGGCAGAGGGAGTATTCCCCTCTGCTTTTAAACATGCTGTGGTCCAACCAATTTTAAAGAAGCCAAACCTTGACCCCTCTGATTTTAACAAATGAAGACCAATCTCAAAACTTTAATTTTTAGCCAAACTTTTAGAGAAGGTGGTTTCTAAACAGCTTTTAGGTTTTATGTCTGAATACAACCTCTTTGAGAAATTTCAGTCTGGTTTTAGAGCAGGTCACAGCACTGAGACTGCCCTTCCCATGTGACCAATGACCTTCTTTTTGCAGCAGATAGAGGGGAGGGCTCAATTTGAATTCTTTTAGATCTCAGTGCAGCTTTTGATACAGTTGATCATGCTATTTTAATTCAGCGTCTTAAAAACTGGGTGGGTATTAGGGGCACTGCACTTGGCTGGTATCAGTCATATCTTTTAGAGCGAACCTTTGTGGTCACCATAGGCAATCACACCTCCTACCTCTGCTATCGCCTGTGGTGTACCGCAAGGTACAGTTTCAGGTCCAATTTTATTTTCTATCTACATGCTGCCCCTCGGCCAATTAATCCAGCACCACAAAGTCTCCTTTCACTGCTATGCAGACAACACACAGATATACCTTCATTTGAGACCTAAGGACCCAAGAAGCCTAGCTGCTGTCATGGACTGTCTAAGTGACATTAAAAGTTGGATGGCACAAAATTTCCTTCAGCTAAATTATTCAAAATCTGAAATAATTCTCTGTAACCTAAAAAATTCCCCCCTCATACAGTCTTGTCTCGGTCCACATTCAGCAATCATCAAACCAACAGCCAGAAATCTGAGAGTAATTTTTGATTCAGACCTCACCTTCTCCACCCATATCAACAGGATCGTCCAGTCCTGCTTTTTTCACCTGCGATCCATTTCAAAAATTAAACAAATACTCACCCCACCAGATCTCGAAAAAATAATCCATGCCTTTATTTTCTCAAGACTGGACTATTGTATCTCTCTCCTACCTGGGCTGAATAAGAAATCACTCTCCCGCCTCCAACGAGTTCAGTATACAGCAGCTCGGCTTTTAACTGGTTTTCATCGACGGCATCACATCACTCCAATTTTAGCCTCCCTTCACTGGCTTCCTGTCAGTTTTAGAATTGATTTTAAGATTTTATTGATTACTTTTAAAGCACTCAAAGAACTTGCTCCAAGCTACATTTCAGATGAGACCATATGAGCCAACTCGCAGCCTCAGATCCTCTGGCGAAGGTCTCCTGGTCGTTCCAAAGTCGAGACTCAAAACTAAAGGTGATAGAGCTTTCTCCATCAAAGCTCCTCGACTTTTGAACGACCTGCCAGAGGAGATTAGGCATGCAGAGACCGTCACTTCTTTTAAGTCAAATTTAAAAACTCACTTTTACAGACTTGCTTTTACGTGATGCCGTCTTTTATCTTTTATCTCTATCTTTTATCTGTCATCTCTTATCTCTTTTATCTTATTTCGGCTTTACTGTCTTTTTAGCTTTAGTTAAACTTGTACTCTTTTCTTAATTAACCTGTTAGACCTTTCATTGTTTTATCTCTTGATCACTTCTATAGCTCTGTTTTATCGTTACTTTTATTATCAGGATTACCTGTTATTATTTTATTATCACTGCTGATATTGCCTTTTATATTTATTACTATCCTGTTTCCGCTTTTGTCCTCCCTTTTAATTGCATTTTCCTTTTTCCTTAACTATTTTATGTTTTTATTTTGGTTCTCATGGTCTCATTTTATGTTGCATGGTTCTTGTATTGTCTGGGTTCCTTATGACATGAAAATGGCCTTCAATTCCATTTTTACTGAGCTTTTTGTCTTTATTTGTCTATAATCCTAATTCAGTCAGGACCACTAAAGTGATCCTGACTGAATTAGGATCATTATTATTATGTATTTTCTTTGTCACATGACATGAACATTTATACTTATTTATACTTAAAAATACACATAAACACTTGGAGAACAGTCACTTCAATGTCTACATTTTTAAGATCTCATGATCAATATAGTTGAAATGATCAGCTAAATGACTGTTTAAAAAAGTGTTGAGAGATTTTTTAACAATGTACATTGGGAGCATCTGTATAAGGCGTCAGCAGTGTGACATTAAGAGCTTCATTATTACTTTCTGTTGTTCATGCAATACCAATATACATTTTGACCAACATGTGCTATAAGTAGACGATGTAATGGAAAACATGATACTGATCAGTCTCAGTCCTTTTGTTTTATCTGATGTTGTTTACTTCATGTATTTTTTTCTGCTGTCTGGTCTTTCCATCATGTAGTCCTTTCCAAATAGTATACATGTTCGGGTGTTCAGGCGAGGAACATAAGGACAGACTGAAGATAACAACAAGCTTTGAAACTACTCTGGATAAAGGAACAGACAAACATCTCTGTGGCACATAAGCACCATCTGGTGGGAGAGATGGTGGAGCTGCATAATGTCTGTTTGGCTACTAGGTCGCATTAATAGGTTGTTCCTTATAGCTCATCAAATATATTACCAGTGCCACTAACAGCTCCCCCTTGAGACTTAGAGTGTTGGATTTGCATTGTTTCTGTATTTGCAGCATGCTTCCCTTCAACAAGCAGGGTTTTGTTTAAAGCCATGAAGTTAATTATGAAAGACGTCCTTTGCCTGATCTGTTCAAGGTCACTGTATGGGTTTGTGAATTAAATGCATTTTGGCTACAAACTCAATAACTCAAACTCTTTTGCACTGGGTGCTCTGAATACAAAATCACTGGTTGCCCCCTCAGGCTATGATAGAGAGGTGTAGATAGGATGTATTAGAAAACATGTTCCCAAGAATTTTTCTTGTACTTACAATGGAAGTTTATTTGTATCAGTGTACAAAGTATACTTTGGGAAGTATACTAAAATGAACTTTAGTATACTTCATAAAATGTACTTGAGGTAAACTTATTTTTCGTTAGGGAACACAGACAAACACATTTCTTAATGCATAGGGGGGTCACGCTTGTTCCTCAGTGTTTGGAGTTCAGGATGTTTATTACAATGGGAATAAAACTGTTTTAAAAATGGGATGTTTTAGTGGCAATTGTCCCATAGCGTCTCCTAGAAGGAAGTAGCTGGAACGCAAAGTGAGCAGGGTGAGTAGGATCTGCAATGATTTTTTTTTAGCTCTTGAAGTCAAGTGATGGTAGGGTGAACCATTGATTCTGGATGCTCTGTTAATGATGCACTGTAATTCGTTCATGGAGGTGGAATGTTGAGACTGTCAAACCAGACTGTAATGGAAGAAAATGCTTTCGATAATGGCTGTGTAGAAGTGGAGCAGGAGATGAAACCTGACTCTGAACTTTCTGAGCTGTTGGAAATGGAAGAGTTGTTGCTTGGCTTTTTTGTAGATGTGATCTGAGTTTGTTTTCCATTTGAGGTTATTACTGATGTGGGTGCCAGAAATTTGGAGGTGTCAGTAACGAGGATGGATTGAACTTTAATTAGCACAGAAGTTTTGGAGGATGGCTGGCGTCTCAGATTAAAGATTTTTTTTTAATGTGTTGAGAAGGAAATTGTTGTCTGTACACCTGGGGCCTCATTTATAAAACCTGGCGTAGGATCCATACTAAAAGTGTACGTAAGTTGAAAAGCTGAAAAGTGCGTAGGCAAAAAAAAAAATCTGATTTATAAAACCCTGCCTACGCACACCTGCACGCACTTTCCCTTTACAAATCACAGACCAGCTGGAAAGATGCTCAGCAGGGATTTGATTCTTCCCCGCCCTCTCCACACCCAAAATTCACCATGTATGGTCATGCAAATTACCTCATGAATGTGATTTGCATGTAGATAAGCCTGGTGGATCCACGGCATTTCACGCTTAACCATGGCATCAGCAAGTCGTAGAAAAAGAAACTTTTCAGAGATCGAGGTGGAGGCTCCTGTAAATGAGGTGGCGGCGAGACGGGAGACCTTATTCGGCGGCCATTCGAGTGGCATCACCAATAAAAACGCAGTTGCCGTGGTGGCAATTGCGGCTGGCACTGAGCGCAGCGTTGCCGAAACAGTGTTGTTTTCGTCATATTTCGTCAAATATTTTCGTCAACACCAGCGTCAAAAAGAAATATTTTCATCAACGAGAACAACACTGGTTGTTTTTGTTGACGGAAATATTTCCCTTTTCTTCCACGACGAAGACGTAACGTTGACGAGCTAAACATAAGTCGGAGATGACTAAAATGTGACGAGACGAAAGTGCGTTTACGTTGATGGGACGAGACGAAAATGACGACCAGAGTTGCAAAACTCAGTCAGTTAAACGCTAAACATATAGGAGCAGCTTCTGTCCGCTCTGACAGCTCTCATCAGCCTGCTGTGCTCCTCCAACACACAGACACACACGCACGCGCGCGCGCAAACACGTGGAGTTTTGTTTTCGTTGACGATGACGTAGACGAAAACAAAACTGTGCCGAAATCAAGAAGAAGTGGTCTGATCTAAAGGTGGAGGCAAAGAAAAAAGTGGCTTTGCACCATCAGAGCGTGGCGGCGACAGGTGAGAATAAAAAAAACATGCACATGTGACACTCGTGCACGTGTTCAAAAAAAAAAAACGCTCCGTTATCCACCGCTGCTTATGTGGTGAAAGTTCGTAAACCAAAAAGATTTAGTCATATTAATCTTAAAACTAATGCATGTAAATGGAATTTGTTTTTTTGCACATTTGTAAATTCAAATTGGCAAACTTTCTACACCGCCACAGTGGGGTCTGTGCTTTCTGCGAGCATCACTGCCTGGTATGGCAGCTGCAGCTCTCAGGACAGAAAGGCTGCATCGAGTCATCCGTTGTGCTGAACGCATCACCCGGACTATTCTCACCTTGCTCCGATTGTCTCAAAAAAGTGTGTAAGCAAGGTGTGGAGTTTTCTTTTAGTTTTTCGTTTATAAATCCCAACTCTTGCGTAAGAAGTGGCGTACGCAATTTCTAGCCAGGTTTTGTGCGTAAGCAAGCTTTATAAATGAGGCCCCAGGTCACTTCTTGGTTGATCAGTACACTGTATTCTGTTTCTTGATAGCTGGTGATGAGTCCTACAATCGTGGAATTGTCCACATACTTAAACAGAACTTTGATGTGATGTGAACTGGTTAGTGTAAAAAGAGAATAGCCAGGGCGGGAGAACACAGCCCTGGGGTGCACCTGTGCTAAGGGTCAGAAGAGATAGACATGCTGTTGGTGATCTTCAACTTCTGTTGCCTTTTAGAGAGAAAGTTGTTAACCCAGTGACAGATGCAAGGATCAGTGTTCATGTCCAGTAATTTATTGAATAGTTTGGCCATGTTTATTGTGTTAAATGCTAAACTGAAATCCATGAACAAGATACGGGCATATGTGTTTGTGGACTCTAGGGGCTCTATTTTCGTGCTTCGCCGGAGACGTGGCATGGGGTAAGTCAGGTCCGCCGCGCCGACAAGGCGTTCCCAAGCACAATCTGGTATTTTGGTGAGCGGAGCAGCCCGGCATAAGTATTCCCCCTCCCTAACTCAGCTCCTCCCAGCGGCGTAAGTCGTAGCGAGGGAGGAGAGAGGGCGTAGATTGGGTTTAACACAGCCGAGACCTGTATTGACCAATAACATCAGCTCCTCTCCTTGCCTTTAAATCCGCCTCCGGCGAGGCGTATTACAATTTTCGTGAAGTAGTCAAAGAGATCAAGAGATGTCTGAAGACAGCAATGCCACACGATGGCGACAGAAGGCAGCCCCTCAACGAGTGTCACTGTAAACGCTACAGAGGGCATCCTGCACACTATCTCATATAAGCACAGAGGGATTTGGTGTGCATAATGTTGGTAAGACAAAATATAAAATAAATTTGGCTCACAAAACTGAATATTATAATATTCGTAAGTAGGCTTAAAGTAAATAACTCATCTGATCACTGAAACAAATCATCTGTTTAGCCGCCGCAGCAGCAGCTGCGGCAGGACGGGGAGAGGACGCTGAGACATGTCCAGGTCAAGCTGCGTGAGAAAGAAGAGGAAGAGGAAGAAAGAGAAGGAGGGAGACGAATTACATATCTTGTTCACTTCATCATGTATGACCATTTACTTGATATTTAATTTAATTTAATGCGGTTTAAAGTTGTGTTTATCTGGTCAGGTAGAGTGTCCAAACGCGTGCCAAACGCGCTCATCAGATCAGATATAGATCAGAATATATCCATAGATTGAAATGTATGTGCTGACTCAGATTATTAGTTGTTGTTGATAATTTATTGCACTGAAATGTGCCTGAAACTGTGGAAACCTGCCGGTGAAGCATCGGTGCGGATATGCTGCCGGTCTACCAAAATACCACTAGACCAGCTGCACTCCGCCTGTGCTGAAAGCTGACCAGGTTTGAATCGGCGAGCTTTCAGCACACTTTATTTGCCGGCGGCGAGAAAATGTCACTGCGCCAGCTGATTCTGTCGACACCTCCCTCTGCCACGCCACCACGCCCAGCTTGGCGGACCTCAGTGCGCCTCAGTCTACGAAAATTCCAAACTGGCTGTACGCCGGGCTCCGCCAGACAAAAATACCACTGCGTGGGGTCCACCACCCTCCGCCGTATCCCCGGCAGATACAAAAATAGAGCCCTAGGTGGTTCAGTATGTGGTGGATTGCTAGGTTGACTGTGTCCTCTACTGACCTGTTGGCTTTGTAAGCAAATTGGTAAGGGTCAATGAGAGGGGAGGTAACAGAGTATGATGCACTCAAATGATTTCATGGCCGCAGATGTCAAGGCAATGGGTCCATAGTCATTGATGCAGGAGATGTTCTTGGGCTTGGTAACTGAGATGAAAATGGACTCTTTGAAGAACTTAAGAACTGAGCTTTGACCAAAATAGATTTTAAAGGTGTAGGTACAAAACCTGGCATGTTCGTGAAGTGGTGGAGAACAGAGGGGCTGATTTTGTAAGGGCCAGCTGCTTTATTCCTCTTAAGACCTCCTGATTGGAACAATCTACCTGTTCAGATTCGATCAATAACCTCATTTTGACTATTCAAAACCGCGCTGTCCTCTCATCTGGAGATCACTTGTTCATGCTTTCACTAATTACAGTATATCAGATCTTTGATGCAATTTTTTTTTCCTTTTTATATATGTGCTTTGTGTTTTGTTGTTTGTGTATTTTTTGTTACTTTTTGGTTGTTGTTATCTGTTTATTCTTTACTTGCGCTTTTGTGTCAGTTATTTGTTATTGCTTTGTTTATTTTGTTTTGTTATTGTTGGCTTTGTTTTGTTTTCCATGGATACAGTGCATCTGGAAAGTATTCATACCACTTCACTTTTTCCACATTTTTTTACGTTACAGCCTTATTCCAAAATGGATTAAATTCCTTTTTTCTCTCAAAAGTTCTACACAAAATACCCCATAATGACAAAGCGAAAAACTTTTTTTGGAACATTTTGCAAATTTATTCAAAACAAGACACTCAAATGTTGCATATACGTAAGTATTCACACCCTTTGCTATAAAACTCAAAATTTAGCTCAGGTGCATCCTGTTTCCACTGATCAGCCTTGAAATGTTCCTCCAACTTGATTGCAGTCCACCTGTGGCAAATTCAGCTGATTGGACATGATTTGGAAAGCCACACCTGTCTACATAAGATCCCACAGCTGACAGAGCACGTCAGAGCACAAACCAAGCCATGAAGTTGAAAGAATTGTCTGTAGACCTCCGAAACAGGGTTGTATCGGCGCACAGATATGGGGAAGGTTACAGAAAAATATCTGCTGCATTGAAGATCCCAAAAAGCACAGTGGTCTCCATCATTAAGAAATGGAAGACGTTTGGAACCACCAGGACTCTTCATAGAGCTGGCCGCCCAGCCAAAATGAGCAAGCCTTGGTCAGGGAGGTGACCAAGAACCCGATGGTCACTCTGACAGAGCTCCAGCGTTCCGCAGAGGAGATGGGAGAACCATACTGAAGTACCACCATCTCTGCAGCACTCCACTATTCAGGTATTTATGGTAGAGTGGCCAGACAGAAGCCACTCCTCAGTAAAAAGCACATGACAGCCCGCTTGGACTTTGCTAGAAGGCACCTAGAGGACTCACAGACCAGGAGAAACAAAATTCTCTGGTCTGATGAAACGAAGATCGAACTCTTTGGCATGAATGCCAAGCATCATGTCTGGAGGAAACCAGGCACCACTCACCACCTCGACAATACCATCCCTTCAGCAAAGCATGGTGGTAGCAGCATCATGCTGTGGTGATTTCTTTCAGCGGCAGGAACTGGGTGACTTGTCAGGATCGAGGGAAAAATGAATGCAGCTAAGTACATTGAAATCCTTGATGAAAACCTGCTCCAGAGAGCTCGAGACCTTCGACTGGGGTGACGCTTCATCTTCCAGCATGACAATGACCCTAAGCACACGGCCAAGAAGAAGAAGAACTTTATTGATCCCTGAAGGGAAATTCAATTGTCTGTTGTCTCACGTAATAGGTCTATAAAAGTTATCTATTATTTACGTAAGAGTTATAAAGCCTGATGGCTGTTGGTAAAAAAGATCTTCTAAATCTTTCTGTCATGCAGCGAAGAGAGAGGAGCCGTCCACCACCATTGGCCCTTTGGTCCATCAAGGTGTTGTGAAGTGGGTGATCCATGTTCTTGAGAATAGTCTCCACCTTCCTCATTGTAGATCTCTCCACCACATCCTCCACAGAGCCAGCCTTTTTTCACCAGTTTGTTGAGACGTCTTGCATCTTTGTGTTTGATGCTTCCTCCCCAGCAGACTGCAGCGTAGAACAGCACACTTGCCACCACAGACTGATAAAACATCTGCAGCGTCTTACTACAGACTTCTATTGATCAGAGTCTTCTCAGGCAAAAAAGTCGGCTCTGCCCTTTTCTGTAGATGTAGTCTATATTCTTAGACCAGTCCAACTTATTATCCAGCTGTACACCTAGGTATTTACATGATGTCACCACTTCAATGTCCACTCCACAGGTGTTCACTGGCTGAAGAGGGGGTTTGGATTTGCGGAAGTCTATGACCATCTCCTTTGTCTTTGAGGTGTTGAGGAGGAGGACGTTTTTGTGACTCCAGTCACTGAAGGCTCTTATTGGATCTTTATATTCAGCTTCTTGTCCATTTCTGATACATGCCACAATAGCGGTGTCATCTGAGTAATTCTGGATGTGGCAGGACTCAGTACTGTATTTGAAGTCTGACGTGTACAGTGTGAACAGGAATGGCGCCAGCACTGTCCCTTGTGGAGCCCCGGTACTGCTCATTAATGTCCCAGAAACACAGTTCCCCAGCCTGACAAACTGTGGCCTTCCTGTCAGGTAATCTGTGATCCAGGAAACACAAGAAGGATCCACTCCCATCTCTGTGAGCTTGTCTTTTAGTATGGTGGGTTGGATGGTGTTGAATGCACTTGAAAAGTCGAAGAACATGATCCTCACATAAACCCCAGGTTCCTCCAGATGAGACAGGGCAGGGTGAAGCATGTAGAGGACAGCATCATCCACTCCAATGTGTTATTTGTATGCAAACTGCAGGGAGTCCAGTTTGTCTTTGACCTCAGACCTCAGAAGACGTAGAATCAGCCACTCCAGGGTTTTCATGATTTGTGAAGTGAGGGCCACTGGTCTGTAGTCATTGAGTTCAGCAGGACATTTTGTTTTTGGTACTGGCACAATGCAGGATGTTTTCCACAGAGCAGGTACCTGCCCCAGCTGTAGACTCAGGTTGAAGATCTTGTGGAGAGGTTGACACAGTTCTGCAGCACAGTCTCTAAGCAGCCTTGGACACACACCATCGGGACCAGCTGCCTTCCCAGGACAAAGTCTTCCAAGCTCCATCCTCACCCCTGTTTCGGTGACAGACAAGGACTGGTGTTCTAGGAGGGAGGCAGTTGAAGTGGTTGAGACATTTGAACAAGATGGAGGAGGAATGGGAGAAGTTGTAGTGGAGATTTGTTGCGGAGAGGAAGGTGGAGTAGTCATTAAACCACAACATCAAACTTAAGTTCTTACAGTATCTACAATCATTCAGTCATAGCATCATGTCCTCATGCTGGGCAATGCCACAGAACGTCAACCAAATCACAGGCCACATTCTCCCTGTCTAGGCAAATGGGAAAAACCTCTCTGAACTGGCTTATGTTGGTTTCCTTAGATCATTAGCCATGAGTCTGATCAATTTTGAGTCATTGTGTTTAACCTTTTCCCCCTTAACTTCAAATGTGTTTAACTTTTGCTACCCGTGCTTACCATTATGCAACACAAGTGCATTATGTGCACAATGTGTCTTAGTAAAAATGTGTTTGCAAGTTGTGTCTTACCAGGTGAAAAGTGCTTATGGTTTTGCTAAGAGTGACTGACTTAATAGATGGGTTCAGACTGCTGAGTATTTGGTTCACACAATAGAGTTATGTGTTTAAGAAAGAAATATTGTGAAGCTTTTACAGTTTTTCACAGTTGCTAAAACACTAAACCCCATATCTCTGTGCCTAATTCTTAGTGGCCTAAAATCATTTTTCACAGAGAATGTAGCCTGTGATGTGGATGAAGTCCTGTGGCTATGGATATTTTGGTATAAAATTTAATGAGCTTCTCATTTATATCAGTTTTTATTATTTTATTTTTATTGTATACAAGGCTAAATTCACAGAGGAATCTTTTGCCACACCCATTTAGCCTACTGTGAACAATAATTTCAACAGCTACATGTCCAGGGGCCTCATTTATAAAACCTGGCGTAGGATCCATACTAAAAGTGTACGTAAGTTGAAAAGCTTAAAAGTGCGTAGGCAAAAAAAAAATCTGATTTATAAAACCCTGCCTACGCACACCTGCACGCACTTTCCCTTTATAAATCACAGACCAGCCGGAAAGTTGCGCAGCAGGGATTTGATTCATGCCCCGCCCTCTCCACACCCAAAATTCACCATGTATGGTCATGCAAATTACCTCATGAATGTGATTTGCATATAAATAAGCCTGATGGATCCACGGCATTTCACGCTTAACCATGGCATCAGCAAGTTGTAGAAAAAGAAACTTTTCAGAGACCGAGGTGGAGGCTCCTGTAAATGAGGTGGCGGCGAGACGGGAGACCTTATTCGGCGGCCATTCGAGTGGTATCACTAATAAAAACGCCGTTGCCGTGGCAGTAATTGCGGCTGGCACTGAGCGCAGCGTTGCCGAAAGAGTGTTGTTTTCGTCATATTTCGTCAAATATTTTCGTCAATGCCAGTGTCAAAAAAGGGAAATATTTTCGTCAACGAGAACAACACTGGTTGTTTTCGTTGACGAAAATGACGAACAAAATTCAGTCAGTTAAATGCTAAACATATAGGAGCAGCTTCTGTCCGCTCTGACAGCTCTCATCAGCCTGCTGTGCTCCTCCAACACACAGACACACGCGCTCGCAAACACATGGAGTTTTGTTTTCGTTGACGACGACGAAAACAGCACTGTGCCGAAATCAGGAAGAAGTGGTCTGATCTAAAGGTGGAGGCAAAGAAAAAAGTAGCTTTGCACCGTCGGAGCGTGGCGGCGACAGGTGAGGATCAGAAAACACAAGCACGTGTGACACTCATGCATGTGTTCCAAAAAAAAAACTGCTCCGTTATCCACCGCTGCTTATGTGGTGAAAGTTCGTAAACCAAAAAGATTTAGTCATATTAATCTTAAAACAAATACATGTAAATGGAATTTGTTTTTTTGCACATTTGTAAATTCAAATTGGCAAACTTTCTACACCGCCACAGTGGGGTCTGTGCTTTCTGCGAGCATCACTGCCTGGTACAGCAGCTGCAGCTCTCAGGACAGAGAGGCCCTGCATCGAGTCATCCGTTGTGCTGAACGCATCACCTGGACTGCACTGCCCGGCCTCCAGGACATCTACACCCAGCGGTGCAGGTCCAGGGCAAGACGGATTATCAAACACTCACCATCCCAACCACAGACTGTTTGAGCGGCTGCCCTCGGGTAAGAGGCTGCGCTCCATCAGAGCCAGGACTGAGAGGCTGAAAAGGAGCTTCTTCCCCCAGGCCACTCGGATCATGAACTCCTCATAACACTTACCCCAAAACTGACTTCTCAACACCCTCTGAACAGACTTTACATTATTATTATGTTTTTTTTGGCACAATCGCAGACGTCACTTTCATTTCACTGCCACTGTACCTGTACATTTAGGCATGTGACAAATAAAACTTGAAACTTGTGCTGCATTGCGCACGACTGTCACTGTATGGCTTTTTATATGCGCGCTTTCCATTAACCAATTGTTCTCACCTTGCTCCGATTGTCTCCAAAAAGTGCGTAAGCAAGGTGTGGAGTTTGCTTAAAGTTGCGCACATTCCTACACTAGTTTTTCTTTTATAAATCCCAACTCTTGCGTAAGAAGTGGCGTAAGCACTTTCTAGCCAGGTTTTGTGCGTAAGCAAGCTTTATAAATGAGGCCCCAGAGCATTGATTTTTCCATTTTATGTGTAGTGTGTAATGACTGCTCAGTAGTGTTTTTAATTCTGATTGACTTGGGATAGGATCTGACAACATTGGATTTGAGCACAGGATTACTTTTGAGGTGATAGTTAAAATGTGATAGAAAAGCCGTGTTTTGTGAATGTTATTTAAATTTTTAAATTTGTGTTTAAGGTTTTGGGAAAATTGGTGAAGGTTTCAAGAAATGTGTTTCAACACGTAAAAAACTGTAAAAACATTTGCAGCATCATGAAATGAAAAAAAATAAAAGAGACCTTGAACTGTTGAGCAGCTGAAATCCTCTTTCAGGCAAGAGTGGGACATGTCACTGACTCAAGTACCTGGTCTGCTTGGTTTACTAAGGTTTACAGGGAGCTTAGGACACACTGTGAGAAACTCTGGACTTCATCCCTACTATTTTTCAGATGGGTATTTCTTGTAATGATACAATTATGTTGGGTTTTTATATATACACAATTTACTACTTTGACTACATGTTAACAGAACATGCAAAAATAAGGCAAGGTATGTTTTACTTCCAGCTGTCATCAATTTCAGAAACACTTGTGTTCTGCGTAGGCCTGGACGATATAGAAAAAAAGCATATCGATAAAAAATAAATCATATTGATCAATATCGATAATTATCAATATAATTATTATAATTATTTAACATATATTTTAATTGCAGCCCTGGATGTTTTATGCTATTGCTTAATGACCTACTTTTAATAAAGAACACATAAGCACTGAAATCAAATTCAAACCTTTATTCAACCACCTTTTTATTTATTTTTTACCACAACTGAAAGTTTTTTAAAAAAGAACTTAAAAAAAAAAAAAAAGAAATCAACTTAAGTGGCCTGAGTGACGTCAGTAAATACTGACAAACATAAAGACTAAAGTGACCAGAAAATCTGATAAATAAATATTTAAATAGTCTTTTGATGAAAATAAACAAAACAAACAAATATATAAATAAACAGAATAGCTTTAGGTGGGAATAGCATACTACCAGTTTTAACTGTGTGAGAAACTGCCCACAGCCTGGTGTCTGAACACTGAAATATTTCTCCCAGGGTCGGGAGATTTATTTTTTTTAATTATCATGTGATTGACTTAATACGCAAACTGAGCACGAGAAGCAGGACTTATCCACGCCGGTGTTGTGTCGTAGAATCCACCCCCTGCTAGTAGCCATGATCCAAATACTTGCGTCTTTATAAAATATGAGCTCATTTTCTTCCACTTTAAGAAGCTAATGAGTGGACAGGATGCAGGGGTGCATTCTACAGCACAACACCGGAACGTATTTCCTCCGCACCCTTCTCAGCTTTTCAACCCCTGACCCGTTTTCATGCCTGAAGCGCTGTGTTTGAGAAATACTTGCGGCCGGGCACTTCATATCGTGGGTCAAGAGTGGCTAGAAGCTGGTCGAAGCCAGGCTTTTCAACGGTAGTTATTGGCAGTATGTCCCTCGCTATGGAGCATGTCACTGCATGGGTGATGTCCTTATGCCGCTTGGACGCTTTGTCGTATTTTGGCAAGAAACAAAGTCCAGTTTGGTCTGCTTCACTTGCTTTGTGCTGGCAGCGGTTCCAGAGGATTCCTCCGACGACGACGTGGAGTCGCGACGCGGCCGACACAGCTCGTACTCCTGCGGGTGCGATCGGTTTAGATGGTAGAACAAGTTGGTTGTGTTACCAGACTTGGTTTTTACTAATTCTCTGCAAATTTTGCAAACGACCGCTGTTCGCTTTTTGTCAGACTTGTAAAAACCAAAACATTGCCATGCTGGTGAACTACTGAAACCTTTTTTCGGGACAATTTCCTCCGCTTCTCCTTGCTGTAACATTATTTCTAATACACGTGCTGTCTGTTGTGGTTTGAGAGGGGCTGGGCTGCCGTAGCGTACCTGGGTCTGCGTTTGTGATTGGTTGGGAGGAAGTAATGACTGTAGTAAAAGCTACATGATAGGCTATGATGAAAAAGAAAGGGAAACTGTGTTTTTCTATCGAACTTTTTATCGACCCGTTTTTTTTCTATCGCACCACACGTCTATCGATCGATATATATTGTTATCGAATTATCGTCCAGCACTAGTTCTGCGTTTCTGGGAAGTCAGCTCAGATCTGGGTTAGTGTATTTTTCTTTCGTGATGGGTCCATGCACCATTAACATGTCATGTTTCAGAAAAACACTGGCTCAGTTAGTGGGCTTCCTCTCTCTCTCTCTCTCTCTCACTGATAAGCACTTCAGTGATTTGAGCTTTTTTTCTGTTTTGTGTTAAGTCTGCACAGTAAAAACTGGGCCATATTCTCATCATTTTGGACTACTGTTCACTCACTGATGTAATCACATGCATAAATTTATGGCCATTGTTTGGTGCCCTATTATTCATTGGGCTGGACAATAGAGCACTGTTCCAGCAGTATCCAAACAGCAAACACTAGTGTGTGAGTTTCTTTCAAACTTAATACAGTTGCCTTTATTATGAAAACAAGAGAACATTTTTTTGTATATGCAGTTCTGCACTGAGATTACACAACAATTTGCAAAGAGACCTTATTTAACTGGCAGTATACATGCCAAATGAATGTAAAATTAATAATACAGCAGGTTTTCTACACATCTCACCAAGAATGGCAGACAGGTCCTCCCATTTCATACAGTCTGGTAGTACAATATTTATTTCAGTTTGAGGTGTTACATGTTGAGCAACAAACTTACAGTTGTCTTCAGCCACAATTTCAATGCAAAGATTAAGAGTCAAGACAATCCTGATGATGTACTGAACACTAAAGAACTGGCAAATCAGATGTGACATAAAATATACATAATGTCTATGTACATATACAGTTGCACTTGACTTCTGATGTACTCAGACACAGCTGTGAACAGGTTGAAGAGGAAATTTAAAAAACACCTTCAAATGGGGCGGATGGAAAAACACATGCTGACACAGCAAAATAATCACTGATGGAAAAGAGAAACAGAAAAGGCCGTACAAACAGAAACCTCAATAAAACGGATTTATTTACTTATCCCACGGTAGGAATGCAGAGAAACACACACTCACACACATACACCCACACACGCCCACCCACACAGAGTTCTCATTGACCTGCTTTCAGAGGGCTAAATCAAAGAGTTGCCTCTGATAGGTCTGAGATTGGGGTGATAGGGTGTCAGAGCTTGCGATGATGGCCTGTGCAAAGAATTTGTCATCAATAACAGGACAGTATGACAAGAAGGATGCTTTATTTGTTTTTGGTAGTGTGGCCATATTTTGTACAGTACAAATACAGGCAACTTTATCTTGTTGTCATATAGACATGTTGTGAATCATGTCTATAGCCCTGTCCTGTTTGATTGTGGTGGGGCTTTGCCTGGACACAGTGGAGTTTGTAGGGGATAGAAGCCAGGCAGATAGGCTGGCAGAGTTTGGGGTGGGGCAGGGCAGGGTTGGGGGGGGGGGGGGTTAAGTTGTTATCTCTCTCAGCAGCACCCCCCTGATGACGGCTTGACAGTAGTTCCAGGGGTCAGCTTCATGTTTCCCTTCTCTCCTCCTCCAGCTGTGGCCCCGGGGCCCATCCTCTTCTTGATTTCAGCAGCCATGGTCATGAAGGCCTGTTCTACATTTGTAGCGTTTTTGGCACTGGTTTCCAAAAAGGGAATGCCCAGAGAGTCTGCAAACTCCTAAAAACAACAGGGACAGACAAAGGACAGATTATAGACATCTGTTTTACAACTTCATTCCGTTTTCTATTATATCAGAACAAAGACAAATAGACGGTAAAAAAGACTTGTTTGGTACCAAAGAGACAAGACTGTGGCCCTTGGCTAAGCATATACACTGTGTGCACAATTATTAGGCAAGTGAGTATTTTGATCATATCATTTTTATGCATATTTTCCAACTCCAAGCTGTATAAACTTGAATGCTTATTGGATATAAGCATATCAGGTAATGTGTATTAGTGTAATGAGGGAGGCTGGGGCCTAAGGAGATAAAAACCCTATATCAAGGTGTGCATAATTATTAGGCAGCTTCTTTTCCTGAGGTAAAATGGGCCAAAAAAGAGATTTAAGTGACTCTGAAAAGTCAAAAAATGTAAAAAGTCTTTCAGAGGGATGCAGCACTCTTGAAATTGCTTAGATATTTGGGCGTGATCACAGAATCAGCAAACATTTTGATGCAAATAGTCAACAGGGTCGCAAGAAACGTGTTAAGAAAAAAAGACGCAAATTAACTGCCAAAGATTTGAGAAGACTCAAACGTAAAGCTACCAGGAATCGCTTATCCTCCGGTGCTGCCATATTCCAGAACTGCAACCTACCTGGAGTGCCCAGAGGTACAAGATGATCAGTGCTCAGAGACATGGCCAAAGTAAGGAAGGCTGAAATCTGACCACCACTGAACAAGACACAAGTTGAAACGTCAAGACTGGGCCAAGAAATATCTGAAGAGAGATTTTTCAAAGGTTTTATGGACTGATGGGATGAGAGTGACTCTTGACGGACCAGATGGATGGGCCCGTGGCTGGATCAGTAATGGGCACAGAGCTCCACTTTGACTCAGACGCCAGCAAGGTGGAGGCGGGGTACTGGTATGGGCTGGTATTATTAAAGATGAGCTAGCTGGACCTTTTGGGTTAAAGATGGACTTAAAATCAACTCCCAAATCCAATGCCAGTTTTGAGAAGACACTTTCTTCAAGCAGTGGTACAGGCAAAAGTCTGCATCTTTCAAGAAAACCATGATTTTTATGCAGGACAATGCTCCATTGCATGCAACAAAGTACTCCACTGTGTGGCTCGCCAGTAAAGGCCTTAAAAACTAAAGAATAATGACATGGCCTCCTTCTTCACCTGACCTAAACCCTGTTGAGAACTTGTGAGCCCCTCTTAAATGGGAAATTTACAGTGAAGGAAGACAGTACACCTCTCTGAACAGTGTCTGGAACAGTGTCTAGAAGGCTTTGGTTACTGCAACACAAAAAGTTGATCGTCAACAGATCAAGAAACTGAAAGACTCCATGAATGGAAAGCTTATGACTGTTAATGAAAAGAAGGGTGGCTATATTGGTCACTGATTTTTTTTTTTTTACATTTCAACAATTTTTATTTGTAAATTGAGTTGTTTGTTTATCATTCTCACTTTAACAAGTGAAAATAAACAAGTGAGATGGAAAATTTTTCAATTTTAATTTAGTTGCATAATAATTCTGCACACTAATAGCTGCCCCCAATAATTGTGCACACATAGATATTCGCCTAAGGAAGTCAAAATCTCACTTTTACTCCCTTAAATATTAAGGTTTGAGGTTTATTAACATTTTGGATTGACCGAGAGCACTGTAGTTGTTCAAAAATAACATTTATCCTCAAAAATACAACTTGCCTAATAATTGTGCACACAGTGTACTATTGTTCCCCTCTCATAGATGATACCTGGGTGGGCTGATCAAGTAACTACCTGCTGACCATTTTTATATTTTTTTCTGTCTTTACCCATCATCCTTGGTATATGATTTGGATGAACTCTCATTGCTATCACCATGTCTGATTACTTGCTGCGAGTGTCAGAAAGAGAGAAAGGTCTTTCCATAGCCTCCTGATATTGCATAAGAATACAATTTAACATTTTATTTATAGATGCCTTTCAGGACACTCCAGAACACCTTACAGAACAATAAAAATGACAATTAAACCACACATCAACGCATCAAAAAAGTTTAAAATCCTGACTCTGCAGCCAGGGGTGAAAATCCTTTTTTACAGGGGGACAAAAAACAGTAAAATTTCAGAGAGTAATTTCCTGGGGGAGACATAAAAATAAATGCTATATTTTTTGGCTGTGTTGTCTGATACTTTCTTAAATGTCTTACATTATTATAATAAACAACAACTGTAATTTTGTGATTGTTTCTTATTAGTGCATATTATTCCCGTCTACAGGTTTGTTTATGCTTAACCAGCAATTCCATGAGTGGTATAGGATGGTAGGGTGGTAGGTGTCAATAACACCATATGTGACTCAATTTTTCTTTTCACTGCCATTTCAACTGACCTGGCTGCAGGTGCAAGTGCGCAAACACACACACACACACACACACACACACACACACACTCATATACACTCACTCACACACGCACGCTCGCTCACTCACTCACTCACTCACTCACTCACTCACTCACTCACTCACTCGGATTTAGGGAAGAACCATGCCCCAAACGACAGATAATACGCATGATTAGCCTAGTTTTAATTTTCCTTGAAGTAAATGAGAAATGTTTTGGCATGAGGGGATGATTGGGCTGGTTACAAGTCCACAACACTATGAATTAAATATCCAACAGCCTATAAAAGCATCTGACTTGGAAAATAATGTAAAAAGTGGTGATTTAAATGGATGACAATAAGAAGTGGAAATTAATGGCCAGATCATAATTAAAAACTGTATCATTCAAGTAAACATCGAAGTCAAAGTTATAACTACTTTCTTATTGAATCAATATATTGGGAACAGAATATCTAACTCAAAGTAATAACAGGCTACATATATGAATTTATAAATCTGTTATCTTTCAATAGCTAAAATTGTCAAACTGTGTTTTTAAGTAGTGTGACTTGTTTTGCACCACCAACAAGCATTACTATAAATTTTATTTTGTGTTTAGAGCAGGATTTTGTGGGGGCAACTATTATATCGAAGGAAGGGAGGGAGCGGCAGGACACCTGTGTCCCCCCTGCGCCTATGTCTGTAGCAGAATAACAACAATCAAGTCTTAATTTTTTTGTGGTTTCCTCTTGTTTGTTTCTCATTTTGCAATCATTGTTGTTGTTTCCGGTGTTGTGCCGAGAAACACGTCTGCCGATAATTGCATCCACCTCGCGGAAACGCACACCACTTATAGTAGTGGTCCACGGAAATGTACAATTTATGGTCTATACAATTATTATTTGTGGGGCTAAACAGTGATGAGTAATGTTCCCTAAGTAATTCTCTGTGGGCATGTGTTTCTTGGCACAACACCGGCAGCGCAGGCAACTCACTCCATGTGCAGGGGCATGATTTCCACCTTTCTGATTTCGATTGACGGCTGGCAGGGTAGTCTGATTGGCAACTGAGTAAAGAATGAATGTGATTGGTGGATCGCTGCACAGCACAGAGTCTACATGCAGTGCATGTCAGTCTGCTACCCTTGAAATTAGATGAGTTCATTTGCCTCCTACATCGCAGGCTCTGCAATGTGAGTATCGCTTACACGTACATCGCGATGACGATGCTCAAACCATATCTCGTGCCGCCCGAGTGTAGTGAAGTTCGGAGAGGTATGGAGGAGCAAGGCTGCAGAATTTTGTGGAGCAGAATTTTGTATTCGATGCAGAATTTTATTGGAAGCCAGTAAAGCTGGTGGAATACAGTTGTGATGTGACTGATAGATGGTGTCCAGGGGCCTCATGTATCAACGCTTGCGGCGCAAGAAAACCTTGCGTACGCCAAAATCGGCGCACACATCCAGATTTATCATCGCGAAACGAGCGTCGGTTCCAGCGCTAATCAACGCAAAGTCAGGAGGTGGTGTAGAAATTGGCGTTGAGCCGAAAACTTGCGTTGACTGTGATTCGCACTTTGGCGACGCTGTGTGGCGGTGTTTGGTGACTCACTATGTGACAAGCGTGCACCACATCCCCGTGGCCGAGCAGCACGTCGCCCCACATGACGAACCAGCAGCAGACGGAGGGATGCAAGCTGATCCCTGCCGGGCCGCCGTTCTCGCGCGGGAGAATCTCATCGCCACAGTGTGAATGGGTAAGAAGTGAATACACAGTTGTTCAATGAGCCAAATTAATTTATTTTCTCCTCCAGACGCTCGAGGACATTTACGAGCCGGTCCAGCCGCTCGTTGATCCCCGTGATCCCCCTGATGATTTCTTCCTGCGATTGCAGGACCCCCTCCGCGAGGACCCTTCCACTGCGTCCGGGTGGTCCAGCGGAAGCGCCGCGGCTGGTGGACGCTCCACCGCTTGTCGGCGCGCTGGTGCTGATGCTGGTGCTGGTGCTGGGGCCGGGGGCCGGGGTGGCCCGAATGCCGCTGGTCCTGGCCGACGACTCCGAGCCGGCGGACGGGCTGCCGCGGGCCGGGGTTCCGCAAGCCGGCGACACGGCCGACACATTGATTTCTGTGACACAATAAAAATATTGGTTCATTTCAATTCCTGCTTCTGTGTATCTGTTGCGTTTACATCTCTCTCCACGGTATCATAGGTAATGTAATCCAGTATTTAGAGGTCAGTTATGCACATTACAGTTATATATTGCATAAAAAGTTATCGAAAAATGAAGTTAAGGGCGAAGTATAAACCACGTCTAAAAATAGACTGAATCCCGACGTTGAAATGAAGTATAAACTCTGACTAGACGTCTAATATACGTCTTTTGCTCAGTGGGATGACAAAGCATGTGGACATTTGTGTGACACGCCACTTACCCTATAATAATAATCGCCACCACTCGCTGCTCAAACGGTGTGAGGGTCTCCTCCCCCGGACCCCCACCTGTCTGGCCAGTACTCCTCCGGAGGGCAGCTGTACGCCGCTTGACTTCCACCTTGTGGTCCGACCACTTTTTTTTAATCTTCGCGGGGGTGCGTGTCTCGGAACCCACCGCATTCACCCTCTCGCAAACTTTCTCCCACTCCAAGCGTTTACGTTTTGCACTGACGCCACTGGACAGGCTGCCAAACAAAACACACTGTCGCTCCTCCACCTCCGCCACCAGAACCTCCACCTCGCACGCCGTAAATTTAGTTTTTCTTGTCATTTTGTCTGCGTGCGAGGACAGGGAGACCCTATTTAAATAAATCTGCATATTTATAGGAGGGCGTAACGGGGACGGGCCCAGTCACTCCGACATCTGCGCTCAATTCCACGCTGATTGGGATTTATCAAGGAAACACACGTGGATTTCGGCGCCCGCACACATTGATACATACAGATTTTTTTCAGCGTGACGGACCTTGCGTGCGCTCGTTTCTGGTATGAGTTCCACGCAAGTATTGATACATGAGGCCCCTGGTGATGTTACGTACTGTAGCATTCTGGTCCAGTAGAAGCTACTGGGTGGACTTATGGGAGAGACCAGTGAAAAGGGTGTTGCTGTAATCCAAATAGGAAGTCGTTCAAATGATGCACTTGAACCGAGAGGTTGCTGCAAGTGTGGTCTTTCTGTATTATCTGTAATTTTTGCTAGATTTTTTTCATACTTTTATTTTTTTGTTGGCTGCTGATGGATACTTCTGCTGGGCGAAGAATTTACTCGAAAGAAGAGCTCCATTTATTGAGACAAAGCAAATCTGGACAACAACATCAAATCCCAGAGGACATCAGGAGGTGGTTGCTGTGCTGGTGCAAAGGTGAAGGCAAAGCTGAATGCTAGGAGGTGGAGATATAGACACTTTCTTCCATCAGTCATTATGGAAAACATCAACTCTCTGCCCAACAAAGCATACTGTGAGTGCAGTCTCCTGTGTTTTACTGAAACCTGGTTGAATTAAAACAACTCAGACTCCAGTGTGGATCTACCTGGCTTCACTCTTGTAAGGTCTGACAGAGATGCTCAAGCTAGTGGCAAGAAGAAAGAGGTCTGGCTTTATTTGTCAACCAGAGATGGTGTAACCCTTCACACATAACTGTCAAGGAGAAGTTGTTGGCAGTTGCTCTTCAGCCATATTATGTTCCAAGAGAATTCAGTCATACAATACCCAAATCAACTGCAGAAATTTCATGCAATCTTTTGCATAATAGTGCTGCCAGGCAACAGACTCAACACCCTGAGGCACTAATGATAACCTGACTGGATTTACACAGTTTGTTAACTGTCCTACCAGAGAAAACAAAGCCCTGGATCTGCTGTATGCCAACATCAAAGAAGCCTACAGAGCCACAGCCTTACCACCACTGGGCAAGTCAGATTATAACTTGGTCTATCTGCAGTACACTTTGTGTACTAAGGTAGCCTGTGACTAAAGTCCAAATCAGAGGATGGACACCTCAAGCTAGTGAAGCTTGACAGTGAAGGGACTGTGTTAAATCAACAGACTGGAAACAGGTTGACGGCTTTACTGAATCAACTTCTGTAGAGACACAGTTATACCCAATAAGGCTGTTCGCTGTTTCCCCAACAACAAACCCTGGATCACAAGAGACATAAAAGCAATCCTTAACCAGAAAAAGAAAGCTTTTAAAGATGGTGACAAAGAATGACTCAAACAAGTGCAACAAGAGATGAAGAGGAGACTGAGGGTGGCAAAGCTGGAGTACAAAAAGAAGATAGAGAAGAATCTACAACACAGCAACATCCGTAAAGTGTGGAGAGGAATTGGTACCATCTCTGGACACGACAATAAAAAGAAAAGACAGCCAGTAGTGGGTGATGTGGAAAGAGCTGATGAACTCAACCCATTCTTCAACAGATTTGACATTGCTGTCACACCCACTTCCACTGCTACTCCACCTTCTTCTCCGCAACAAATCTCCACTACAACTTCTCCCCTTTCTTCACCATCTTGTTCAAATGTCTCAACCACTTCAACTCCCTCCCTCCTAGAACATCAGCCTTTGTCTGTCACAGAAACAGAGGTGAGCTTGGAGCTTGGAAGACTTTGCCCTGAAAAGGCAGCTAGTCCAGATGGTGTGTTTCCAAGGCTGCTTGGAGACTGTGCTGCAGAACTGTGTCAACCTCTCCACAGGATCTTCAACTTGAGTCTACAGCTGGGGCGGGTACCTGCTCTGTGGAAAACATCCTGCATTGTACCAGTACCAAAAACAGAATATCTGGCTGAACTCAATGACTACCGACCAGTGGCCCTCACATTACACATCATGGAAACCCTGGAGTGGCTGATTCTACACCTTATAAGGCCTGAAGTCAAAGAAAAACTGGACTCCCTGCAGTCTGCATACAAAGAACACATTGGAGTGGATGATGCTGTCCTCTACATGCTTCACCGTGCCCTGTCTCATTTGGAGGAACCTGGGGTTTATGTGAGGATCATGTTCTTCGACTTTTCAAGCGCATTCAACACCATCCAACCCACCATACTCCAAGACAAGCTCACTGAGATGGGAGTGAATTCTGCCTCTGTTTCCTGGATTGCAGATTACCTGACAGGAAGGCCACAGTTTGTCAGGCTAGGGAACTGTGTCTCTGGGACATTATTGAGCAGTACAGGGGCTCCACAAGAGACAGTCCTGGCATCATTCTTGTTCACATTGTATACGTCAGACTTTGAATACAGCACTGAGTCCTGCCACATCCAGAAATACTCGGATGACACTGCTATTGTGGAATGTATCAGAAATGGACGAGAATGAATGCTGAATACAGAGATCTGATAAGAGCCTTCAGTGACTGGAATCACAAAAACTGCATCCTCCTAAATACCTAAACTACAAAGGAGATGGTCATAGACTTCTGCAGATCCAAACCCCCTCTTCAGCCAGTGAACACCTGTGGAGTGGACATCGAAGTGGTGCAATCATATAAATGTCTAGGTGTACATCTATATTAAGTTGGACTGGTCTAAGAACATAGACTTCATCTACAGAAAGGGTCAGAACCACCTCTTTTGCCTGAGAAGACTACAATCAATAGACATCTATAGTAAGACGTTACAGATGTTTCATCAGTTTGTGGTGTCAACAGTGTTCGTTTCTACACTGCAGTCTGCTGGGGAAGCAGTATTAAACACAAAGATACAAGACATCTGAACAAACTGGTGAAAAAAGCTGGCTCTGTGGTTGGATTCAAGTTGGAGTAACTGGTGGAGAGATCTACACAGGGGAAGGTGAAGGCTATTCTAAAGCAGTGATTTTCAACCTGTGTACCACCTCGCACTAGTGTACCGTGAGAGATCGTCAGGTGCGCTGTGGGAAATTATACAATTTGCAAAAAATATGCCATTGTTGGCATGGGGTGGTAGAAGATGGCTAATTGCCTGTAAAAAAAACTTAAAACAGAGAGAGAGAGAGACTGAGAGCTGTTAAGGAAGATCTTAGTGTATTTCTTCCTTCCATTCCTGCCAGGATATCATCTTTGTATTCATCTATACAGGGCCAGGGCTCACACTTAGCGAGTATAAATACTTTTAGAAACTAACCACAGTTAGTTTTTAACTATACTAGCTATATTCTAGGCATGCACATAAAATTCGGCCACCGAAAATGGCTTAAAAGTGCATTTACGGTTTTTGGCACTTTTCTCACTGAAACAACACGGCCGAAACAGATGATGTGATGACGCAAGCAGAAACTGCGACCAGTATGCGCTTGTCTGGATAAGAGCCAACATATCTGCAGTGTGGACGTTTTTCTATTTATCTGAGAACCACGAATAAGTATGGAAGCGATTGTGACTCATATCTCAAATTCAAAAGCATTAGCAGAAATGCGTTTTCATTTCAAAGTCATGGCTGCACTATTTGACTCAAAAATAAAAATAAAAAGCAATATTCCAAAATGCATTTTCATTTTCTTCTTCAAGACAGCCCATTCTGTGACTAAATTAAAAAGAAAAACCAAACTCAGAAATGCTTTTTCGTTTTCATGGTCGCCCCGCAAAAAGTGTCTCATAATTCAATCTGAGTTTGCAATCTCAAGTGGCGCCGGAAAGTGACGTCACAGACCCCACTCGTTCTGGCCCCTTCTGGCTGATAGGGGGCAGTGAATCTGTGTATCATTCGTTCAATTGATATTCAATCAAGAATCAAAAAACTAAACAGTGAAAAACGGTTCGTTTTCCCTTTTTGAAATGAAAACAAAAAAATGAAAATTCGTTCGTTTTCCAATATTCCCTCAGTTAACATAAATCAAATAAACAGAAGTTGAATTACAGGCCATTGGCTGATTTTGTTTTTATTATTTAATTTGTACGCTCGTCGTGACCCGGAAGTTGTATCGTCTGTGTTTTTGCCGGTGTCTCAACCTGATCGTATCAATTTAAAGGGCCTTTGAGACATTCATGTTAGGGGGAATGAGTTTATTGGGTCAAAAATAAAACTGTGATGAACAAGATGGGGAATTCATATTCTCTCTGTTGGTGTAAGCCCAGTTCATTTATCCTGTAAGAGCAATCACTGTCGTGGTTTCATTGAGAGGTGGTGCTGTGCTTTAGGGTAGCTTCCTGCACCTGTGGTTTGTAGCGATACTTAGCAAATTAGATGCATGTAGTTCACTAACTTTTATTGTTGTGCTGGGAATCGATTGCCATGTATTCGTGTGCAGTGTGGATACAACAGAATTGGTTGTAAAACAAGGGGCTTTACCTTTGCTGTTGTGTAATCCACCACCTTCTTTGTCGTCAGGTCACATTTATTCCCAACCAAAAGCTTATTGACATTTTCACTGGCATAGCGGTCAATTTCCTGTAGCCACTGTTTGACATTGTTGAAGGACTCCTGGCAAAGAAAACAGGTAAACATTAGCACCTTGCACAGAGCCAACTTAAAGACCTTTCTTCTCAACATTAAGACTTCTCAGACCCAAGTACTGAAGTTATTTAGAGTTTTTTTTGACAGGGAGTGAGCTGACACCACGAGAAGAACATAATCTAAGAGAGCTTTTCCAAAACACTGTTGCACAGCATTATGGTCTAAACCAGGGGTTGACAACTCGCGACTTCAGTTAGTTTTTCTTTATGTAATTCTTTATTCTATGATTATGATACGCTTGTTACATTAAAAAAATGTATTTAAATTTTTTGTCCCTAAAAATTTGGGTCATAACTATGGACTTGCGAAAATCGAAATCCTCTGTGAAGATGAAGGTGACGTCATACAGCCCTGATCTGGGGACGCTGTACACTGAGGTTCAAGAAGCAAAAGTCACATTAAAGATGAATCTCTTATTTTTTTTGTTGCCTGTATGTTCACATGGCATTTTTCTGATGCTACGGGACATATCATGCGAAAAGTAAGTGCAAAATTGCAGCTCTCAGTATTTCTGCAGTCAAACTCCTTTGAATCTCTGGCAAAGCCAACCGGCAGGCTCAGACACAGATATTTCCTATGTTACAACTGCAAGCTCCGCCCCCGAAGCCCCGCTATGCAAGCCCAACTTGGAGAAATAGAGAGGAGGATCATGGAACAAGTGTGTGCATTAGTCCTGCACACTCCAAAAGACCTCAGTCTCCTCAGCAGGTGGAGACGACTTTGGCCCTTCTTGTACAGTACGTCTGTGTTGGTTGACCAGTCCAGTTTATTGTTGAGGTGGACACCCAGGAATCTGTAGGACTCCACCATCTCGATGTCCAGACCCTGGATGTTCACTGGAACAGTCTGAGGTGTCCTCCTCCTGCGGAAATCCACAACCATCTCCTTTGTCTTACTGGCGTTGAGCTGGAGGTGGTTTGTGCCACACCAGTTGACAAAGTCACTGATGACAGTCCTGTATTCCCGCTCATCCCCGACGATACACATCCGACGATGGCTGTGTCATCAGAGAACTTCTGGAGGTGACAGCTCCCGGAGTTGTAGCTGAAGTCTGAGGTGTACAGGGTGAAGAGGAAGTGGGAGAGCACTGTCCCCTGTGGAGCCCCCGTGCTGCAGACCACCATGTCCGATACACAGTTCTGAAGCCTCACAAACTGTGGTCTGTCGGTGAGGCAGTCCACGGTCCATGCCGCTAGGTGACAGTCCACTCCCGCCCTCTCGAGCTTCCCCCTGAGCAGTGAAGGCTGGATGGTGTTGAAAGCACTAGAGAAGTAAAAAAACATGACCCTCACAGTGCTGCCGGTGTTCTCCAAGTGGGCCATGGACCTCTGCAGCAGGTAGATGACAGCGTCGTCCACTCCGATGTTCGGCTGGTACGCAAACTGCAGAGGATCCAGATGAGAGCCCACCGGGGGGCGGAGGTTCCTCAGCACAATCCTCTCCAGAGTCTTCATCAGGTGAGAAGTGAGGGCCACAGGTCTGAAGTGGTTGGGCTCCCTGGGGTGTGCTGTCTTGGGGACAGGAATCACGCAGGAAGTCTTCCACAGTGTTGGGACCCTCTCCAGACTCAGGCTCAAGCTGAAGATGTGCAGTAGCACCTCACAGAGCTGGTCTGCACAGTCCTTCAGGAGTCTGGAGCTGATGCCGTCAGGACCCATGGCTTTCCTTGGCTTCATCTTCCTCAGCTCACTTCTCACCTGGTCAGCTGTTATGGAGAGGCTGGGGGTGGTGCTGGAGGGGGTGGTGGAGGATGAGTGGAGGGGGGTTGATGATGCCGGTGCTCGTTGGCCCACTCCCTGTCTCCTGCTTCAGGTCCCCTCTCATGGCCCCTGCTATGACCTGAGATGGATTTCAGGCCTCTCCAGACCTCCCTTGCGTTGTTCTGTTGCAAAAGGTTTTCCATCTTGGTCTTGTAGCTGGCCTTTCCCTCTCTGATCTTCTTCTTCAGCTCCTTCTGCACCCTCCTCAGCTCCTCCTTGTCCCCAGATTTAAAGACCCTCCTCTTCTCCTTCATGAAGACTGTAAGTTCCGGGGTCACCCAGGGTTTGCTGTTGGAGAAACACCGTACTTTCCTGGTGGGTACAGTGTTCTCAACACAGAAGTTCATATAGTCCGTGATACAGTCTGTCATGGTGTCGATGTCATCACCATGTGGGCCGCACAGTACATCCCAGTCTGTGGTCTCAAAAGAGTCCTGCACCGCCTCAGTGGACTCCTCAGACCACCTCTTAACATACCTGATGGTGGGGGGTTGTTTCTTCACCATAGGTATGTAAATGGGCTGCAGTCTCACCAGGTTGTGATCTGAGCGGCCCAGCGGGGGGAGGGGGGAGGAGGTGTATGCATCCTTGATGTTTGCATACAGTAAGTCCAAAGTTTTATTGTCTCTTGTTGGGCAGTTTACATACTGGCCGAAGGTAGGGAGAGTGGAGGACAGCGATGCATGATTAAAGTCTCCAGAGATGATGATCAGAGACTGAGGGTGTGATGTTTGTAGCTTGGACACTTCACTATGGAGGAGTTCACAGGCTGCAGCAGCATTAGCCGAGGGGGGGATGTAAACAGTTAACGTGATGACGTGCGAAAAGTCCCTCGGCAGGTAATATGGCCGCAAACTCACAGCCAGCAGCTCAATGTCAGCGCTGCTATTTAACACTGACGTGCCCAGCATTACACCATCTCTCATTTACATACACCGCTATCCCGCCTCCTTTCTTCTTACCACTCTCTCTCATGCTCCGGTCCGCTCTGACGAGGTGAAATCCGTCCAAAGTTACGAGTGGGTCCGGAGTGAGTTCGTTCAGCCATGACTTCGTGAACATCATGAGGCTGCACTCCCGATACTCCCACTGCAGCCTAGTCAGCGCTGTGAGCTCTTCCATCTTGTTAAGGAGAGACCTCACGTTTCCCATGATGATGGACGGGACAGTTGGTTTATAATGTCTCCGCTTTGCCCAATGCTGAACTCCAGCCCTGCATCCTCTTCTTCTCCTGCGGAGCCTAGCGGGGATGTACGGTCTCTCCCACGAGGGTGGCCGGGCTTGGCGCAGTGCCAACAGCTGTTCACGGCTGTAAACAATGGGGCCGCTGAACAGGTCACCGGACGCGGACTTAAAAACTCCGAAAAGTAAAAGAAAACAAAGTGCGAGAGTCATGAAATGCACATCCATGGTTGGAATATGCAAGACACAACACTGCTAAAAAAAGAAAGACAAATACGGTGCCAAAAAACAACAATAAGAAGGCAAAAACGTTAAGTCTGTGAGGAGCTGCTGTGGCTTGCTGCCACTCTCAGGGTGCTCAGTCACATTATGTGCATAATCTGAAACAGATTTTCGAATGGTTTGGTTTGTAACAAACCTCAGAGTTTTAGTTATGTTCCTGCATACTCAAGAATAATTTTAACCATGGATTTTCATAAATTAACATTAAGCAGATAGGTAGAGCAATAGCTATAGGCCTACACACACGAGGCAGTTATATTAAATCATTTATATATAAAACATTTATTCATTTTATGTCTGTTATATTAATAATATTTCTATTATAGGGATAAATATAATAAGAAATAGCAAAAAAATATAAATATTTATTTTTCATATAAATTTCTGCCATATAAATTTCTGCCATTTTAGATGTTTTTAACAAACCAAACAATTTGGAAATCATGTGCAATTTAAGTTATGTTGAAACAAAAGAGCATTTCTGCCTCTCCAACTGATGTAAAATTGCTGGGTCAACTTTGTAATACGTACTCAGTCTCACTCACAGCGAGTCTGTTAGCCTAGTTAGACAGCTGATTAACACAAGCACATCCACAAAGGAGGTCACTTCGATGAAAAATATGGGCTGTCATACAAGAAATGAAAATCTCAGTTGTAATCTCAGCCTTGACAATTCGCCCAAAGCTACTCAAAAGTTAGCCCTTGCGTGCAAATAGTTGTGAAACAACTGTGCTGCACGATTAAGTCTTTTTTTCTCAAAGAAAAGCTGCTATTTCAAAATGTCCAAGCATCCCGACTCATAGCCACATTATTAAGTTATGTATATATATCTTACATTGTTCAATGAAACTGTTTTTTTTTTATTCAGGATGACAGCTGACTGCAAACGCCAGTGCATGATAAAATGATGACAGCACACAGAAGCAGACAGCATTTTTGGTTAGCTATATGCTATATAATAAAATTGTGACCAAAATGTTGTTTTCTTGGCAGCATTTGATTAATTCCGTATATGTAACACACTACAGATTTTTTCAAGATACTTTGCATCAAGGTTAAAAAAATATGTGCAGTGTTATCTTTATCTTTGGTGTCAAACTGGGTTTTGTGGCTCCCTGTGTTTATTTTTGTGTGCAAAATGGGTCGAGATGGCTCTTTGAGTGTTAGAGGTTGCTGACCCTTGGTCTTAACACTTAAAATACTCTACACAAGCTCTGGATCCACTCAAAGATTTGGGATTCAAGAAAAAATTATGATTCTACTGTTTCAAACTTCTGTGATGGCTGCCGGGGCTGACTTTCTCCTTTCTAGCACTGTGGCAGCAGGGATGAGTGACCTCTGTAGCAGATAAACTCACTGTGACGATTAATAACTGTTTATCTATATACCTTTGTAACTACCATCATTTAGAGCAAGTCCTCCACATATTCTAACAGCAGACACAATATACTACTACTACTACTACTACTACTACTACTACTACTACTACTAATAATAATAATAATAATAACAACCAGCACCCCAGGGGTCAACAATGGGATGAGCCGTGTCGCGCCACCTCTGTGGACCGCCTCCCCAGCAGACCACTGCCCTGTCACACTGCCTGTCATCCCCCTGCAATGCTCTCCATGGCAGCCAGAGCAGTTGGGATGGCTGGTGCTTGTGACAGCCTTTGACAGCTCGCTGGGGTTTAAGTCTGGAGACTGTGCTGGCCAATCCATGTTTTCAAGCTTACCATCTTGTTCTTTTTTCTTGTTCTTTCTTTCTGGCAAAGCTTGAACTTATGTTTTGGTTCATTATCCTGCTGTAGGATCATTATCTAGCTATGGGATTTTTACACTAGTTTTTTAATTTTTATTTATTTGTTTCTGTACCTGGTATGTGTGAATGTGTATGTTGTGTGTACTGCTGCTGTCAACAATTTTAATTTCCCCTAATTTAATCTAATCTAATAACCCCTGATCATCTAGGCGCATCCCAGAGGGTACTTTATGGTGCTGCAGAATGCTGTGGTAGCCGTTTTGGTTCAGGGTGCCTTTCACTCTGTACAAATCACTGACCCTGGATCCGGCAAATCAGCTCAAGACCATCACACTTCCTCCTCCATGTTTGACAGCTGACATCACACACTGAGGAACAATCCTTTTGCCTACTCAATGGCATACAAAAATCCTGTGTGATGAACCGAAGATTTCAAATTTGGATTCATCAGTCCATAACACCTTCTTCTTCAGTAGTCCATTGGTGGTGTTTCATGGCCCAGACAAGCCTCTTTTTCTTATTCTGAAGTCTCAGCAATGGCTTTCATGCTGCAACTCGACCCATCAAACCTGCAACTCGAGGTCTTCTCTTCACAGTTGAAACTGAGACTTGCTCACTGCGACCACGATTAAGCTGTGCTTGAAGCTTTTATCCTGTAAGCCGCCTATCACGCAGGCTGGTGACTCTCAGAAACTTGTCTTGTAATGCTGTTGTGGCTTTGGGTCTGCCAAACCTCTACCTGTCATCATTTCCCCCAGTTTCTGAGTGCCTTTTGATGGTAAAGGAAACTGTACTCACTGACACCTTGGCTTTCTTGGCAATTTCTCTGTTGGAAAGACCTACATTTTTAAGTGTTATGATGGTCTGTCTCTCTTCTATGGTTAATTGCCTTGCCAGTAACACACTATTTACACTACACTACTGTTAAGACAATGCTCACAACAGTATGGTACCCCACTGTGTTCCAACACTACTTTTATGCAGACAGAGGGGGTTGTAAGTCATCAAGAAAAGTTGGGACGCTTGTAGGAATTGGTAGCACCAACTTTCTGCTGGAGTAAATTCCTGAGTCCTGTTCTGATTCTAAATATGACACCAACAGCTCTACATGAGGAACCTGCATTACTTTGATCACACATATTCCATAATACGTTTTTATGTGCAGCAGTCACAGCTGATAAAATACAGTTAGCTGTATCATTTCCACATTACATCAGATGGTGATGGAAATTAAACCACCAGAAGAAATTCCAACTGTGATCTATCTACCATCTTCTTATAGATAAACAAAACTGGCTTTGATAAGTGTAGAAATGTCAAGGGATACTTGCCTGGTCTGTAACATCGTACACTACAATGATACCATGAGCACCTCTGTAGTAGCTTGATGTGATTGTACGAAATCTTTCCTGACCCGCCGTATCCCACTGGAAAAGGAAAAAGATTAAATATAATTAGAGTGAATGAAAATCATGTCAGAAACAAATGAAAGCACCATCTTATGAATCTGCCCTTTAAGATAGGATAGGAGAAGATAAGAGGAACTTTGTCCATGTAGATTCTCATTCATCTCATTTATCATCTCATTCATCATCATGGATGAATGAAAAGAGGAACTTTGTTGATCCCAAAAGGAAAACTCAGTTGTCTGTTATTTCATGTCTCATGTCATTTATGTCAGCTACTATTTACAGAAGAATTAAACAGTCTGGTGGCTGTGGGTACAAAAGATTTTCTGAATCTGTCCTGCAGTGAAGTGAGGGAAGCTTTGGTGGTCCATCAAGGTCTTATGAGGTTGCTACCCCATGTTCTTCAGCATAGCCTCCACCTTCCTCAGTGTGCATCTCTCCACCACATCGTCTGGGGGTTATATATAACATTATGAACACCTGAGAAATCTAATGTGATTCCATGGTCTTCAATGAGTCCTACATTTTCTTTTTTTTTTTTGCTGACATGATCAAGCCGGTGATAAGTAGTGTAAGCAGGTGCAAGTGCTACAAATTGGGTCTCATGTGTACAGCTCTGTGCAGTTGCAACTGTGAGGTGTAACTCACAGTAAGTATGCTGTATCTTACAAATTGTAATAGATGCACATGGTACTAAAATACCTGCTTTTATCAACGTCTAAATTCTGTACTTAGCTTAGATGGGATCAGGAAAAATTAGGAAATTTTGTAAACTTCTGAATTTTAGTATAGTGTTAGGTATGGGTATAAGGTTTTTAAAAAAACACCGCAAACGAGTTGAGTGCATCCCCTAGTGGTCGGTTTGCATGGTATCCAATGTTAGATAGTTTAGTATATGGTTGAAACCCAAAAAAAGTGATAGAAGAGATTTTATTAAAAAAGCCACACAAAAAAAAAAAAGGGGGGGGGGGGGAGACAGCCTCCACATGGCCTCCCCCGCAAGTAGCCAGAGAGTAGTTGCCCTTTAAGTGAAAAAATGTCTTTGAAATGTCCAACAACCAAGTTTACTCAAGAGAAGAGCTCCTTTCACTGAGGAAAAGCAAATCTGGACAACAACATACAATTCCAGAGGACATCAGGAGGTGTTATCGTGGTTGCCATGCTGGTGCAAAGGTGAAGGCAAAGCTGAATGCTAGGAGGTGGTGATATAAACCATTTCTTCCATCAATCATCACGTTAACTCTCTGCCCAACAAAAGTGATAAGCTGGACAAAATCAGAAGATGGACACCTCATGCCAGCGAAGGGACTGTTTTAAATCATCAGACTGGAATGTGCTGCTGGAAACAGATGTGAATACTATGAACATTGACAAACAGGTTGACTGCTTTACTGAGTATGTCAATTTCTGTAGAGATACCCACAAAGACTGTTCACTGTTTCCCCGACAACAAGCCCTAGATCACAAGTGACATAAAAACAATCCTTAGCCAGAAAAAGAAAGCTTTCAAAGATGACTCAAACAAGTGCAACAAGAGTTACAGAGGAGACTGAAGATGGCAAAGCTGGAGTACAACACAGCAACATCCGTGAAGTGTGGAGAGGAATCAGTACCATCTCTGGGCACAGCAATAAAAAGAAAAGACAGCCAGTGGTGGGTGATCTGGAAAGAGTTGATGAACTCAACCTGTTCTTCAACAGATTTGACACTGCTGTCACACCCACTTCCACTGCTACTTCACCTTCTTCTCCACTACAAATCTCCACTACAACTTCTCCCAAGTGCTTAAATTTCTGCCGGAGCGCGCTCTGGGACCTCTTTGATCGGATCCAGGACCTATTTCAGCCACTCTGGCACCTGTTTGATCTGCTCCGGGACCTCAATAAATATCTATCTATGTTTTCTCTGTGTTTTGTTTCTCCCTGAAGTGACGCCTGTTGGCTTATTTCTTATGCATTTTACTCAGAAATTAGGTAAAACAGGGGGAAAAAGTGATTTATGCCGTCGCGTGTCACAACGCAATGCGCATTGGAATGGTATACAGTTGCAGCGTGATTGACAACGCATCAGAGTGACACTCTATTTAGGCTTTCTTTTTAAAATAAAATATTCTTTCCTAATTCAATGTCCCCTCCATTTGAAGGGAAACTACATGGAGCAAGGACAGGAGAGCCAGTGAGTCAGAGAGACAGGAGGAGGGGAGCTGGGAGGCCTTTGTGGTGACAACAGTTTACAAGAGAAGACAATCGGTCAACAAGCATAAAGTTATTCATGGACAAAGCACACAACAACGTGGCAAATAGACAGGACATTTAATCAAACTTTATCTGTTGTCTGTCAAGTTTGGTTGGATACATTATTACTGTGCAGTGTGCACAACTCATCATTCTAGTGATGTTTGGTCATTTATGTTTTCAATTTCATCCTTCCAAATAGAGACCTTTTTGTCTAATTTTTTCTTTATTTTATATTCTCAGGTTTTTGTTAACTTTATTGTATTTTATTTTTCTGATGTGGTGCTTAGGTGACAGTGACACGCTAAGAGTAAGACTGGCTATACTGGTGTCAAAGAAATCTGTTAATAAAAATGTTTGTTTGCAATATGTCAGTTATTTATATTGCTCATTCCAAATTGATTCCAAGTGTTCTGATGGGCCACATGGTGTGCCAAATGTTGCTGCAAATGTTATACTAGGTTGGTGCGGAAATTGAGGTGAAAAAGACAATAAAAACGCGTTAAAAACCAGAGAAAAAAACACATTTTTATGGCGCGCGCGCTCCAGAGGGGGACCCGGCACCTCCTGGAGGACAAATTAAGCACTGCTTCTCCCATTCCTCCTCCATCTCATAGATGTCTCAACCACTTCAACTACCTCCTCCCTAGACCACCAGTCCTTGTCTGTCACCGAAACAGGGGTGAGGATACAGCTTGGAAGACTTTGCCCTGGGAAGGCAGCTAGTCCAGATGGAGTGTGTCCACGGCTGCTTAGAGACTGTGCTGCAGAACTGTGTCAACCTCTCCACAGGATCTTCAACCTTAGTCTACAGCTGGGGCGGGTCTGTGTCAAAAATGTGACAAAATGTCTGGCTGAACTCAATGACTACAGACCAGTGGCCCTCACTTGACACATCATGAAAACCCTGGAGCGGCTGATTCACGCCATCTGAGGTCTGAGGTCAAAGACAAACTGGATTCCCTGCAGTTTGCATACAAATAACACATTGGAGTGGATGATGCTGTCCTCTACATGCTTCACCCTGCCCTGTCTCATCTGGAGGAACCTGGGGTTTATGTGAGGATCATGTTCTTCGACTTTTCAAGTGCATTCAACACCATCCAACCATCCGTACTCAAAGACAGGCTCACAGAGATGGGAGTGAATTCTGCCTCTGTTTCCTGGATTGCAGATTACCTGACAGGAAGGCCACAGTTTGTCAGGCTATGGCACTGTGTCTCTGGGACATAAATGAGCAGTACAGGGGCTCCACAAGAGACAGTCCTGGCACCATTCTTGTTCACATTGTATACGTCAGACTTTGAATACAGCACTGAGTCCTGCCACATCCAGAAATACTCAGATGACACTGCTACTGTGGCATGTATCAGAAACGGACAAGAGGCTGAATACAGAGATCTGATAAGAGCCTTCAATGACTGGAATCACAAAAACTTCCTCCTCCTCAACACCTCAAAGACAAAGTGGATGGTCATTGACTTCTGTAGATCCAAACCCCCTCTTTAGCCAGTGAACACCTGTGGAGTGGACATCAAAGTGGTGACATCATATAAATACCTAGGTGTACATCTGGGTAATACGTTCGACTGGTCAAAGAATATAGACTTCATCTACAGAAAGGGGCAGAGCTGCCTCTTTTGCCTGAGAAGACTCCGATCAATGGACATCTGTAGTAAGTTACTGAAAATGTCTTCTCAGTCTGTGGTGGCAAGTGTTCTGTTCTATGCTGCAGTCTGCTGGGGAGGAAGCATCAAACACAAAGATGCAAGATGTCTTAACAAACTGGTTAAAAAAGGCTGGCTCTGTGGTCGGACTCAAGCTGGACTCAGTGGAGGATGTGGTGGAGAGATCGACATTGAGGAAGGTGGAGACTATTTTCAAGAACATGGATCACCCACTTGACAACACCTTGATGGACCAAAGGGCCAATGGTGGTGGACGGCTCCTCTCTCTTCGCTGCAGGACAGAAAGATTCAGAAGATCTTTTGTACCAACAGCCATCAGGCTTTATAACTCTTGTGTAAATAGTAGATAACTTTTGGAGACACATTTTGTGAGACAACAGACAATTGAATTTCCCTTCAAGAATTAATTCTTGAAAAAGTTATTATTATTATTCAAGATTCTCTCGAAATCAAACAAAACAAAAAACAGTCCATTTTTATCAATGCTTTTTTACATTCACAAGCACTGAACATTGCTTTTAAGCTTATCTAAAGTTAACTGTAAGTAACATTCAGCCAAAAGCTTGCACTTGGGCAACATACTGTTAACTGCAGTATATCATTTTACGGTAACCTGCCTTTAGGTCCACTAGCCTGATAGGTTATTGTTGCTTAGCAGCCTTCCTTAACAGGTGCATGCTCACCTTACTCATAGTTACAATGACTGTCAAGTAACAATAAAGAAGATTCATACTATCTTTCATTTAATAGTGAGCAAGTCAGTGCCACTCAACCAACCAAAAAAGGCCCATTATGTTGCAATGCATTGTGGGCCGCGGTCACATAATGCTGGCAACAGTGTTTGTTTACCATGCTGAATAAGACACGGCGCTAGATAACAGGGTTTTCCCTATATGCAATCGATGGTTAAGTAGGTTAAGTAAAAGCCGCGACACTTTAAAAATCTTTTTTTTTTTCTTATGTGAATCTACCTTGGACTCATGTATTAGTACAAATATGTGCAGTGGAGCTCGCGTGTACTAAGTATTAGCATTAGCAAGCTATCGTCGTCAATCAGACAGCTGATAGTTATAGGACAAATAAAAGCACAAAACTGATGCTTCAACTCCAAGCTAAATGCTGACAGTGAATAAAATAGATATGGGATGCAGGGCATATGATGCAGCATCCACTGTGGCGTTTGCTGCACCAGCAGTGGGTCATTCGATTAAATGAAAGCAGTGCGATCTTAGAAATGTGAACGAGGAAGCCAGGAAGAACACATGCATTGATTGAGAGGAGCTGCTCATAGATCATGCTAAAATAGATTTTAAATGGACCCCATTAGGTGGAGCTCGTTCGCCGTCCATGCCTCCACCGTTACCCGAGGTAGCCATTGTCTACATAATCATGTGAGGCGTCCAAGCATGTTTTTTGCGTCAACAAATTTCTGTAGTCCATTACTTTGATTATGTCGATTGCATCTGCGAATCGCCCCAACCCTGTGTTTAGCCTTCACTTTAGCATACATGTCAGTTATGAGTTGTATTAAGACTCAAGGGCCTCAATACAATCTTCAGGAGAATTGGCATGAGTCTCCAGGTCCAAACTCTGTCTACCATGGTCAGTTACTGTAGCTTGCACTGCATCCAATTTGGTTTTCTGGGATGCAGACGCTGACTTCAACTCAGTGGAGAAGGAGGCTGAGATGGACGTATGGTGCTCCTTTGGCAAGCTCGTGATAACTGGCAAGCTAATCAAATTAGTGTCCGCAGGTGGCTCCTCTTTTTTGGCATCTTCTCTTTTGGCCGACTTATTCTTGCTTGACATGGTGTGTGTCAGAAGTACTGGCTTTGGCATCAAAGCAGTGTAAAGTTAAGTTTTGGGTTTTAGCATGTTGAATTTAGTTAAGTTTGTATTTTTTTATTGTTTCTGCCTTTATTCATTCGAAAGCACTCTGGTAGGCCACTGGCTGTTTTAAATTTGTTATATAAATGAAGCTGACATTGTGGGTTCTTCTATGGTACAGAACATAACTGTGCCAAAGGCAATAACCTTCTGTTACCCTGGGGCTCAGGTAAGCCATATTAACTCTATATTACCTGGCCTGCTCAAAGAGCAACCCACTGCGGCATCCGCTGTGGATGGATTTACCCAGTGAGGAGGCAGATGGCGTCCACTTCATGTTAGAGTGACTGGTTCAATGAATGGGTTCAGGCCGCTTCAGACAATAGGATTTAGTGTTTTAGCAATTAAGAAATACTGCTAGACACTGCAATCAGTAACAGCCAAGTGCAGAAGGGCTTTTACTAAACATGCCCACTACACAGGTGGCTTGTCAGTGTATTAACTAATTGTATTAATTAATTGTAATTACAAATTAAGTTTGCCCAGGATCAATAAAAATAAAATACAAATAAACAAATCATTATTGAGGGCACAATTCTACAGATCCTTTTATATTTGTTGATGCAATGGATTAAGTACGGGATATCACCCACATTGTTTTCATATTTAACTGAGAATGGTGCGAAGACAACATTTAAAATGTTCAAAATGGACAATGTTTGGAAGAAAAATACTTCTTGGACAAATCAAGATATGGGTTTAGAACAACCACATAAACAGGGTTTAACCACTTGGACCCTGAGCTATTTCAGGGTTATTTCTGCCTGAAATTACATACCCAAAGTAAATCAGTAACAGCTCATCAACTGCGGGGCCTAGATCCACAATCTTGGTGTCTATGAAAAGGTGATATCTTTCAGAATCTAAATCAAGTGAAAAATTGGCTGTGACCTTTATAATGCTAAAATGGTATCAGATAAATTACAGGAAAAAAATCAAAATTTTATCTCTGTCCAAAAACAAAAAAAGGAATTTTATTGTCAAAAGTATAAGTAAGCCCAATGTGAGTAGGCATTTTATTCATTGGATCTGCTCTACAACATCTAACCTGCAATCCCTCCAAGTTTGGTGTCATAGAAATTATGTGTAACAATTTCACAGCCATTTTAGCACTCACAGGATTACCAGGTAATCCAACCACCTCAACTCACTTGCCTCCAGGCGAGCTTTTACAGTTAAAACAATTAAGACAAGAGCACCGATCCAAAGACAGCATATGGATATTGCTGAAAGCTAGAGGCTGATTTAAGAAATAATCTGACCATTTTATTGTTCAGGGAAAAACCAGCCCTCTGAACACAACCATGGTAAAAGGCAGAGACAGATATTACTTTCTAGTGCGTAAAAAAGCATTTGGTTACTCACGATCTGAAGTTTAATAGTCTTTCCATCAAGTTCTATGGTTCGTATTTTGAAGTCCACTCCAATAGTGCTTATGTAACTTTCTGTGTATGTATCATCCTGCACAGAGGAAGAGAGAGCATGTCTCTAAGGTAACAAGAATAACAGTTATAGCTGGTAAAATGTACTGTTGACTAATTTAAGACAGCTTTTAACATTTTTCATGACTATTTTTTAACTATTTTACAGAAAACAACTTGGGGATATAAAGAAACTGTGATCCATTTTTGTGAAACTTACGGCAAATCGGAGGAGAAGGCAAGATTTCCCAACACCGGAGTCACCAATCAGGAGCAGCTTGAATAAATAGTCACTGTGGAGGAAGTGTACAGGAATTTTGGTCAGAAGGTATTACTCAATTGTTGACCAAGTAACAAAGTAACAGATTACCCGCTGAACACAGAGGTGAGACTGATCATCTCTTTCTGCAGAAAGGTAGCAGTGCTGAACCCTTCCCATCAAACCCATTTCTAATTAACTGTATGAGATTTCAGTTACATGCAGTTCTGCCCCTCCATATCCATTCTATATAAAGTCCAGTGGTTCTCAAGTCCAGTCCTCGAGGCCCACTGTCCTGCATGTTTTGGATGTTTCCCTGCTCCAACACACCTGATTCAAATGATTAGCTCGTTATTAAGCTATTACAGAGCTTGATAACAAGCTGATCATTTGAATCAGCCATTAACAGCAAATCAAATTCAAAACAGTCACTGGTGAGTATTGTAATAAGTGGAAATGCTGACACAGCATTTCCACTTATTGTTATTCTCCCATTTCTTTATTATTGTTATTATTATTATTATTATTATTATTATTATTATTATTATTATTAAGTGGAAATGCTGATCTTACACTTATGCTGGACTTTAAGGAAATTGCGCCATGTGAAGAAGAATCAATTTGGAGAGCTGTTTCCTCAGCTTCAAGCCTCCTTTCTCCTGTTGTATTGATGCTTCTACCTTCACCATGGCAACCAATCAGTGCACCTGGAGACACACAGCTGGCTGGAAAGCTGCTTCTAACGGCCATATGAGACACATGAAGCCAGGCTCCGTACACAGAGCACTGGAGGTTTCATTTAAAACCCTTCACTAGAGCGCTTGACAAACTTCGGCCCCTATCTCCTCCCACAAACTTCGAGCTACAGAAACCATTCAGGGCTAATCATACTAATACTGGAACTACAACTTAAACTTATGCCACTTCAAATCAAATCAAATCAAACTTTATTTATATAGCACTTTTCAGGCTAAAAGAAATGCAGCACAAAGTGCTTTACAATTTAAAATAATGAGCCCCCCCATATCCAGCCCGCCACCTCACCCCAACCCTCACCGAGAGCCCACCCCAACACACACACACACACACACACACACACACACACACACACACACACAGATAATGCAATCTTAAAAGCGTGTGGCTGAGTACAGAGGAGCCAAATCAGGAAATGATGTCAGGAGGCCGACTGCACTGGAGGCCGCTCACGGCCCAGGGCCAGGACACCTCCTTCCGGGTGCGCACCCTGCTACCGGCCAGTAAGGAGCCCACAGCAGCAAGCACTGCTGCAGACCACTGCCTGGCTGAGCTGAGTCCACACCACGAGGCAGAGAAACCAGTCACAGCCTCCAGTGCAGGTGGCCCCCCTATTGAGAAAACACTAGAGAAATGCAATAAAAACATAAACTAAATCAGCTAAAAACATCAAACTAGATAAAATTATAAAATACTGATAAATAGCTAAAATACACAGAAATGTTGTGTCTGCTTCACCACCTATCTCCACCCACAAACTTTGAGCTACAGAAACCATTCTGGGCTTGAAAAATTCAGCTTATTGAGGACACTTTGGGATGTTTTAAGGATTGTGATAATAAATTGTAATAATGTGTTCAGCAGAGTCTTGTGGTTCACACAAGCTCCTTATCATGAATATATACAGAGGTTGACCATCAGGGCCTTGTTGGAGAGCCATTTCCTCAGCTTCAAGCCTCCTCTCTCCTGCTGCAGTGACACATCTTCCTTTGCCCTGGCAACCAATTAGTGCACCTGGAGACACACAGCTGACTGGCAAGCTGCTTCTAACGGCCATATGAGACACATGAGGCCAGGCTGAGGCTGTGTCTCATTTCAGAGACTGCATCATGATAAGCGCGCTTAAGCGGGCTTAGCTGAGCGCACTGCCGTTATGTGGTGTAGCAATCAAGACAACCCTGGGTGTGAAACTCACACATTCCTCACAGGAAAGTTTCCTAATCTGGTCCCAGGACACAGGATATAAATCTTTCCAGACTTGTTTGCACTTTCAGGTTACCTAAGCGACCCGACCGGAGGTTGACCAAACCTCTGACTCTTCACGATTGGTCAATTCGGAGAACAGAGACAGAGTTTTTATTACCTTTCAAACTGACTCCATTGCTGACCATCTAAATAAACATTAACGCTTCAACCCAGATCTCCCATTTGAGATTTACCGTCTTAAAGTGTGTGAACATACGGACCCCAAGGGAAGCTGAGGAGCAGGACACTGACCTCCAGACCTCGGTCGTAAAACCCTGCTCGACCATACACTGATAAAGTAGTGCTGGGCGATATGGAAAAAAATGTATATCACGATATGGATCATTTTATATCACGATAACGATATATATCACGATATAGCTATGGTATGCTTTCAGTTCTATGAAAAATTTAAGTGTATACAGCTGCACTAGTACAGTACCAGTACAAGACCAGCACTTAAAACTAGAAAAATGAATAAATAAATACGTGGCTGAAGTGCGTTCATGTCTGTGCTCACCCAAAGTTACGCAACACTCACAGAAAACGCCGATAGTGTGAGCCAAAGCACTCCATAATAATAATAATAATAATAATAATAAATTTAATTTTTAATGCACTTTACATTTACAAAAAATCTCAAAGTGCTACAGTACACAGTAAAAAAAGAGCAGCAACAATAAAAAAAGCAATAGAATGACAGTCACAGATTGGCATAAAAAAAGAATTAAAAAAAAAAAAAAATAGAAGAGTTGCAATGTAAGAGGCAAGGTAGTAAAAGCATAAAGCATAGAGGAAAACTAACCAAAGGCTTTATTAAAAAGGTAGGTCTTTAGGGCTCTTTTGAAGAGGTTGTTCACACTGCTAGATGTTTCTCCTCCAATGCTGCTCTCTGCCTCCATCATTGTTTACTTTACTCTTGAAGCACGTAGCAAGACCCGAGCATGAATCCGAGCGCTTTATTCGCCTATCAGGAGCAGACAGGTAAGGTGATTTGATTCGCCACGACTCCAGAAATGATTGAAAAACTACAGAATGTCACAAAATTACGTTTACTCGCTGCTGGCTTGAAGGGTACAAATGCGCAGCCGCGCTCCCAGCTGACAGGAAGTCAAACCACTGTTGTAGTTTTTTTGTGTTGCTAGCGCGGTCAAGAGTGTGGTTCTCACTGAGAGATGACTACAAAAATGGACGCACCTGTTCATCTGGTTGTTAAACACGGCTGAAAATGATCATCTTTTAATGTTGTTCCCACTCCTGCCCACTCCCGTTGCTTTTTTCCCGTCCCGTCCCGATCAAGGTATTAATTAAAAAATGACTCCCATCCCGTGGGAGTCCCGCCGGAATCACGTGACCCACGGGAATTTCCGAAAAATGTCATCCTCTACAGGGAAGGTCCCGGAGCAGATGAAACAGGTGCCGGAACGTCTGAAATAGGTCCCGGATCCGATCAAAAGAGGTCCCGGATAGCGCTCCGACTTGCTCCGGCACAAATTAAGCACTGCTTACAATGATCCCCTCACGTGAATAACTCAGGTAACCCGCAACGGCGGGAGACGCTGGACACAAAGAGGGCACGTAAAGCGGCGTCATGTCGCAAAATCGAAAGAGAAATGCAAGCCTACATGTCAACGCATCCTTTTCTTTGTAAGAAAATATTGTTTTCTTTCCCGTTCGACACCAAATACACTTACTGAATGTGCAATTATTGTTGTTGTTACTATGAATCATCTGATGGCACAAGCCCTATGGATTAAATACAGCCTATCGCCCGAAACGCTAAAAATAAAAATGGCACGATAGACATTTTCTATCGTGCCCACGATATCTATCGTCCTATCGCCCAGCACTATGATAAAAACTACATTCCTTTGGTGAAAGAATACAAATGACTGATCATGACATCTTATGCATTCAGCAATGTACTAATCTGTCTAATCATGAAATTTGTGTTAAAATGAGAAGTTTCCCGTTTTTCTATGTGCTCCAGAAGCCAAGTTATCACTCTGACAGAATAAATCCTTTATTCTTTTGTTTCTTTAGACCAACAGCTTTTCAGACTGTTTCATGAACTTTTAAGAGTTAAATTTATTGACTATGAATCATAACTTTACTCTAAGTAACAGAAATGGTTTAGAAATGTTTGGTCTATATTTTAATCATTTATTTAGTATTTTAACCATTAGGTGGTTATAATATCATTGAATAATCTGAATGTGAGTATTTAGAATCCATTATTAATCATGATGAAGTTCATTCACATATGTTTACTCTTTTGTTGTTCACAGTTTCCATGTGTTACTGTTTCATTTCAGAGTAATTTAGCATGTTCAATGTGATACTTAAAATATGAGAATGTTTGAGGTGATCCTACACTTCATTCATATGTGTTTAGTATCAAATTATTTATCATGAAACCAAGCATTCAATGATATTAATCATAGTGAGTGAGTATCAGATCTGACTCTTTAACCAGCCAAAAGTATAAGTTAGATCAAATAATCAGAGATCCGAGTTTTCCTCTGCTTGGAGACCACACAACCCATCCTCTTTCTCCTCACACACACACACACACACACGCTGGAGACACTCCCAGTGTGAGAAGATAAAACCAGTAAAGTGGGGTTGTTCACTCGCTTCTCCTCTCTTATGCCTCTTATGCCCTTACGCTCTTCTATTATTGCTCTTCTACTCTTAAGTTCAACTTTTCGTTTTCTCTTGGCTCTTACTACTTAGTCTTACTTTTTCTTAGTCTTCTAAGTTTTACGCCACGTGTTGATTCACGTTGATTTTTCTTTAACATCGTCTTAGTTCAAGTTTTGAAACTTCAACTTTTTGCGCGCATAGCAATTCAAGATTAAGCCTTTGATTGATTTTTCTTTAATTTCGCAAGCCATTTTTGAAAGTTTTCTCTGGTCATCGAGCCTCGTTTTTCTGAGTTATCTGCGTGATTTCAAAGTCATCTCTGAACGCAACCCAGCAGGCCTAGGTCATCCTCTGTGCCAGAGTTTTTGAGTGAGACCAAAGAAGCATCCAAACGAGCATCCACAGGATCCACAGGCGCCGGCTTTACTTCAGGCCCGAGTGCTACAACTCCTGGCCCATCCTTCGGCTGACTTCAGTCGTCTTCTGAGCTGAACCGCTCGAACTGCCGGTAGCCCCGGACCTTCGGAACCTGCTCTATCTTCTCCAAGGACCAGTCTCACTTAAGTATGCAAACCTCCAGAACTCCAAAGAGGGCTGATGCTGTCTCATGCGGTCATAACTCAGATATCCACTTATTCTGGTAATCTTAGATTCCTCTAAATCCACATTCAAATTTATCTTGACACCAAAGTTAGTGTAGGTTAATATGTTAGCGCATATTCACTCACTATCAATCACTTTAGTGCTCCTAGCCTAACTCAGAATCTTTATTTATTCACCTATTATTATTTATCCTCAATATCTTATCATCATTTATTGCATGTATGTTGTATCATCATTTATCCTGTAATAAACAGATCATTATTTTTCTAAGTTCTTGTCTGTTAGTGTTCTTCCAGAAGTGGAGTCCCTGAAATGAGAATTTCGGCTCAAGATATGAGATTGATTAATTAAAATTTGACTTGTTGTTTGATTTCTGAATTAAACTTTTGTTTTTCTTTATTTTCCCACCATTAAGGGTGGGTGGTGCCCCTTTCAACGAGTGCATAAATGTCATAATTTGAGATTACTCATCTTCAGACATTTATTATAAATTCAAATCGCTACAGTGGACTGGAGTACCCTGAGTGAGATGATCTGGTTTTTGTGAAATGGGACACGCTACCCTTCAGAGGAATTCCTGGTTTAGTCGCCAAATGTCCCCGCCCTCAGGCTCACGTCACGACTGACTTGAAGAAAAGCCGCAGAGCGCTGCATTTATTTTTTATTGTGCCACCTTGCACAGACACAAAACAATAGATACATACAAGCACAGATCATTCCCACAAAATTCATCCAATGATTGCATGTTTTGTGTGCAGGAGTATGAGGGCCATATTGAGAATTTTTTTAAAGACTTCAAGATTTAAGTTGTGAATTTACGAGAATAAAGTCATTCATTTATAAGAATAAAGTCGTAATGTTACCTGTTATTTCAAAGGAGAGTTGTTAAAATTAGGGCCATGAAGCATTTAAAGGAACTGTGCTTCAGTATGGGTTTCACAAACACGGAGATACTTCATCCTTTGGCACATCAGCATCATATTGTCACAAGTATAAAGACTTAAAAAAGAATATATGAGAAATACGTCTTTTCCACGGTAAAAAAAACAGGTGTACTTGGAATCGCTGCTTTTGTGGAGGCAGAAATGAATATGCTGAGGATAAATCCGTCAATGCAGCCGTAAATACCCGTAAATGGCCGTTGTCAGAGACGTGGTGCTCGTCGGAGCTCGACTCCCTCTGGATCACAAATGTTGATCTTCAGTTTGATTGTTTCTTGAGAAACCACAAAAACTCTCTGAATGACCTGGTGATACATCCACCAATAACCCTGCAGATGACCAGTTCGTTGAAGGGATTTAGGATTTAGGATTTTTCGTTATTCAAAATTCAAACTTCAAAATATTCATCTCATTGAGGACATTCGGGGATGTATTCAAAATTTTCCTAACGTTTATACTTCCTGAGATATTCCAGGTTTTCCGACCAATTTCTCCCATTAGAAATGCATTACGGAATGTTCAAATTGGCCCTTTTCTCACATTTTCTTCACACAACTTCAAAAGCCTTCAACCCCCCTATTCTTCCACGTAGAAACTTCATTCAAACACCAAAATATTCACAAATTCGTCAGCATTATTCCACATCTTCAACATTTTTAATCCCATTTGTACTTTTCAAAATATTAAGATTTGTTTAAAACTTTGTTATAATGGGAGTCAATTGGAAAAGGGCTTCAGAAGTAGTCAAATTCAACCTCTTCTCATTCATTCATACTTCCACCTAGAAACTTCATTCAAACTTTAAAATATTCACACATCTTCAGACATTCACTCATTCATTCACCATCTTCATGACCTTCATACTTTTCTCACAGTGACAGTTCAAACTGTCACAGGATTTTCTGACTTCTTCAGGTTTTAACATTAGTGTGTATTGCATGGAATGTTGGCCGCTAGAGTGAGACAGGCTGAAAATGAATCCTCAAAACTTTGTCTTTACAAAAGGATTGTGGCAACTCACTTTACTCTATACAGATAATATTTGGTACAGTGATGGCAACACTTGTCACTCTTCATCTCAAAAATCAAAGCCGTAGGACACACACAGTGGCCTGGGCGGACACCACCTGACACAGACATCCCCCAAATTTCTCCAGCTTTCTCCATTGACTCCAATAGAAACGTGAGAGGAGGTTTTTCAGAGGAAACACAAACTGGACATGTATTTAACTTGTCCGAGTTAAGCCATTTTTGGCTCCACAAACACAGAAGTTGTATCAACGTGTTCAGCCGGGTCTTGTGGTTCTCACAAGCTCCTTATCATGAAGATAGCAGTTACAGAGGATGAGCACTAGGGCGTTGTTTGGGCATTATGTTCTCAGCCTCAAGCCTCCTTTCTCCTGCTGTAGTTATGCATCTATCGTCACCATGGCAACCAATAAGAGCACCTGGAGACACACAGCTGACTGGAAGGCTGCTTCTAACGGCCATATGAGAAACCAGGCTCAGTACACAGAGCAATGGGGGTTACATTTAAAACCATTCACCAGAGCACCAGACAAACTTCGGCCCCCATCTCCTCCCATGAACAATGACCTACAGAAACCATTCAGGGCTTCACAATTTAAGCTCATTGAGGACATTGTTGGGTGTATTAAGGATTTATATTCATCTAAATTTTTCACATTTTAAAGTCACTCAGTGATGATTTATTATTTAATTTTTCAAACTAATTTAAACTCATTTAAACTGATTCAAACCTTTCTGATACTTAAAAACTTTCTGATACTTGAGGATTTTTAATTATTGAAATTTTCCCTGTTTCAATTAGTTTTAATATTTATGCATTATTCCATCCTTCAAACAAAATCCCACCTCTAGTACTACAACTACTGCTAATGTCAATTAAACTAGTACTTTCCCCTCCACTTCAACTGCTATTGCTCCTATTTCTACTTTCTCTACTGCTGCTATTGCTACTATTTCTACTTGCTCTACTACTTTGACTTATAATTCTTTTATTATCAAACTACTTCTACTGCTTACATGACTACTAATATCACTACTTCACTACTTGTCATACTACTTCTTGTACTACAACTTAAACTTATGCCACTTCTCACCTTGCTGCCTTTTAAGACAATTTCCTTCTTCATTCAAACTTTGTGCAATTTTAGACATTTTTCTAGCATCTTTCAGCAGTAATAAAATTTCGTTTTATAGAGCATATTCAAACTATTTGTCCTTCAACCAATTAAACAATTATCTGAATTTTATTTCTTTTTCACCCCTTCAACAGCTTTAACATTTATACCTTTCTCCATGTTTTATTAGCAGTTTAGCATTGCTTTTTTAGCTTTCAGCACTCAGCATTTCCATGCATTTTCTGCAAGGAAATGCAATTTTTCTAGTTATTATTATTATTATTATTATTCCATACCTGTTTGGCCCCTTTCAACTCCTTCCCACTTTGTGCTATTTTAACCATTCAAATTTTATACTAACGCACTCCTTTATTGCTATTACTTTTCACCTTTCTACCATTTATACTTTTTGCAATATTCAACTTTTTCTGCAAAATTTGTTCCATTAGAAATGAATGCAGAATGCAGTAACTGAAGCACAGCAATAGATGGTGCTGTTCTGAATTCTCAAGTTACTATGGTTGGATGCTGCAGAATGCAGAAATCTGTTTTACTTTTTGTACATTTAATGTGAACATTGTTACACATTATTTTAATGCATTCGTTATTCAAATTCAGTTATCCTTTTCAGTTCTGTTTATTCACAAGTCATATACGTTTTTCACTTAGACTATTAGACAATTTGTACATTCATCCAACTAATTTACCTTCAGCTATACTACAATTCTTCTATTCATACAATTTCTTCTTCTTCTACTCTACCTTTTCAACAGTTTTCCATTCATACCTGCCTCCATTTTTTATTGGCAGTTTAGCATTTCTTTTTCAGCTTTCAGCACTCAGCATTTCCACGCATTTTCTGCGAGGAAATGCAATTTTTCTAGTTTAACTTCTGTTATATGAACTGTTCGTCTGTTATGATTATCCATTTTAGATTTATGGACAGATATCCAATTTTTTTTTTCACCCACATTTATTTGATCAAATATTCCTTTGTCAAATTGTTGAATTGTGTTGAACAAAAAAAAAGTGAATTGTGGATCGGCGATCAGCCAACTGGCCATCAGTATCGGCATAGGCCATTGAAAATCAGTCGAGTGCTCCTGAAGGTGAAGACTGAGTATATTTATGGATCCCACAGGCTGCTATGAACAAGGAATTTCTCACAGAAATCTCCTTGTTAACTCCTTTAACAATGCTGAGGGTAGAGCATTCCTTTCTTACTTACATGCCCCAACCTGAACACAGTGGAGCTAAAAAGCAGATCTAGACACCCTACAGCCAACATATAAGTCTGAACTTTATCTCACACCACTTACAATTAAAGTGGTTACCCAATTAAAACAAAGCAGTAAAATAATGCATCACTTTCTCTCTACACATTTACAGCTACAGTGGATATAAAAAAAACTACACACCCCCGTTCAACTGCCAGGTTTTCGTGATGTAAGAAAATGACAGCAAGATAAATATTTTCACAACTTTTCCACCTTTAATGTGACCTATAACCTGTACAATGCAATTGAAAAACAAACTAAAACCTTTAAGGGGAAAGATAAAAATAGAAAAGTTAAAATAACCTGGTTGCATAATTATGCACACCCTTAAACTAATACTTTGTTGCAGCACCTTTGGCTTTTATTACAGCACTCAGTCTTTTTGGGTAGGAGTCTATAAGCGTGGCACATCTTGATGTGACAATATTTGCCCACTCTTCATTGCAAATCTGCTCCAAATCTGACAGATTGCAAGGGCATCTCCTATGCACAGCCCTCTTCAGATCACCCCACAAATGTTCGATGGAATTCAGGTCTGGGCTCTGGCTGGGCCATTCCAAAGTCTCAATCTTATTCCGGTGAAACCATTCTTTTGTTGATTTAGATGTGTGCTTTGGGTCACTGTCGTGCTGAAAGATGAAGTTCCTCTTCATCTTTAGTTTTCAAGCAGAAGGCAGAGGGTTTTGTGCCAACACTGACTGGTATTTGGAACTGTTCATAATTCCCTTCACCCTGACTACGGCACCAGTTCCAGCTGAAGAAAAACAGCCCCCACATGTGTTTGGGAGATTTCAGATGTTTTTTTGCAAAATTAAGCCGGGCTTTGATGTTTTTCTTTGTAAGATAAGGCTTCTGTCTTGCTGCCCTACCCCATAGCCCAGACATATGAAGACAGCAGAAGATTGTTGTCACATGTACTACACAGCCAGTACTTGCCAGAAATTCCTGCAGCTCCTTAAGTGTTGCTGTCGGCCTCTTGGTACCCTACCTGACCAGTTTTCTTCTTGTCTTATCATCAATTTTGGACGTACGTCCTGTTCTTGATAATGTCACCATTGTGCCAAATTTTCTCCTCTTGATAATGATGATCTTCACTGTGTTCCATGGTATATTTAATTCCTTGGAAATTCTTTTGTAGCCTTCACCTGACTGATATCTTTGAATAATGAGATCCCTCTGATGCTTTGGAAGCTCTCTGCGGACCATGGCTCTTGCTGGAAGATGTGGCTACAAAAATATAAGGAAAAACCTACTAGAACAGCTGAACTTTATTTGGGGTTGATCAGAGGTACTTTAATTGGTGACAGGTGTGTGCTGACTCCAATTTAACCTGAGTTTGAATGTTATTGGTAAAATCTGAACACAGCCACACCCCCAGTTATTAAAGGGTGTGCACACTTGTGCAACCACATGATCTCAGTTGTTTATTTTTACTTCACCTCCCTGAAAGATTTCTGTTTGTTTTTCAATTGTGTTGTACAAGTTATAGGTCACATTAAAGGTTTATTTATCTTGATTTAATTTTTTTACATGACAAAAACCTGGCAGTTGAACAGGGGTGTGTAGACTTTAATATCCACTGTATATGTCTGATAGGCCTAAATGATTAATTGCATTTCCGATTACATCACAATATGATAAAATGCAATTTTCTAACCGTGAAGGCTGCAATTTTGACTGGTCACGTTATCTGGTCACATGACTTGTGAGCGAGCGAGAGTGAGGTCAACACTGCACTCTGTTGCACAATGGCCTGATGCCACTACAGAAAGTTTAGTTCCAAAGAGAGGCAGTACAGAAGTTGTGTGGATTTATTTAGGCTAAAAAAGATGCTGCTGTGCAATGTGTGCAGAACCTGCCATGCAACTGTTGCTACATCAGAAGATGACACTAAAAACTTTTGTCAACACTTAAAGGGGACCTGCCATCAAAAATGTAATTTTGTGTGTTTTTGTGTCAGATAAGGTCCATATTATGTTCGTCTGTTGTAAATGTGAAAACAAACCGTTACGTTGTTTGCATTCTGTAAAGGTTTAAAATAAAGGAACGGGTAAACCAGGCCAATTGAAAAAGCAGGTCCTTTTGACGTCACGCTGACCTTGCTCATTATTATTCACGAGCGCGTCCTCGGTGAGCCGCGCCCACTCTCTCGTTCTTGTACTCATTCACAGTCAACATCACTCTCCAGCCAGAGCGAGACCCAGCTACCACTGTATCCGCTATGGGTCTCTTCCAAACGACCGGTGTTTCCTTGAGTTCACTGCCGGGAAAATGAACTTAAAGCTGGGCAAAATGAATGAGAAAACACCGCTGGAGATCTCTAACTTCTTCTTCAACTTCCACCTCCTCTTCGGACTCCGGGTCTAAAATATATGGTTTAATACCTGCCATTTTTAGCCTTTAGCATAAGGTGACCAGACGTCTCCAATTTCCGGGGACAGTCCCCGTATTGGATGACCTGTCACCGGCAAAAGCTATCCACGAAAATTTCCCCGATTTAAGCGTTTCATGAATGAGAGCAAAAATATTGCGTGTGGGCTCGAATAACGGTTATTACAAGGGGCATGCGCTGCTACTAAATAGTACCGAGATTTTGTCTGTGATCACGCAGCCCCTGCAGCCCCTGCAGCCCCTACAGCCCCTTCAGCCCCTGCACCCTCCCCCGCCGCCGGCAATATCCCCGGATATCATTACAGACATCTGGGCACCTTACTTTAGCAAACATTAGCAAAATGGATAAACCGAAATCCGAACATCCACTGCTGAGCCAATCAGAGCACAGCAGGCTTCACAGCAGCCATCCAATCAGAGCAAAGCTCATTACCATAAATGTTAAAGAGCCAAAATCAGTTGGTTTTCCTGTAAGGTTTTTTAGGCATACTAAAAACAAACCATCAATTAACTTTTCAGCTAAAATTATGTTGCAAACATGATCAGAGGACATCAAGGATTATGAAAAAATGATAAAAATGGGTATGAAATTTTGATGGCAGGTCCCCTTTAAACAAAATGCAACGAAGTGGAGTATGATAGTTGAATGGCTAAAACACCAGCGACCAGTGCTTCAATTTCAAACCATACCTGCATAACGCCGGAAAACCCATCCAATATGGTGATGGTAGCACAGCTGAATGAATAGACTGGACTCTAGTGTGTTGGGCATCTCGCCATCAGTGCGTAGATTAGTATCATGACATATATGATGGTGCGTGCATGTGTGTGCGCAATTGTGTGTGGTCAGAGAGAGCCTGTGTGTGTGTGTGTGTGTGAAATGATAATTGCCAGAAGAACAATTCATGTATAATTAATCTGATATTGATTACTATAAAACAGATTTATTTATTATTTGTTTGCTGTTGAAAAATACATTAGCAGAGGACCTTCAAAAATTATTGCATAATAAATCGCAATATTGAGGGAAAAAAATCTCAATTTGATTGTTGTCCAAAATCATTCAGCGCCGTTGTCTAAACAGCAACACCAACCTCAAACAGCTAACTTTGATTGTCTAATGTTTAGTTTGTCAGGAGCTGCTGGTGCTCAACCTAATTCTGTTACTTTCTACTTTAGTGAACCTGAGCAGCACCACATTCTTATGAGCCCTGAGCTGAGATCCATTACCTTCTTTAACAACATTTTAGGTATGTTTTGATTCACAGGTATGAACTCTGAGAAACAGACTGAGCTTCCTAAAAAGAAATATGTGAAACCCCTTGTTTAAATGAGAAGCATTTTTACATGGCTTGTTTCAAAGTGTTAAACTAGCAACAGAGAGTGTGACACGATTTCTTGGTTGTTTTTGCTTCTTTAGATTCATATTGACCACAAACCTTGTATAAATTGTAGTCTTTATATAAATGCTAGATATTTTGATTTGCCCATGCAAATCTTTTCCCAATATTTTCTGATATCACAAGACTTTATCTGACATGGCCAGTACCAGAAAAGCATGATACTAAATAAAGCAGCTATACTCAAAATTAGCATGACATGAGTAAGAAAGAGAGCGAGTAAAAGAGAGGGAGAGGGAAAGAGAAAGAGAGCAAGAGAGAGAGGGAGAGAAGGCAATCGAGAGACATAAAAATAAACAAATTGCCCCCTCAGGGATACTAAAGATGCTTTAAAATGTAAACATTAGATGATATGCATATCTGCCAACATTTGGGTTATAAAATCCAGGAGTTGTTTGTGGCGCGAGCTGGGCAGTTTTGGGGTGACCTCGTATGGTGGATATGAGCTAATTATGAGAGTATCTGTAATCAAATTGCTCATCCAAATAAGTATAAGTAAAACTGCACACTTTTTTTTTAACAATAACAAATGGTAATAAAAAGATAAAAGGTATGATATGCCTTGAACTTATTTAGTCCACTAATATTAGTGTCAAAGCCCTCATATGTTTTACATGCTCTCCCGTATGAGGCTCTCTGAACATCTGTGCATGAAATACAGCACTCTTTTATCTGAGGCTGCCCTGAACACATCACTCTCACATATCTCGCGTTTGTTTTCCTTTCATTGAAGTGTTCATTTTCCAACAAACACTGCTTAAATACAGTTTACAGCTGACACCAACCTGAATCATCCCAAACTGTAAAGTAAAAGTATCAATCCACTGTCTGTGAGGCTCAGCAGAAACAGAGGACAATCTCCGGTTGTCTGGAAACTTTAGACGAATATAGTGATCCGATTCGTCCAATGCGGACCATGCTACGAGAAATTCCCGGGAGAAATGACAGTACTGGGGGTGGGCGGGAGATAGGTCTGAAATACAGGAGAGTCCCGGGAAAAACGGGAGTGTTGGCAGGTATGGATATGATTGATTGCCGTTTTGGTCTAGTGGCTGCACCGCTAGTTGTGACTAAACCGCTAATGTTATTTGTACTGTCGGCAGTGGCAGGCTGTGCAGACTCTACTCGCATTTTCATGCTTCCCACATACTCACTTGGGAAGAACAGATTTGTTATGTTGCTGGTTTATCGGCTTAATTGCTCGACATCACTTTGGAGAGACGTTGAATAACTTCTCAACTATAACATCTTCGGAGGATGACTCAAAGTCACGGCTCACACCTATTCTGCTGCCCTCAGCTCCGTGTTTAGCTCCATGTTCGGTCATTCTGTTTACTTCGCTGGTAACTTACAGAAGTAAGCAGGAAAAGCTCGACTCTGATTGGCTGTTGTGACGCACATTTCCGCCATGTTTGATCGAGTAAATATGCTCACAGCTGATCACCGTGATCGAACTGAAATTTATCGCGATCATCGATCACGATCATATAATCGCCCAGTCCTACCTGTTGGGGTCCACATGGATCAGGGATTGACCATCAGATTGTTCTGTCTTACTGATAAATCCATAACACTAACTGATGCACAGACGGGAGTTCGCATATGGTGTTTTATTTTGAAATACCAGATGACATGCAATATTTATGCTTGACTACCTGTCTAAACAATCTTCTCTGTGTAGATTGACACCCATTGGAAGCGTAGAGCAGCAAAAATAGACTCGTCCCGTATCTTTAGCAATACTGCTCTTGATACACTTCTGATTAGGGAAGTGATTAGGGAAGCACCGATCTGATATTTGGATCGGATATCAGCTCTAAAATTGACAAATTTTGATGACTCTGCTGTGGTGGGGTGTATAAGTAGTGGACAAGAGGGAGAGTACAGAGAGCTCGTGGATAATTTTGTGGAGTGGACAAGAAGAAATCACCTGATTCAGAGTGTGGACAAGACTAGAGAGATGGTGATAGACTTTAGAAGGAAGAAAACAGCGCCACCACCACCACCACTGTGTATCCAAGGGGAGGATGTATCTGTGGGAGAGAAATCCAGGTATCTGGGTGTCATCATTGACAACAAACTGAACTGGAAGGCCAACTCACATTTTATGTACAAGAAGGGGATGAGCAGACTCTACTTTCTGGAGAAGCTGAGATCCTTCAACGTGTGCAGCAAGATGTTGGAGATTTTCTATCATTCTGTTGTGGCGAGTACTCTTTTCAGTGCCGTTATCTGCTGGGGGAGCAGCACTGGAGCTGGTGATATCGGGAGACTGGATAAACTCGTCAAGAGGGCCTGGTCTGTTACAGGCTGCAAGCTAGACACTTTAGTAGTGGTGTCAGAGAAGAGGACTCTAAACAGTTATCCATTATGGATAAGCCTGGTCACCCTCTGCACCACCTACTGGACTGACAGCAAAGCACCATCTGAAACAGACTGATCTAGCTCTGATGTCACAAGGACAGACACAGGAAATCTTTCCTACCCAGGGCCATAACACCGTGCAATAGGGCTTTTAAAACAAACTTTACTATTTGAATACAAGTCGAATAAATTTTTTTTGAAGATTCGAGTGTGGAAACTGACGTTCATACTTTTGCCTTAGCAACGACCACCATGGCAATAACGCAAAGGCAATATCGTACGTCTTGACCTTCCTCATTGTTATGCTTACAAGATGGTGAAAAGCAGCGCACCAACAGACGCAGAGCTGGACACCATAACTCCAGAAAACTTAAAAAGCTTCGTGTGGAAAAATTGTGGATTTCCATCAAGATATGTAAAGATTACATCCAGAGAAACTGTCATTTGCAAGTTATGCTGTAAGTCGCTTAAGTACCACTCGACTACGAGCAACATGAGCGCGCACTTCTATTACTTTGAGTACGCACAACAGTTGGCGACTGAGGAAGAGTCACGGTCAAAACAGGCAAGGATAACATCGTTTTTGCTTCCCTCCTCATCTCGTTGTCTGCCAGCTGCTCGGCAAGAGGGGATAAAGAAATAGCTGACTGAGTTCATCGGCAAAGATATGAGGCCAGTTAACATCTTGCAGGGGGACGGTTTAAGGAGTTCATCTGCAAGATTGAGCCAAGGTACACGATTCCCTCTCATGGGACCATTACCAACAGAATCGTGAAGCTCTATGATACCACTAAAGAGAATATCCATGAAATTATTAGTGGACAATCAATCGCCCTAATCACAGATGGATGGACATCACTGGCCACGGACTCATATTTGACGGTGACGGCACATTTTATAAACGAGGACTGGGAAATAAAACATATCGTTCTCCAAATGATAGAATTTTAAAAAAGCCACACTTCCGAGAATGTTGCCAAGTTCATAGATAACATCAAGAGTACAACGTCAGTCATGAGTCAGTTCTTTCTAATACCACAGACAATGCTGGTAACTACATTAACAATGTGGAGAGGCACCTGCCAGTCACAGATCTCCCCTGCATGGTGCACTCTTTTAACCCGGCTGTGAGGAGGAGGCTGGCAGTGCAAGCTATTGAAACTCCGCTCAGCAGACTTAAGGCCACAGCACTGCATTTTAACAAGTCATCCACAGACAGCTACCTCCTAGAAGCTAAACAGAAGCTGCTTGGAGTTAAACCTGCCCAGCAGCTGAGCAGCAAGCTGCGTTTGCAGCTGTTATCATGGAAAAGAAACCGTGACGTCTGAAGTTGAGTACAAGTGACTAGTCCCTCATGGAGCAGGTGAGAGCAGTGCTTAAGCCATTCAAAGTGGCGACTGAGGCTTTATCAACACCCCGATTCCCAACCACACCAGCTGTTCTCCCCCTGAAGTTTGTTCTCCAATCTCAACTACAGACCTCCACTAACAATCCAGCTGCAATCCGAAGAATGAAAACAAAGATTTCAGACAATTTAGCAAAGCATTATGGGCAAGACAAGGATGCCTTAATGTCGCTTAACGCTGCAAGCTACTACAACCCAGGCTTCCACCGGCTGGTTCACTGAACACGTGACCAACAGCTGGAGCTGCAAGAGAAAGTAAAAATGGAGCTGAAGTGATAGCGGAGCAAAATGCGGGAGATGGGGGCTCTGAGGCTGCAGATTGCCAGCACTAATACAAAACAGCTCTCAGTGCTATAAGGGGCCCTGTTTGGGGACATTTACAGTCCAAGCACAAGCACAAACTGTGATCGAGTGCTACATGATGTTATTCATCACAAGATGCTCATGCATGAGAGAGAGAGAGCCCTCTGCCCACTCACAGCAACCCACTGACATGGTGGAAAATGGCACAAGTGAGATTTCCTCACACAGCTCTGCTGGCCCAACGCTATTTCCCTGGGACCTCGGTAAGAGCAGGAACTGTTTTCTCCATGGCTGGGATTGTAGTGGATAAAAAACGCTCTGCACTAAATCCAGAAAATGTTGATCATTTAGTGTTGCTGGCAAACAACTTGATCATTTAGGATAAAATGTTGTTCTAGTCTGTTTATCTTGACAACTGTGACAAAATAGATGTTCATTTGTTTGGGTCTGTGTCATGGATAAAAGTTTACAACATGTTGCACTTCTGTAAATGTACAGAAACAAGCAGAGTGGTAAGAAATTTGCCTGCTTGTCTTTATCCATGAAGACTTGTCTTTTTGAGACTTTGAGATAGCGATGTGTATTTGAATGATTGAACATCAGCTTCATTAAACATCATTGCTTGAATATTTTCTGGACATATCTAAATAAGCATATTTGGCCTAATACCATTTCAATTTCCCTTCATGAAGTTTTGTATTGATTTGTTAGAACTTGTTGCAAATGTTAAATAGGAGATTTGGTTGAAGTGCCCTCTAGTGGACACTGGATGTAGGCCTAATAATAAGCTGGTATTGGTGTATATAATGACATTATTTAAAAGGAAAAAAAAAAAACATTTAAAAAATCCAATATTATTTGGATATTTAACATAAGAAGCATTAGAAATTCGAATATGATTTGAGGGGAGGATTGACAGCCAAACTGTGCAACAGCTCACCTCTTGTGAATAAAGTATTTTCATTGTCCTCATCATGATATTTGTACTCTGCTCTGATCACCTACCTGTAAATATTGTTACATAATACTTTAATTCCTTGCAGCATATACATATTTTATTTTTTACTAGCACCACTGCTCTTTTCAAATTTCAGCGTGAAAAGCCCAATTATTGCTATATTCTGTATTAAATGCAAATTGCACTTAATGATATATTTTTATTTATTTATTATTAAGGTAATTTCTTTTCTTATATTGCTTTGGCTCACTAAGAAAAAGCTGCTGTAACATTGTACCCAGTTTGAGATCAATAAAGTAATTCTGTTTCTGATTGAACTAAATAATCATAACTGTTTTATGACACTTCTTCTAGGTTATAGGAATGTGATATGTTGAACAAACTTGATGATCATCTCAGTATCTTCTGAATAACAAATATGTCAGGCAAAATCAGTGACCAAACTCAGTCAGTTCATCAAAAAAAAAAAAAAAATGTCTGTGGTTTTCTTTTGTTTATGCTCCTTTTGCAATCTAGTCGCTACCGCTGTTGTACCAAGAAACGCATGCCTGCCAAGGATTCAAAGTCAACTTTATTGCCAAATATTAGTGATGCACGATATGAAAAATTTCAAACGATACCGATAGCCGATAATTTTCTTCTTCTCATGGCCGATACCGATACCGATAACCGATAAATTCATATTTTTACATTTATTATAATCTTCATATAATCTGCAGTTTGTGCAGGATGCAGCGATTGAAAACTGATAGTTTTGTTGCTCTGGCCTATCTAGAACAACAAACAAAAGTTTTTGGCTCTTCAAATGTGGTCATTTGCTATAAATAACAATAACAGAGCAAAAAGCAGAACTTAATTTGATCCCCTGAGCTGTTCAACAGAACTGTAAACTGTAAAGGAGCCATTATGAGCCGTTAGGCTTAGCATGCTGACCGGACTAACATCTGACGTCCATATGTCTGTGGTAAAACTCACGTGTAGTCCGTTCTTGTCGATCAGGTTGTGAATGTATGTGGCAACAATATCACAGAGTGCAGGAAGAGACACATCCGAGAAGAAGCGGCGGCTTGGGAGAGTGTAACGTGGCTCCAAGTGTGCTATGAACTTACGAAAACCCGGGTTCTCAACAACGGAAAAAGGCTGGTCGTCGACCGCTATGAACTCCATCACTTTGTCGTTAATGGCTTTAGCCTTTTCGCTGTCTCTTGAGAAGCTTTTGCAGTTTTTAAACGCCTGCTGAATGGGGACATCGATCCTCCGTAGTGTTGTTGTCTTAGCTTTAGAACAGAGCTGTCTCATATTCTTTTAATACCGCTTCGCCGCGATGGCGACTTTTCAGATGAGCTATCAGATTCGTTGTGTTAAAACTTGACGTCTTCTTTCCTCCTCTTGAAATCCTCGCTGAACAGGTTTTGCATATAGCAATGCTGTTGTCATCTTCTGCCACTGAGAGAAACGACCATGCTGGTGAAGACATTTTATTATCTGTCAGGCAGTGACGGGGTCAGGCTTGGGACCTGCGAGTAAGGCTTGATAGACGACGTGACCAGCGCGTCTCGGACGGGCGGCTACTCTGCCTGCAAACATTACTCGTAATTTCATTAATATATCGGATCTTTCTATCGGAAAAATGCACCTATCGGACCGATAAAAAATGACGTAATTTCCCCCCAAATCGGCCGATATTTTATCGGTCCGATAAATATCGTGCATCCCTACCAAATATGCAACACATGTTAAACATACAGCACAGATGAGATTTCAGTCCTCTCAGACCCATGATGCATAAGCATAAACTTGAAGAATAAAACTATAAAAGTAAAAATATAAGAATGAACAACTAAGCTAGACGAAAGGCTACCTTAAATACTCTCAATACTCAAATACTCTCTTAGAGGGAGTTGAGCATCCTCACTCAGAGAATCTGCAGTCTCCTCCCCAACGGCAGCAGGCTGAGGAGACTGTGGGCTGGGTGGGTGGGTGGGTGGGGTCACCTGCGATCCTGGTGGCTTTGCAGGGGTGAGCGGGTGTGATAGATGTCTGACAGAGCGGGAAGAGGGACACCAATGATCTTCCCAGCTGTTTCACGGTGCACTGCAGGGTCTTGCGGCAGGATACGGTGCAGGGTCTGTACCACACAGTGATGTTGCTGGTCAGGATGCTCTCTATGGTGCCTCTGTAGAATGAGTACACAATGGGGGACAGGGCTCTTGCTTTTCTCAGTGTCTGCAGAAAGTAGAGACGCTGTTGGGCTTTTTTGGCCAGTGATGTGGTGTTGGTGTTCCAGGACAGGAGCCTGTGGACTTCCCCTGTCAGTCAAGGTTCTGGAGACCGTGACGTCATCCATGCACTTCCTCATGAAGGCAGTGAAGGTCTCCATGAACTCCTGGAGATCAGTAGTGTTGTTGTAAGTGGCTGCATGTCTGAACATGCTCCAGTTGGTGGTGGAGAAACAGTCTTGGAGCGTCTCTGATGTGGTCTGAGGCCCCAAGGTGGGGGGAGGGGGTAGGCTTTGTAGGCTCTCTTCTGTGTGGTGTACACATTGTCCAGGATATTGGTGCCTCTTGTAGGAAAGTTGACATGTCCATGAAGTTGTGGAAACACACTCTTGGGGTTGGCATGGTTGAAATCCCCAGCCAGGATGAGGAAGGCATCGGGGTGGGCTGTCAGCTGTTAAATGATGTGCTAGTGGAGTTCGTTCAGTGCCTCACTCCTGTTGTTTTTGTCTAGTACAGACACCAAACTTTGTAACTTTGCAGTTGTTCTTGTAAATGTGGAAAAGTATTATACACCCTTTAACCTTCATTCCTTCTGTTTTGCAAAATAAATTACTTGACTGCTTTATTTTCAAAACAGGGTTGAACTGTAATTTTAGCAAATTTGCCTATGTTGTCAAACCGGGCCACTTAAATATAATTTAACAAGTCTCTTAAAGGGATACTCCGGAGCAAAATTAAGTAAGGGTCAAACACATGTAGCACCGAGTTAGACACCCCCTTGAGAGATGAATGTTGAAGACTGCTTGCTTCTCTAGTCACAGTTAAGGCCAAAATTATTAGCCCCCCTATGAAATTAAAAGTGCTGTTTAACAGATTTATGATTTTTTTTTTACACAGCTTTTCCAAATATCCTAGTTGTATTTTGGATCCTTACATTATTTTACTTTGCACACAGAAACAAAATTATTTCACATAAACCAAAAACTACCAGGGTCAAAATCATTAGCCCCCTTAAGAATTGATGTTTTTATTGAGCCAAAACAAAAACCACTGTTGTGCAATCATGTGCTCTCACTTTTTAGTGCTTGTAATCAATCAATCAATTAAGTGAAAACAAAAGGTTGTCCTACACTTTACACACAGTATAAAAACCTTGTTACGCATTTGAGCTGTCACTTGAGAAGGCTGATGGCAAATACAAAATAATTCAGTTTAGACTTGAGAAAAAGAATTGTTGATGCTCACAAAGCAGGAGAAGGATATAAAATTTTATCAAGGCGTTTCCAAGTGTCAAGAAGTGGAGTGAAAGTATCATTAAGAAATTCAAGGGGAGTCACACAGTACAGAACAAGTCTGGGAGAGGTAGAAAGCAAAAAATTTCAAGGAAACTGGAAAGAAAACTGGTGGGAGATGTGTCTAAACAACCTAGAACAACCATCAACACAGTAGTTGCTGACTTAGCCAAGTCAGGAATTGTGGTGTCAAACAAGACAGTCTTTAGAGCCCTGAACAGAAATGGACTACAAGGATACAGGCCAAGAAAAACTCCACCTCTACAAAAGAGACACCTTCAGGCCAGACTGAGGTATGCTAAGGACAATCTGGAGAAAGATTGTGTACTTTGGTCAGATGAGACCAAACTAGAGCTCTTTGGCCACAGACACATTGCTTATGTTTGGAAGAAGAAGGGAGAGGCATATAACCCTAAGAACACTGTCCCCACAATTAAACACGGTGGTCAGAGCATCATGCTGTGGGGATGTTTCAGTGCATCTGGAACTGGGAATCTTGTCAAGGTTGAAGGAACAATGAAGAAAGAAGGATATGTGAAGATTTTGAAAGAAAACCTCAAGCAGTCAGCAGCAAAACTGGGTCTGGGTCGTCGCTTTGTCTTCCAACATGACAACGACCCAAAACATACAGCACTCCTGGTGAGGAGCTGCCTCCAGGAAACCAAAGTGAACATTATTGACTTGCCTGCACAAATCCCTGACTTGAATCCCATTGAAAATCTGTGGGCTGCACTGAAGACCAGGGTCCATGCTAGAAGACCATCAGATCTGAAGGAGCTTGAAAGATTTGCCAAAGAGGAATGGGCTGGCATTCCTCAGGTGATGTGCCAGAGCCTTGTTACAAACTACAGCAAACGACTGCATGCTGTTATCCAGCAAAACGGACACACAACTGACTACTAGCCTAAGGGGGGCTAATAATTTAATAAATTTAATAAGTTTTTGGTTGTTGTGAAATAATTTGTTTCTGTGTGCAAAGTAAAATGTAATGTAATGTAAGGATCCAAAATAAAACTAGGATGTTTGGAAAAGCTGTGTAAAAAAATCATTAATCTGTTAAACAGCACTTCAGAAATTTTGGAAAAAAACTTAAAATTTCATAGGGGGCTAATAACTTCCACCTCAACTGTATACCAACTTAAATAATGACCACACGATAGCAACACACAGTGGTCTACCACTCCACGTGCAAACATCAACCAAAAAGCCACTCAATAGCCATAAATAATATGGAAGCGATTGTGACTCATATCTCAAATTCAAAAGCATTAGCAGAAATGCTTTTTCATTTCAAAGTCATGGCTGCACTATTTGACTCAAAAATAAAAATCAAAAGCAATATTCCAAAATGCAATTTCATTTTCTTCTTCAAGACTGCTCATTTTGTGGCTCAATTAAAAAGCAAAAGCAAACTCAGAAATGCTTTTTCGTTTTCATGCTCGCCCCGCAAAAAGTGTCTCATAATTCAATCTGATTCGCAATCTCAAGTGGCGCAGGAAAGATACGTCACGGACCCCACTCGTTCTGGTCCCTTCTGGCCGATAGGGGGCAGTGAATCTGTGTATCATTCGTTCAATTGATATTCAATGTAATTAACACAGCATGTACACCTCACTTATTGGTTGTATTCAATGTTTGTGTGGACGTCTCCACAACTATGATCCACGCTTTAAATACGTAGAAACGAAACACTTGGTGTTAACGAAGATATATTACAAATATTTCCCCCTTTAATGTGGAAAAGCATCCGCTGTCACCACTCGTACTGATCGCAGTCAGCGTGAATGAAATCAAACCGCGGATCGCGGCTACTTCAGTTGACTAACGAACTTTATACTCCTCATTGTTCTCATCACTGATGGATGGATTTGGGATATTTTGCAAATAAAGGGCCATAAACACAGTGAGAAACAGACAAAATGGTCATAGAGATGCCTTAAAAATACATACTGTAAGTGAGTGAGTAAAAGGACCAGCACACCTGACACACCGCTGACATCTGCATACAGTCACAGGTTAACACGGACAGAGACTGCAGTGATTCTGCCTCCGTGCCATGTATTTTACCGGATTGATGTTGTAGTTATATTTCCTAAAAAAAATCCAGGCAAAGGAGCACTTACGGTCTGATATCAGATTCAGTTATAACAGGGATGTGTGATTTATTGTAACATTTGTAATATCTAGCAATTCACAATTTACAATGTCATTCCGCAGACACATTTATCCGAAGTGACGTACATTCAAGGACAACTGGGCGCAGCCAGCTGGGGCAGGTGGGGTCAAGTGTCTTGCCCAAAGGCACTTCAACACATGGATTTCCCTTTGATTGGGAGATGACTGACTACCAACTGAGCCACTGCTGCCCATCTTACCTGTTGTTCTAACAATGTGCAAAATGAAAATATCCAGTGTGTCACTTACTTTGTAAAACAGATCATAACACACCTTCACAGCCCATACACATTCTGCAAATGATCAAGCCAAGTAGGACAGACTACTTTGCATGTACCCTAAAAAAACAAACTCACTGTTTATGAATCACAACAACCTTAGTCTGCATAGCTGCCTGGATGGCCGCCAGTTAAAAATTAGGTAAAACCAGCAGGAGGCAATACACAATGGCCCTCATTTATCAAGCTTGCGTACGGCAGAAAACTTGCATACACTTTGCATACGACAATTTTGATGTGAGGATTGGCATTTATCAATCTGCATGTGAGCGTACGCTACGACCAAATCTCACGACAGGTCTGACATCGTGCACGCAAGTTTAAGTCAGTGTGGATCTGCGCTGCGGCAAATGTCTGTCTCAAAATAATTGATGTACAAACCTCAAACCCATCATTAAGCATAATGAGACAGATTTCATTTAAGATTAAGATGTAAATAAAATATAATAAAATAAATTTGTTATGTCCTTAGTGAACACTGCTACAGAGCAGGAGCGCCGTATTAACATTACGCACACGCGCCACTGTGGAGCGCTGCGTTTGACTCCTAAAAGGCAGGTGTCTCTGTCTTGGCCCAGCAGCGGGGACGCTGTTGTACACTCCTAAAAGGGTGTGGGACATCATTTGGGCCAGTACAGTTTTGCACAATTATGCACTGGCGAATGGAGTGCCGTTGGCTGTGCCGGTGCAATGTGAGGACCTGATGCCTGGAGAACAATAACAAGGAGAGACTCAAGAAAGGTGCTGTACAAAGGAGACAGGACCTTATCGATGGATTCTGATGTAAAGTATAAGTTTAGAAAGTGCTCTTGCTATTTATTCAGTGATAAAAATCCTATAGAAATCCATAAAAATGTGCCTCTGGGGCAGCAACACACCGTTTGGTGACGTTAATAATTATTTTTGTTCAGCCTCTGTCAGACTCTCCAGTCTGCTGTACATTACAAAGACGCAACAAATTAAAACTAAATACTTTCAATAATAGGAGCAACGTACCCTATGTCATATTAATAAAGAAATATGAGGCATGTATGAGATATTATCATCATGAGCAACTTATTGACTAATGATTTATTCAAACTTCAGCCACTGTCCACTATTCCGTGGCAGCGCTGTTTACCGCCACCATAATCCTGCTCCAGACAGGAGTTTTCTGGACTGCTTTTATACCAGATTTGATGCTTCCAAGAGAGAATCCTTGTAAGTTTCCACCACAGACATGGGGATATCCACTTCCAGCTCGAAAAAGTTTCGAATCTTTTTAATATGTCTCCTCTTTCATGTTTGACCTCAGTGGGTGAGGCTTCTGAACCACGAATATTTAAAGGGGACCTGCCATAAAAATGTAATTTTTGGGGTTTTTTGTGTCATATAAGGTCCATATTATGTTCGTCTTATGTTGTACATGTGAAAACAAACCGTTACGTCGTTTGCATTCTGTAAAGGTTTAAAATCAAGGAACGAGTAAACCAGGCCAATTGAAAAAGCCCGTTGGTGTTACGTTGCGCCGACCTTGCTCATTATTATTCACGAGCGCGTCCTCGGTGAGCCGCGCCCACTCTCTCGTTCTCGTACTCAGTCACAGCCAGAGCGAGACCCAGCTACCGCTGTATCCGCTATGGGTCTCTTCCAAACGATCGATGTTTCCTTCGGTTCACTGCCGGGAAAATGAACTTAAAGCTGGGCAGAATGAATGAGAAAACACCGCTGGTGATCTCCGGCTTCTTCCTCAACTTCCACCTCCTCTTCGGACTCGGGGTCTAAAATATATGGTTTAATACCTGCCGTTTTTAGCCTTTAGCATAAGGTGACCAGACGTCCCCGATTTCCGGGGACAGTCCCTGTATTGGATGACCTGTCCCCGGCAAAAGCTGTCCCCGAAAATGTCCCCGATTTAAGCGTTTCATTAATGAGAGCAAAAATGTTGCGTGTGGGCTCGAACAACGGTTATTACAGTAGCCGAATTTAGTTAGCAGTCCTGAACAACAGTTCTTACGGGTGTTATTACAAGGGGCATGCGCTGCTACTAAATAGTACCGAGATTTTGTCTGTGATCACACAGCCCCTGCAGCCCCCGCACCACCGCCGCCGCACCGAATATCCCCGGATATCATTACAGACATCTGGGCACCTTACTTTAGCACACATTAGCATATGCTATTAGCATTAGCATAATAACAGTGGATAAACCGAAATCCGAACCTCCACTTCTGAGCCAATCAGAGCACAGCAGGCTTCACAGCAGCGATCCAATCAGAGCAAAGCTCATTACCATAAATGTTAATGAGCCAAAACCAGTTGGTTTTCCTGTAAGGTTTTTTAGGCATACTAAAACAAACCATCAAATAACTTTTCAGCTAAAATTATGTTGCAAACATGATCAGAGGACATCAAGGATTATGAAAAATTGATAAAAATGGGGATGAAATTTTGGTGGCAGGTCCCCTTTAAGGGCGTGACATATTAATGACGATCGATTTCAGCCACCGCATTTATCAAGACCCGATCATATGTACGCTGGGATTGGTCAGATACGAACCCTTTCATAAATCTCACGTGTGTCCTATTGTACAATGAATCCTGCACTCAGATCTGTGCAAGATTGATAAATGGGGGCCAATATGACCAGGAAACAGTTTTGTTAGGTTTAACTGCAAACATGCACAATTTGGTCTGAAAACCCCTTCTGCCTTTCAGCCTCTTCATATTACACAGACTCATTTCTAAAAAATACAGTCTGACAGACAGACCGGTTGATCACTTCAGCTAAATAATCGGGCTGAATAACGGCACCTGGCATAACTGGTATTAGCTGATGCCTGGGCTCACAAAGCCAAACAAAAAATATTAAGAGATTATGTCTGCATACTGCTTTGCCTGTGCGGCTGTTGTTGTTGTGCAACATTAACGCTTTCCTGAATAGTGCCATGTTTTTCCATCCTTATGACAGCATATCAAATCGAAAACTCTTGCTGGCTATTGTTAAATACAAATTCTGTAAGGGTGTATAGAACAATGCAGTTTTATGTCTCTCCTGACATAAATACATGGGTCATGTATTTACACAATGTTAATCACAGTGTTTATCTTTATGTAATTAATTTATTAAAAATCTACCTAAAACATATTAGGGGCTCAGATAACCACCTATATTAAGTGCAGGGAGCATAGAATAACGAGTGTTTTTACCAAATTGTTGTTTTATCAAATGCAAAAGAACCCCACAACAATATAGTATTGGCAAAATATTGGCTCATAAGCTGACTAAAAAATAACAGCTTAGTTAAGTTAAATAATACAAGACTTTGACAAAGACATTTGACATCCAGTAACAGTGTTTCCCCTAGAATTTTTTTCAGCTGCGGCGGTGTGTGTGTAAGTGTGTCAGTTTTTAAGACCGTGTATAAGCTTAAACATTACCCTTCACATTCGTGGAAGAGGGTCCGACAGGATTTGATGCGCTAGTTAAAGACTCAGAGCAAGTCAAAAATAACGTTGTGTTGTTGTGGCCATACAGTGCGAGTAGAAGTCATTAGTGCCTCATTGATAATAATGCTACTAATGCTATTAATATTACTCGCTATTTAGACCGTGTATAAGTTTAAACGTTACCTTTCATGTTGATAGAAAAGGGTCTGACAGGATTTGATGTGCTCCTTGATGACTCACAACAGGTCGAAAATAACGTGTGTTGTGCTCACACAGTGTGAGTAGAATCATTAGTGGCGCATTGATATTAGTGATCATGTGAAATTTCAGCATCAGCGCACCTAATGTAGGGAAAACACTGATGTCACTTGATGTCGGTTTCTGATACAGTGCCGCCTGATGGATCAAAGGTCACGGGCATTTAATGTTGGTTTCCAGCCGTGCCACTTACATGCAGTGATTTCTCTGGATTCTCTGAACCTTTTGATGATATTAAGGACCGTGGATTTTGAAATTCCTAAATTCCTTGCAATTGTACTTTAAGAAACGTTTTTAAACTGTTCAACTATTTTTTCACGAAGTGGTGAACGTGGCCCCATCCTTGCTTGTGAATGACTGAGAATTTTTGGGGAAGCTGCTTTTATACGTAATCATGGCACCCACCTGTTCCCAATTAGCCCGCTCACCTGTGGGTTGTTCCAAATAGGTGTTTAATGAGCATTCCTCAAATTTCTCAGTATTTTTTGCCACCTTTCTCAAATTCTTTGTCACATGTTGCAGCCATGAAATCATGAGTTAATTATTTGCAAAAAAAAAAGTTTGAGTTTGAACATTAAATATCTGTCTTTGTAGTGTATTCAATTGAATATAGGTTGAAAAGGATTTGCAAATCATTGTTTTCTGTTTTATCTTTTTTATTTACGTTTATCACAATTTCCCAACTTCAATGGAAATGGGTTTTGTAATCTGTCATATAAGTATTGTCCCTAATAAGGCCAATATCACAGCATGGTCTATGAAAAATGCAGCATATCAAATCTGAGAATAACTAGTGTCTACTTTAATAGCCAATGACAATGATGTTTAGAATAATGCAGCTTGATCATAATCATAATGTTTACCCTGTAAATGTCTGTCTCTCTTACTAATTTCCGATAGGTGGTCATAAATTCAAAAGCTTCTGGTAAGATTTTCCTAAACCCAGTATCTTTCTGTCTATATTTACTGAATACAACATTCAACCCAGTTCAGCAACATTCTTAATATTTGTTTGCATTATTTCATTGAAAAAACAACAATGTGATTGTTGTACAGCTGACTTTCTGTTACATTATCAATATCAGCACTGGCCACTGAAAACCTGTCAGTAGTTAAATCCTAGTCTGAAAAAAGTGAAGGAACAATCAGCTGTGAGCCCTCTGTTACATTTAGGGCTGCAACTGACAATTATTTTTGTTGTTGACTGAGCTATCGATTATTTTTTCGATTAACTGATTAATCACAATAATTGTTGTTAGCATCTATTTTGGACTTCTGTTTAACCCAAAGTTTAATCTTCACACCAATATTGATGCTGCTAACGACAGGAGCTGAAATTAAGTGTTTCAGATAGGGCTGGGGAGATTCGTCGATGTAATCGACTACAAAATTTCGTCAACACAAAAAACAAGCGTCGACACGTCGTATGATAACGCAGACAATGGCTACTTCAGGTAACGGTGGAAGTATGGACGGCAAACCAGCTCCACCTAACGGGGTCGATTTAAAACCTACTTTAGCATGATCTCCATCAATGCCAGTGTTCTTCCTGGCTTCCTCGTTCGCATTTCTTAGATGCTTTCATTCAAGGAGACATGCAGTAACCTGTCAATCAAATAACCCACAGCTGATGCAGCAAACGCCACAGTGAACGCTAGATCATATGCCCTGCATCCCATATTTAATTCATTCATTCATTCATTCATTCATTCATTCATTCATAATTCATTCATTCAATTCAGCAGTTATCTCAGAGCTGAAGTATCAGTTTGGTGCTTTTAAATGTCCTATACCACGCTAATTAATTAGCTGTGTGATCGCCGACAATAGCTCGCTAATGCTAATCCTTGGCGAATGCGAGCACTGCTGCACATATGTATACTGATATCATACCTGCCAACACTCACGGTTTTCCCGGGACTCTCCCATATTTTAGACCTATCTCCCGTCCACCTCCCGTATTGTCATTTCTCCCGGGAATCTCCCGTAGTTTGATGGTCCACATTCATTCATGAATCGGATCACTATATTTGTCCAAAGTTTCCAGACAACTTTAGATTGTCCTGTGTTTCTGCTGAGCCTCACAGACACTGGATTGATACTTGGACTTTACAATTTGGGATGATTCAGGTCACTTTAAGCTGTAAACTATGTTTAAGCAGTGTTTGTTGCAAAAAGAACACTTCAGTGAAAGGGAAACAAACGCGAGATAAAATATTTATGTTGATAGTCTTTTACCGTCTCAAAGTGATGCATTCAGGCAGCCTCAGATAAAAAAGTGCTGTATTTCATGCACAGATGTTCAGAGAGCCTCATACAAGGGAGCATGTAAAACATATGAGGACTTTAACACTTTTAGTGGACTAAATAAGTTCAAGGCATATCGAAGCTATTATATTTTTTATTGCCATTTGTTATTGTATAAACAAAAAAGTGTTCAGCTTCACTTATACTTATTTGGATGAGCAATTTAATTACCAATACTCTCATTATTAACTCATATCCACCATACAAGGTAACCTCAAAACTGCCCGGCGTTTGCCACAAAAATCTCCCAGATTTTATAACCCAAATGTTTTGTTTTGTTTAATTTCAACAGGTTCTTAACTAAATCGTTGAATTAAATACTAATAGGACAAGTTTTTACTTGCTATTTTGGTTAAATTCATTGTTATACTAATCAGTTAATTAAAAATTATTCGTTAGAATAATCAATAAATTAGTCGATAGATTAGTCGACTTATCGAAAAAATAATCGTTAGGCTAATCGATAGGAAAATAATAGTAATCTGTGAAGTACAGGTGCAGCCCTAGTGTCAGAGCAGCTGCACCTGTACTTCACAGATTACTGCCATGAAGTACACATTCAGGTGAGTGAACTAGCATTTACTAAGCAAGCTTTTCCCATGATTTTACAACTAACAGAAGTACAACACAAATGTATTATGTACTTCCATCACAGGCTGGTGGTTAATTAACAAATGATTGGTTTTAAAATACGTGATTTTAAAATATGACTGCAGTATAAGCGCCATTTGTGAACTCATTTCTGGGGCTGTAAAGACTTAGTCGACTGATTGGTCAATACGGAGTTGACCAAAATTCTGATTGGTCAACTCAGATTTTTTTCCAAGTCAATTTACAGACTATAGTTAATTTTATCTGGAGGAACGTACCAAGTGCTAATGGGGGTGTTTTTAGAGCACCCCCATTTCACAGACCAACAGCCTGTCTCAGAACACCCCCTTGTTTTCACCATTTTGGATTCGCCCAACCCACTGGAGACTGGCTGGAGACAGGAAGACTGAAGGGCGACCTACAGAAACCATTCAGGGCTCCAAAAATGTATTCAGGATTTTTATTCATTTAACTTTTCCCCACTTTAAATGTAATCCCGTTATTAATACATTATTAAACAATCCAGACCAATTTAAACTCATTCAAACTGATTCAAACCTTTCTAATTCTTCAACCTTGTCTAATACTTGAGGATTTTTAATTACTCCATTTTTTTTCCATTTTAAAATCATTCTTATTATTTATGCATCATTTAATTCTTCAAACAGATTCCCAGATTTACTGCTACAATCACTTTTATTACCACTACAACTTGTATCTTCACTTCTACCTCCACTACTCTGGCTTCTCTAAATATTTTTTTCTGCATCGCTTACTTTTACTGCCACTATTACTTCTACCACGAGCTCTATTGGTTTGACTTCTACTTCTTCTATTCTAAAACTACTTCTACTGCTTACATGACTACTCATATCACTACTACAACTACCTATTAGTTCCTTACATCGCTAGAGTGCAGAACTCCTCTTGGATCAACAGAACCTTGCTCGAATATATCGCTCCCACGCCCACAAATTTCACTCCACAGCCATAAAATATACATCAAAATGGAGGTATATGTGTCCTGTTTCTCACAAAAGAGGTTTCAAATCATTAAATTGTACCCCTTGGCCAGCAGGTGACCAACTGTCCAAAAAAGGCAAAGAACCCTGGCATTGGCCCTAGTGTAATTTTTCTCCAAGCAACTCCTGATGATCACTCAGGCTCAGACTTTTTTAACTCGCTGTTGTGGCCACATTTTTTAGAGTACAGACATGAAAAACACATCATTGTGTTCATGAAGGGTGGAGGATTCGTACGATGTTGGCCCTAAATTCACTGCAGTTAGGCAGCTTCTCATTCAAACAGTAGGTCAGTTAATGCCTTTGATCTCACAGCTGTAAAGGATGCAATCATTAAAGAGACACACACATAGTCTGACAGTGCGTGTGTGTCTGTGTCTAAAAGACCTGCATGTACACGGAGTTAATATGTGTCTGCTTCACCATCTATCTCCTCCCACAAACTTTGACCTACAGAAACCATTCAGTGCTCCAAAAATTCAGCTCATTGAGGACATTATGGGGTGTACTCAGGATTTTTATTCATTTAAATTTTCCCCACTTTAAAATTAATCCCGTTATTAATACATTATTCAATTCTTCAGACAAATTTAAACTCATTCAAATTGATTCAAACCTAATACTTCAAACTTGTCTAATACTGGAGGATTTTTAATTATTCAAAATTTTCCCATTTTAAAATCATTCTCATTATTTTGCATTTTTTATTTCTTCAAACAGATTCCCAGTTTTACTACTACAATTACTACTAATATCACTTTAACTTGTATCATCACTTCTACCTCCACTACTCTTGCTTCTCTAAATATTCTTTTTACTGCGTCTCTAACTTTTACTGCCACTATTTCTTCTACCACTAGCTTTACTACTTTGACTTCTACTTCTTCTATTCTAAAACTACTTCTACTGTACATGACTACTAATATCACTACTACAACTACCTATTATCTAGGCCTGCACGATATCGTTTGAGCATCGTCATCGCGATGTACGTGTGTGTGATAGTCACATCGCAGAGCCTGCGATGTCGGAGGTGAATGAACTCAGTTAATATCAAGGGTAACTGACTGAGATACACTGCATGTGACTCTGCATAAGCTGTGCAGCGATCCAACGATCACCTTCGTTCTTTACTCAGTTGCCAATCAGACTCAGTTCTCAGTTGACCAATCAGACACTGCCAGCTGTCAATCAAAATCAGAGGAGGAAATCTACCCCTGCACATGTTCTGCACATGGAGGGAGTCGCTGGCTACCGGAGTTGAGTGGAGAAACGCTTGTCCGCTGAGAATTACTTTTGGAACATTCTTCATCACTGTTTAGCCCAACAAATAAGAACTGTATGGGTCTTCAATTGTACATTTCCGTGGAGCACAACCCGATAACAACAACAACAACGATCGCAAACTGAGCAACACAGAGAGAAAACCACAGAAGATGAAGACTTGTTGCCAAAAAGAAAAGGAAAGTCAGTTATCTAGAATTATTTCAGTTACAAGATGGATAATGTCGACCAAAACACGTCTTCTGTGTTCATCTGTTGCCACAATAGCATCCCAGCACAATAAAAGCTAAAAATATCTCTGAGACAGACAGAAGCCATTCTACTAACATTCACAAAAAGACGTAAGATCAGTGCAGGTTAACTGTCCTCAAGATTTCAGCAGTGCAGCACAACATAAAGTGCTATTCAGGTCATCTGGTAGAAATTTTTTATCTTTTAATATCGCAATACATATCGCAGGGTTGAAAAAAATCGCAATATTAGTTTTTTCCAATATCGTGCAGCCTTACTATTATCATACTACTTCTAGTACTACAACTTAAACTTCTGCCACTTCTCACTTTTTCTGTGTTTGAAGGTAATTTTCTTCCTTATCCAATTTTTTTTGCAATTTCAGACAGTTTTTCTAGCCTTATTCAGCATGAATACAATTTTAATTTATGAAGCACATTCATACTATTTGTACTTCAGCAATTTTCACTTTCATCCAACTTCTACTTCTCTTTCTCCAGCCCTTTAACCAACTTTACATTTAAACCTTCCTCCATTTTTTAAGCAGTTTTGCATTGCTTTTTGAGCTTTAGCACTCAGCATTTCCATGCATTTTCTGCAAGGAAATGAAATTTTTCTAGTTATATTTTAGCCTTTTGTGTTTAATTGCCTTCTTGTGCTTCTTGTACATTTCCACCCCACTGAGCCCCACTGCAGAAAGGTTTGCTGCCAGAGTCGGAACACCCTCCAGTACACGCGATACATGATGATACAGTAGCTCTGGGGTGTCAGCGCTTAAGTGTTTGTGCATGGCCGTAGTGCTACCATGGAATAAGAGTTGAGTTTCACAAAGATTGCATTTAATGTGTTTTGCTGGTTTATTTTCAGTGAAATGTTCCCAAGCTTTAGAAACGTTGGGGTTTTTTGAGCCTCTTCATCTGTTTGTTTTGCCATACTTGATGTGCGTTCTACTTCTCTGTTTCCTGAGGGATGTACATGGAAATGACAATGCCACCTGCACTTCCTGTAGTGTACTGCAGTTACAGATGAGCATGAAGCGGCCACTATGTGATTTACAACAACAATAACATAATGTGTCAACGCTTAAATTTTTGCGGCGACAAATTTTTGTTGTTGACATTACAGATATTGTCGACTAATCTGAGTCCTTCTCTTTCTCACTGGAACACATTCCTGCAGCTCTCTCTTGTAGCTATGAGGAAAATGCCCTATTTTTTACATGACTGACCAATCACTGATTAACAGAAATCACAACTAGTCTAGCAGGAATATGCTGATTTTTGAGGCGATAGTGCAAATGGTGATACAACCATGAAATTTGGTACAGATATCCTTTATACCACTACTAATCATAATATAACCTCTGGCCACCTGGGTGGCGCCATTTTTCAAGATGGCCGCCAGCTTTTAGAAATAGCTGCTACCATGTTAACGTTTTAGACTCTATCACTCTGCTGCAGCTATAAATCTTACATTTACCCTACCTTTGAAATAATATAATATGGTTTAGGTATTTATACCAATTAAAAACAACATATTAGGTTCCAATGTGGCAGCAAATATCCAATATGGCGGCCTAGTCACACTCTAAATTGCTGATTTTTGAAAGGATGATTAAGTGTTTGACCCAAACTTAAGATGGCATGATGCATGATACCTAGCTTTGTTACCCTCAAGTGTCAACTGAATTCCATCACAATCATCAAGTCGCTTTGTGTCAAAGAGAATTGGCATGCAGTTCATTTTGTGAAATTCGAGAATATTGTTAGCCAATGTCAGATAACCACTGCCTGTGGCATTAGTTAACTTTTCACTGCTGTTTTGTTGGCACAAACAGCATAATTCCCAATTGGTCGGACTAGATGCAGGCCTACTATCTGCCGAAGGTGTGGAGGGTATTTCTGTCTGTGTGTCCATTGCTGTTGTCTAGGCCGAGGGAATATCCTTATATACCACCTATTAAAGACAACTTACTATAGTACTGTACACTTTAAAGTATGGGATGCAACTGGGCTCCGATAATAACAAGATCACTATCCTACCCCCAGCCCGATCATTCATCCAATGCTATTTAATTCCTGTGTGATCTGTACACCTTCCAGAAGACTAAAGCCCCATCTTCCTTGGCTCGGCTCTCCCGCGCTGGCACATCCTGTCAATTCAGGTGGGGCTGTTTAACTTTAACTTGGGGCAAGCTAAACAGCATTTAGGAAACTAGACAATTTATTTAGACAAATTTACTAGCTAGCATTGAACCCCATGCTGAGTCTCACAGCTATAGTGTCAACCAGTGTGCCCTGGTAGTGTAATGACACTACACAATATATTATTGATTTGTCATGTTATATGGTGTGGCCATTTTTAAAACAAATATGACCTTTCATAATAGCTCATGTCTATGACTTATGAATAACCCTGATCTACTATAAATAAATATATGACAAACTTCCAAACAGCAGCTATAATGACCAACAAAATACAGAATTCTTCCCATTTCTGTTTCTGGGTGGCCATCTTTTAAAATGGTTGAAATCTGCTTAGCCAAAGGTTGATTCTAAAATATGGTCATATAAAGGTCGTATGTACTGAATTATATGGTTGTATTACCATTTTGATCATTCTTTCAAAAATCAGCAATTTAGAGTGTGACTAGGCCGCCATATTGGATATTTGCTGCCATATTGGAACCTAATATGTTGTTTTTAATTGATATTAATACCTAAACCATATTATATGGGGCGGCAGTAGCTCAGGAGGTAGAGCGGTCGTCCAATGACCGGAAGGTTGGCGGTTCGATTCCCCCCTAATCCAAGTCTGTCCGTTGTGTCCTTGGGCAAGACACTTAACCCACCTTGCTTCCAGTGTGTGTCCTCCACTGGTGTATGATTGTGAGTGTTGTGTGGTGGTGGTCGGAGAGGCCGTAGGCGCAGAATGGCAGCCACGTTTCCACCACCAACAAAGTGTGACTGTGTGAGCGAATGAATGATGTATCCAATGTAAAAGCGCTTTGAGGGTCTCTGATAAAGCGCTATATGAAATCTGATGCATTATTATTTATTATTATTATTTCAAAGGTAGGGTAAATGTAAGATCTATAGCTGCAGCAGAGTGATAGAGTCTAAAACGTTGACCTGGTGACAGCTATTTCTAAAAGCTGGCAGCCATCTTGAAAAATGGCGCCGCCCAGGTGGCCAGAGGTTATATTATGATTAGTTGTGGTATAAAGGATATATGTACCAAATTTCATGGTTGTATCACCATTTGCACTATTATCTCATATTCCCGCTCCACTAAACCACCAAATGATGACCAAAGCCATAGATTAAAAAAAAAGGAAGGCCAACTTGGATGAAGAGACAACTGTGTATCCCACTCAATACAACAATAACTTGCAATTTCAATTTACCACCATCCTGCAAGCTGTTGTCCACCAATAATGGTAATGCAAAGAAAAAATCCCAAAGCATGCCACTGTTGAATCAAGTGGTGGAATTTAGAAATTCTTGCTGACCCACAATTGCTTGCTGCATCCCAACTCTTGCTGCTTGGATAAGCACACATCATTAAACTCTAAACCATGATATAATCCAAAAATACCTCAACTCTTCTGTTGACCCAGACTTTTATTAATTGCCACAGCCTGGGCATTTCACATGTGTACCTAGCTTTTTCAAAATGAGTGGAACATTAATAGAAGATCAGGCAGTCTGCGAAGGGGAGTATAACATAAGTACACTGTCTATCATCCTGACATGATAAACAAGATTTTATATGCTCTACTGGACCTGCCATCTGGAACATTAATGACTAAATAGAGACAAGAAAAGGCTCAAGTGATGCGTTACTTAACGCTACTGTGGTGAAATCGAGGGCTTGTCCCGTGGCATGTGACCTACACATGACTAAGAGGCGGTCTCACCTCCATCAGACCATATGACCAAAAACTGAGTCATGCTTAAGACCAGGTACAGCATAACACCAATTAGATAAAGGTAAACAGCAGGTGGTTGAGTGCCTGTCACTATCTATGAGCTGGTGGTAGTGAATTAATAGAAATGTAAGCCCATCCCATTAGGAACTAAAGTCATTGATATCAAGTTGAACTTGTTTTCTGGACTCGGGTGTTTATATCGATGATCAGGGTATAAAATAACCTAGACTAATGTTAAATCATCTCTATATTAAATCTATCCATCGGGTCTTAATTCGTAATGAAACCCTGTACTAGACACAGATGACAGGCTGCAGAGACATTTACCGAACTAACCTCAAACCTTTGTGGTGAATTTAAAAACACACCTATCAGTGCGGCGCAAGTAATCCGCTGCTTTAACAGCTTTGTAACGGTGCCGGTAATCTGATCACAATGCGACATTTGTTAAAAACGTCTGTTGGTAGTTTTGTGTAGAAGGCCGTTCCCTTGTTCAATAAAGTCCAGTCTCTCTGTATTCTGGGTGGACACACTCAGGTCAGCTGATGTTAGCCGCTAGCTTAGCCCTCTGCTAACTTTAAACTGTCTGGCACTGCTACATGCTAAGCTCCACAGTGCTCCAAAGTGTCCTAAGACGTTTTAAAAAGTGATACTTACTATTCAGGATTCATTGTTCACTTGTGTAAGGGGTATCCTCTCTCGTCAAGGGTCTCTTTTCTAGTCTGTAGATCAGACCAGCGCTGTTTCTGAGGTGAAGGGAGCGTAGGTTAGCTTACACCGCTCACACAACTACAGCCGGCTCAGTCAAAATCCAAAATGGCTGAAACCAGGAAACAGCGAACATCAGCCAGCTGCTTATTCAGGGCGGCAAAAACAACAGATACGAGTTAGAGATCAGATACGATTTTAAGAAGCCCCACTACAGCCACACAAAGGAAAAAAAACAAGGTGGCGTTGGTATGCAGATCAGCTAATCGGACTCTCTCTCTCTCTCTCTCTCTTTGTGTGTGTGTGTGTGTGTGTTTATGAGAGCGATAAGGAGGGTGACGACATTCAGCGAGACGTGGCAGAGGGACTCAGACTTCACCCATATAAATATTGCATCTCAAATAAAGCAAAAGTATATTTCAAAATTTTACATAATATATGCCATGTCAACTCTATCATTTTAAAATGTACAGATGTGAATGACTCCTGCACTTTTTGTGAGAGCAACGTAAAAAAGTTTTTTTTTTTGCATTTGTTTTTTGTTATGATCTTGGTGTAAGTCTTGGATCTCTCTTTTTTGGTGCTGCTAATTCTGTCTACTCCCTCACTCTTAAAAATATAATTTGCTACTACAATAATCCAGAATATCACCTGATGAATTTTATCATAATTTACGCAAAATTCTTTATTCACAAACCAAAATTTGCTCATTCAGTACCTAAATTCTCTCCTTTTTTACTTAAAGAGATTTAATCAGAGTTTAGTTTATTTGATTAATAACAAAAAAGAAATACGTTACTAAACAATTATGAGAAGTTTTTTTCCTGAAACCTCTGCTGACCCTTTATTAATGACTATTTTGTTCTTTTTTAAAAATATGTTATTATTATTATTACTATTATTGTATTTTTATCTATTTTATCTATTCTATTTTGTACCTATCTTTGACTTTTTTTTTTAATCTTACTACTAGTATTATTGTCATTTTATTTTCAAGCTATAGTCTATAATTTACTGCATCACTGTACTGTCCTTTTGTAATTTTTGATGTACTGTTACACATGAATGTATACCTTGTTCGTTCTGTAATATTTGCTCAATAAAAAAAAAGTATTTTGAGTGACCATGTTATAATTATAGTTATAATATGTATTTTTTTTTCATAATTGTTTTTTATGTTTCCACTACACATGATTTGATGTTACATGTCATGAGTTAGGTGGAGATAGATTTTTTTGTACATTGAATACAATACAAAAAAGTTTAATTAAAAAAAGTCAGACAGTGCCCAGTGTCAGATCACACATTAGAAACAATCCTGGTCAATTTCAAAAATCATTATTTATCCATGAAGCAGCATGTTGTGAGTCATTAACCTATGATCACAACATCTGCAGTTGGTCTGGTCCAGAGGAGGCCAGTGAGTGTTGTCTCAGACAGCTGGAGATCATAGTGCTTATTAGAGCCATTAGAGCCTAAGGTTGTACCATCATGTTCAAATTAAAAACATTTGGTCTGATGTGATAATGTCTTAATGTGAAAACATTTTGAATCAGACTCAAAACACAGCACTGGGAAGACATAAAAAAATATATATATATTTTTAGGGTTCAAACCCATAAAAATCAAAAATGTCAAAAATGTTATTAAATGAAGATGACTATTTTCTACCAAGGTGATCCATCTTTGAAAAGTGGATAATTATAGTCTTTCAGGCAGGCTTATATGATGTTTTCACAGTTATGTTTTATTAAATAAAGTTAAAGAAGGCTGTTATGACAGTTGTTTGGTTTCCGTAATGTCAGTGATTATGTTAAGTGGACAGCAGCGTAACATGAGGAGCTGCACACCTGGCACTAACCTCCAAAACCTTTGACAGGGATCTGTATGAAGAGGCATGCCGGTCACTGGATGAAAGGATAAAGGCGGGTGGATACATGTGTATTTGTGTGTGTGTGTTTCATGTGTATGTGTACACCCACATATTATGTGTATGTGGGTGTATAAGCCTAAAGCTTGGATAACAGATCCGTGTGTGTAAGCCTAAAGCTTGGAAGACAGATCCTGTGACACGGAGCGAGTTTACTGTAGGTTCTGTCCTGTTGGTGTTGTCTCAAGCCAACAGTAGGCTGTGTTAGGTTAAAACAATGTGTTAGAATAATGTGCATAAATGTATATAGAAGTTATCATTATTCCTCATATTCTTATGTAAGAGTTTATACTACAAGTATAAACTCCTTTGACCTCTTTTTATACATCATATAAGAGTATTTTCTAACTTCTCTCTCCAATAGCTTAATTACACAGCACATGAATGTTTCTTAACTTCTCTGTGAACTTGTTTCTCCTATCAGCAGGTGTGTGTGATGTATCCTCCACTATGAATCGTGGGAAGGAAATAAGGGGAGGACACGCTTATCAGAAGGAGCTCGTTAGATGCCGCCTTGACCTTCACATATTCACAAATTGTTCATTATTAAATGCTTACTTTGCAGCACATTTACCCCCACCCTTTTAGAAACATTGTGTGACCAGGGACAACCCTAAATAAAAGAGACTGGGCGGAAATACCTTTCAGAGTGGTTTCGAGATGGTACCTGAAGCTATCTCGGTCCATTCTCCTCGAGTATATACCATTGTCTTTCTCTTCTTTATGTTATCAGGTAAATGTTGCAGGTTTTAGACCTAACACAATGAGACTTGCACAAACCGGATCAGTCTGGTAGCCTTAGCAGAACTACAACAGCTCTGATTTTAGCCCTACTCTCAGCTTGATTGCTTAAGCCATAAAATCTCATCAGGACACCTGGGGTGCATGGTTGTCACACACTGGCTTAAGTTATTAAACTTGCTATGCAAAGTTTAAAAAAAAAAAAAAGTAGGCTACTCGTGTGTGATCTTGGTTCCTCAGTCCACTTCTGATAATCTATGAGTTTTTTCTATTTTTCTCTTACCTGCTGAGATACAAAGTTGGTATGGGAACATCTGCTGCAGACTATTAGGTCTCGTGTTTCTGATAAAACACAAGCACACATTCTCTATTCCTATAAGCAAGTAGTTCACATGAAAACCTTAATTTTTGCAACATTTCCTTTTTAGAAATCCAAATACCTAAATTTGACTGAAAGCGGATAATTCAAACAAAAACACTAATTTAAAGGGGGCTTTTGGCTTTTCGTCCCATTACATTACTGTTTAATTCAGGACAGAAGAGACACGCATTCAACCCAAATCTTCAATCTTTTGTCTCTGTGAGACATGGCGTGAGTAATTCACATGAAATGTGTGACAACCTCAGAATGTGAGGCTTTGAAGAACAGGCTTCGAGCTGACATCTCAGGACTGGTTCCACTCACTAGCAGTGAGTGACTTAATTAGAGAACTATCACAAACTATTAAATTTCCCTTTAGGGATAAAAAATAAGTAAGTTCTTATATTAGTTGTGAAGAATCCTTCATTCTTGTTAACCCAGAGCCTGTCTGACATAAGGCCTGAGTGATACATTTTTATTTCTATTATTATTGTTGTTCTTATTAGATAGCTAAGATGATGTGATTACTGTGCTGCTTTTCCTGTGTCCTATGCGGTGGGTGGCACGCACTATCTCATTTTAACTCACCAATTAGAGCTCAGATTGTTGCACTATGAAGTTTGGGAGTGTGAGAAAGTTGAGAATGCCATTAAATGTGTTCACTAGAAACTGCTGTTTCTTAAAGTCCCACTGCAATCCTTTTTTTTAACTACTTAAAGTGTTTTTAGTGGTCCAGAAGAGGTTGAAGTTGTCGATGTAGGTCCTACATTGTCCTGTCATCAACCTGAATTGCACATGGTATCTCCTATGTAGGAGATACCATGTGCAATGCAGGTTGATGACAACCAGGTGTGCAGCGCTAGCAGTCAGCTGAAATGCCCACAGCTGCGGCCAAAAAAAGGAATGGGACTGGATACATGAATCTGGCTCATGGATCTCTTTAAAGTTTTAAACATGTTGATGGAGTCCTTTTTTAGAAGCTTCGACTGCTGCTTTCGAGTGTCATTTGTGCCCACATGGATTATTATACTGGTGATTTCTGGTTTGCTGGCAAGCACCTTAATGGCTCTTGAGGTAATATTGTGGACAGTGGCTCCGGGAAAACAGCATGTTATCGCTGAACCAGATCAGACATGCCTGATAACAGTCGCCAATGACCACTGTTGTAGGCTGATGCCAAGGCTCACCAGGGGGCAAGGGGCGTGATCCCTGGGACGAGTGATGCGCAGTTTACAGGTCATTGGATTGAGGCTCCCCTGGGGCCTCATGTATCAACACTTGCGTGGGATTCATACCAGAAACGAGCGCACGCAAGGTCCGTCACGCTGAAAAAAATCCGTATGTATCAAGGTGTGCGGGCGCCGAAAGCCACGTGTGTTTCCTTGATAAATCCCAATCAGCTTGGAATTGAGCGCAGATGTCGGAGTGACCGGGCCCGCCCCCGTTACGCCATCCTATAAATATGCAGATTTAATTAAATAGGGTCTCCCTGTCCTCGCACGCAGACAAAATGACAAGAAAAACGAAATTTACGGCGTGCGAGGTGGAGGTGCTGGTGGCGGAGGTGGAGGAGCGACAGCGTGTTTTGTTTGGCAGCCTGTCCAGTGGCGTCAGTGCAAAACGAAAACGCTTGGAGTGGGAGCAAGTTTGCGAGAGGGTGAACGCGGTGGGTTCCGAGACACGCACCCCCGCGTAGATTAAAAAAAAGTGGTCGGACCTCAAGGTGGAGGTCAAGCGGCGTACAGCTGCCCTCCGGAGGAGTATCGGCCAGACAGGTGGGGTTCCGGGGGAGGAGACCCTCAAGCCGTTTGAGCAGCGGGTGGTGGCGATTATTATTATAGGGTAAGTGGCGTGTCTCACAAATGTCCACATGCTTTGCCATCCCACTGAGCAAAAGACGTATATTAGACGTCTAGTCTAAGTTTATACTTCATTTCAACGTCGGGATTCAGTCTATTTTTAGACGTGATTTATACTTCGCCCTTAACTTCATTTTTCGATAACTTTTTATGCAATAAGCAACTGTAATGTGCATAACTGACCTCTAAATACTGGATTACATTACCTATGATACCGTGGAGAGATGTAAACGCAACAGATACACAGAAGCAGGAATTGAAATGAACCAATATTTTTATTGTGTCACAGAAATCAATGTGTCGGCCGTGTCGCCGGCCTGCGGAAACCCGGCCCGCGGCAGCCCGTCCGCCGGCTCGGAGTCGTCGGCCAGGACCAGCGGCATTCGGGCCACCCCGGCCCCAGCACCAGCACCAGCATCAGCACCAGCGCGCCGACAAGCGGTGGAGCGTCCACCAGCCGCGGCGCTTCCGCTGGACCACCCGGACGCAATGGAAGGGTCCTCACGGAGGCGGTCCTGCAATCGCAGGAAGAAATCGTCAGGGGGATCGCGGGGATCAACGAGCGGCTGGACCGGCTCGTAAATGTCCTCGAGCGTCTGATGGCGAAAATAAATTAATTTGGCTCATTGAACTGTGTATTCACTTCTTACCCATTCACACTGTGGCGATGAGATTCTCCCGCGCGAGGACGGCGGCCCGGCAGGGATCAGCTCGCATCCCTCCGTCTGCTGCTGGTTCGTCATGTGGGGCGACGTGCTGCTCGGCCACGGGGATGTGGTGCACGTTTGTCACATAGTGAGTCACCAAACACCGCCACACAGCGTCGCCAAAGTGCCGTCAACGCAAGTATCGGCTCAACGCCAACTTCTACACCACCTCCTCACTTTGCGTGGATTTGCGCTGGAACCGACGCACGTGTCGCGATGATAAATCTGGACGTGTGCGCCGATCTTGGCGAACGCAAGGTTTTCTGGCACCGCCAGCGTTGATACATGAGGCCCCTGATGACTGATGGAAACTTTGGCGGAGCCTAAGGTGGACCATCAGGGAGCTCCAAGTTGTTGGGGGAAATATGTTGGTTTCCAAGCACCTCAAACTTATTATCCAGCCGAATAGTGCCAGCAGGTGCAGCAGTCACAGATGGAGGAAAGCAGGTATGGCTCTTTCCGTGCAACAGTCCTACTGTGCTGTCGGTTTTTGCATTATGGCCTAATTGTTCACCACTAAATTAAAAAAGATATCTGCAGGACACAGGCAAAAACATCAGGAAAAAAGGCAATTGAGGAGAAAGTTCCCTGTGACCAGAAAATCTGAGGAGAGGAGTTAAAAAAGTTGTTTTACAGGTAGCCAACCCCTTTCCCCACAGTCCTCTATCCTTTCTAGATTTGTTTTTTTTCCTTTGGAAATGTGCATATCAAACTGCAGACAATACAGACAAACTTTTAAAGCACGTGGTTTATTCAGTGACTTGCATCTGAGTGCAAAGTTAGAACTTTCTTTGATTAGTTCACACAAGTGAAAAACAGCAGACAATTTAGAGGCATGTCAGTGAATATGGAGATATGAAAACATAAAGGTATCAAAAAAGAGGGAATCCTCTAAACTTAAGACAAATGAACACACATTTCATGAAAGACAACAGGCCAAAGGTCTGTTTAAGGCTGTGCAATTGTGGACCATGTGGTCAGTACGTTAAAACAGCAATGGTGAACCATGTGGCCAGTGCATTAAAACAGCTCATACCAAAATGTCATCATCTCCCGTAGTCCACCACTGTTCAGAACATAGTACAGGACCAGAACCACTCACCCAAAACAGCTTCCAGCAAATCTGAGCTCAGCATCACAGACAGATATGGTAAAGCTGATATGTTCTGAGTTTTTAGCGGTAAAGATTAGAGGTGAGATATGACTGGACTGTCCAATTCAATACCTCTATCAACACAACAGCCACTCTCCTCTTTTTTCTTTTTTTTGCACAGCTTCTCACTAAATATAGTAACATGTAGTCACCATAAAGGGGAAACACTCCTACATTCGGTTTAATGTCCATCTATGTACCTATCTATAAACTATATATGCATGCGTATACACACACACACACACACACACACACATATATACATATATACATAAATATACAAGTATACCTATATATACATATATATACATGTATACATATATACATGTATACACATGTATACATATATACATGTATACACATATACATATATACATATATATACATGTATACACATGTATACATATAAACATATATACATACAGTATATACATGTATACATATATACATGTATACATATATGTACATGTATACATATATACTTATATTTACATGTATACATATATACATGTATACATATATACATGTATACATATATACTTATATATACATGTATACATATATATACATGTATATATATATATATATATATATAAGCATACATACATATATATACATACATATATGTATACATATATACAGTATATGTATACATATATTCATACATATATACATACATATATATGTCAACATATATACTGTACATACCTATATATTTAAACATATACATATATACATACAAATGTATACATACATACATATATACATACAGATATATACATATATGTATACATATATATACATACATATATTTATACATATATAAAAATATATATTAATATATACATACATATATACATATATAAATATATATATACATACATACATAAATACATATATATATACATATATTTATATATACATACATATATATATTTACAGATATATATTGTAGGGGAATCTCTTCATACATTTAGGTTAAGAAATATAGAGTAATTATCTTTTAGTAAGAAGCCACAACTAATCTTTGTTGGTCTTGGTCGAGACTCTGTTTGTCGTTTGTGCTGATTTCTATATCCGTACAATAAAGACGCCCAGGCTGTACTCATCCTGTCTCCTGTACATTGTTTTACTAAGTTTATGCTGGACTTTCTTCAACAATATACATACATATATACATATATATATATACACATATATACATATATACATATATACATACATATACATACACATACATATATATACATACACACACACACACATATATATACATGCACATATATACATGCACGTATATATACATGCACACATATATACATACACACATATATATATATATATATATATATATATATATATACACATATATATGTATATCAGTGGGGGCTGCTGGTCTTTCAAGGAGGGGAAGCTCATTTTTCTGGCCTACATCATAATTGTATTTGTTTATTAGTATTTAACAGAACAGAGTCGCCAAACACAATGGCAGTCGTTTTTAACAAAGACAGAAGTCGCTGAGGATCGGTAAAGTCTCTGGAGCAGTTAAGAACAACGGAATGAATGACTTGGAAAATGCTCTGGTAGATGTTTTATTCTTCAAGATCGCTGATTCGCTTGTTTAGCTGTCAATCAAAAAAGGATTTCGCCTCAGACAGCTCATCCAATCATGAATGCAGAAGCTTGGAGTCCGGGAGAAAGTCGGGACCGCCCTCTCGCCATAGAACTCCAGTGAAGCTTAGCTTCCATTGGGCGGGACAAAGCCCAGCATTTATCCAATGAGCGTCTAGTTTCGCTGCTGGAACAACCCACTTTAAGCTTCCACATTGAAGTCAGCAGAAGCCCAGCGTCCGACTGTTTGAAGCGCTGAGGCGCTGCGAGGATGAATGAGAACGAAGTTATGCCGGTTACCTGTGATTATCAGCTTCTTATCACTGTGTCTGAACAAAAGTTGAAGGCTTTCTAGTGCGTATTTAGTTCATGAAATGTACACACAGCCGTACGTATTTCACCACTTTTTCTTTTTTTGGGGGGGTGACATTTTAAGGGAAGCCGAGCTTCCCTTGCAGTCTTAGAGCAATCGCCACTGATGTATATATATATATATATATATGTATATATATATATATGTAGTGAAATTTTTAGGTTAATGTTATTTTGTTTTGTCAGGACATGGATGCTTTGCTTTGCTTCCCATTCCAATAAAATACATCAATATAAGATGCAAATGTGTTTCTTTTTGAAACATGTACAAGCAAGTGTGAAAGCACATTAATTTTGGGAAATGAACAAGGAAAATAAAGCGGTGCAATAACTCATAAGTGTGTGCACAGACACATCAACTGGAGTCTGTTAACTAACTGGGTCCTTGGATCTCCCCTGAGCCCAGGTCCCCCTCTCTGCTCTGCTGGAGTGGACTGGGCTGTGTCAGGCTGTCCATGGCAGACAGGATGGAGGAGAAAAAGTGTTCCGTGTGGTCCTCCAAAGCACCAGATTGCCTCTCAATGAATGACAGGGCGTCTCTTAAAACTAGAACAGAAGAGAGAGGATGCAGAGATGTGGGAGCCAACGATAAGATGGATATAGAGGTTCTGGTTTCTACAATCACATGTTGCAGACTTACATGGAGATGTCAGGTTGATGCAGTTGAGGAGAAGCTGCCCAGTTTCGAGGACACAGGAGACTAGAGGCTGATGGCTGCTCATTTCTCTCTGAAAACTCTAACAATGACACCATTAAGATGAATGTAACTGTAAAACAATGTGTCTGAGGTAAAGAGAAACCTGAAACAAGGCTGCACAATGCTGAGCATTAAAATAAGTCTGACACACAGTAAGGAAGCGCTGTTCATCATACCCTCGTATCCTCTGGTTATCTGGTTTATCTAATCCTGACCATTACAATCTCTCTTGATAATCAGGGGCTTATAAAACTGATTATGAACCTGTTCTAGCAGCTCAGAGTTACTGGTCCTCATTTATCAAGCTGGCGTACAGCAGAAAACTTGCGTACACCTTGTGTACGAAAATTTTGACGTGAGGATCGGCATTTATCAATCTGCACGTGAGCATACGCTACGGCCAAATCTCACGACAGGTCTGACATCGTGTACGCAAGTTTGAGTCAGTGTTGATCTGCAGTGCAGCAAATGTCTGTCTCAAAATAATTGATAAACAAACTTTAAACCTGTCATTAAGCACAATCAGCCAGATTTCATTAAAGATTAAGACGTAAATAAAATAAATTACAATAAAATAAATTTGTTTTGTCCTTGGTGAATAGGCCTATTTGATACCTCTGCCCAGAAACACTGCCACAGTGCAGGAGCGCTGTTTTAACATTGCGCGCACACGCGCCACTGTGGAGCGCTGCGTTTGACTCCTAAAAGGCAGGTGTCTCTGTCTTGGCCCAGCAGCAGGGACGTTGTTGTACACTCCTGAAAGGGTGTGGGACATCATTTTGGCTGGTACAGTTTTGCACAATGTTGCACTGGTGAATGGAGTGCCGTTGGCTCTGCCGGTGCAACGTGAGGACCCGAAGCCCGGAGAACATTAACGAGGAGAGACTCCACAAAGGTGCTGAACAGAGGAGACAGGACCTTATCCATGGATTCTGATGTAAAATATAAGTTTAGAAAGTGCTCTTGCTATTTATATAGGAGCAATGTACCCTATGTCATACTAATAAACAAATATGAGGCATGTATGAGATATTATCATCATGAGCAACTTATTGACTAATGATTTATTCAAACTTCGGCCAGTGTCTATTCCGCTGTCTATTCCGCAGCAGCGCTGTTCAGCGCCACCAAAATCCTGCTCCAGACAGTTTCTCTCGACTGCTTTTATACCAGTTTTGATGCTTCCAAAGAGAAAATCCTTGTAAGTTTCCACCACAGATGTGAGGATATCCACTTTCAGCTCAGAAAAGTTTCGAATCTTTCTAATATTTCTCCTCGTTCACGTTTGACCTCAGTGGGCAAGGCTTCTGAACCACGATTATTTAAGGGCGTAAACATGTTAATGACGATCAATTTCAGCCGCCGCATTTATCAAGACCCGATCATACGTATGCTGGGATTGGTCAGATACGAACCCTTTCATAAATCTCACATGTGTCCTATCGTACGATGAATTCTGCGTTCAAATCTGCACTCAGATCTGCGCAAGCTTGATAAATAAGGGCCACTGTGATTGTATTGCAAGGCTGAGTAAGCAACATGTGCAAAATCCCAAAGCATCAAAAGGTCTGCTGAAAACTGGCTATTCTATTTTACAAACACAGATGAGAGGAACACAATGATATAGGAGAAATTTAACACATAATCCAGACTTAAACCAGTACATCTGCACATGCGAAATGAGGCCAGAATTGTCAGGTAAAAATTAAACATGCAGAGTGAATGCATGGCTAATTATTTCACCTTTTCATCATATTGTGCAAAAGCTTTGACATCAACAACTCCCAATGCTCGCTATCTCTCTCTTCTTCTCTTGTGATCAGCTCACAGAGGGCCACGATCAGGAGGATTAGTGTGCAGAGTTTTCTATAGATTGACCTTCTGTCCTGACCATAGCTTGCTACAGAGCAGGTCAAAATGGTCACCTGCCCCAGAACCTTTCATAGAATTGAAAACCCAGAGTAAAAGTAACTGCATGCCCTCCTGAGGCCTGTGCTCCAAAGCACATCTATGTTAGTTTAAGAATAAGAATAACTTTATTAATCCCCGAAAGGAAATTCAACTGTCTGTTGTCTCATTTGTCATGTCTCTAAAAGTCATCTTCTATATACAGAAGAGTTGTACAGTCTGATGGCTGTTGGTACAAAAGATCTACAGAATCTTTCTGTTCTGCAGCGAAGAGAGGGGAGCTATCCACCACCATTGGCCCTTTGGTCCATTAAGGTGTTGTGAAGTGGGTGATCCATGTTCTTGAGAATGGCCCCCACCTTCCACAGTGTAGATCTCTCCACCACATCCTCCACTGAGTCCAGCTTGAACTAGTCCAGATTTAATTAGTCTGAATTATGTGTTTAACCCTTCCGGGCTCTTTAGATTGACTTCCCTCTAAAGTCCCTCGTGGCCGAAAAAAGCCACTTTTTTTGTCGGCTGTAAAATCATATTGGATTAATATTTTTTTCTGATTTTTTTTCACACATCTTTTATTTTACTTCTGCCCTGTTCGAAACTAGCAAATGTTTCATTGAAAACAATTTTTTTTAACCCTTTAAGTGCCAATTTAAGACAAAAAGTCACTAATAGGGCAAAAAATTAAAGGAAAATGACCCATTTTTTTATAAAACATGATCAGAAACTGGTAATCTCTTGCAGGGTATCAGAGTCTTGAATAGGTCAGAGATTAGTAATATAATTGACTTAGATGCCTTTTAGGTTTTTCTGTAGCATCAGATTTAATGAAAAACTGCGTTTGGCGCCCCTCAGTGGCCAAAACTACTTTGTCTGCTGTAAAATCATATTGGATTAATATTTTTTTCTGATTTTTTTTTCATACATTTCTTATTTTACTTCTGCCCTGTTCAAAACTAGCAAATGTTTCATTGAAAATAAAAATTTTAACACTTTAAGGGCCAATTTAAGACATAGGGTCACTTAAAAAGAAAAAAAAAATGGAAGGAAAATTTTAAGGAAAATGACCCATTTTTTTTATAAAACATGATCAGAAACTGGTAATCTCTTGCAGGGTATTTAAGTCTTGAATATGTCAGAGATTAGTAATATAATTGACTTCAATGCATTTTAAGTTTTTCTTTAGCATCAGATTTAATAAAAAACTGCCTTTGGCGCCTCCCAGTGGCCAAAACTACTTTTTCTGCTGTAAAATCATATTGGATTAATATTTTTTTCAGATTTTTTTTCATACATTTCTTATTTTACTTCTGCCCTGTTCAAAACTAGCAAATGTTCCATTGAAAATAAAAATTTTAACCCTTTAAGGGCCAATTTAAGACATAAAGTCACTTAAAAAGCAAAAAAATGGAAGGAAAATGAAGGAAAACGACCCATTTTTTTAATAAAACATGATCAGAAACTGGTAATCTCTAGCAGGGTATCAGAGTCTTGAATATGTCAGAGATTAGTAATATCATTGACTTAGATGCCTTTTAGGTTTTTCTGTAGCATCAGATTTAATGAAAAACTGCGTTTGGCGCCCCTCAGTGGCCAAAACTACTTTGTCTGCTGTAAAATCATATTGGATTAATATTTTTTTCAGATTTTTTTTCATACATTTCTTATTTTACTTCTACCCTGTTCAAAACTAGCAAATGTTTCTTTGAAAAAAATTTTTTCACCCTTTAAGGGCCAATTTAAGACAAAAAGTCTCTTATGAAGCAAATAAATGGAAGGAAAACGGAAGGAAAATGGCCTTATTTGCTTCATAAGAGACTTTTTGTCTTAAATTGGCCCTTAAAGGGTGAAAATTTTTATTTTCAAAGAAACATTTGCTAGTTTTGAACAGGGCAGAAGTAAAATAAGAAATGTATGAAAAATAATCTGAAAAAAATATTAATCCAATATGATTTTACAGCAGACAAAGTAGTTTTGGCCACTGAGGGGCGCCAAACGCAGTTTTTCATTAAATCTGATGCTACAGAAAAACCTAAAAGGCATCTAAGTCAATTATATTACTAATCTCTGACATATTCAAGACTTAAATACCCTGCAAGAGATTACCAGTTTCTGATTATGTTTTATTGAAAAAATTGGTCATTTTCCTTCATTTTCCTTCCATTTTTTTTGCTTTTTAAGTGACTTTATGGCTAAAATTGGCCCTTAAAGGGTTAAAATTTTATTTTCAATGAAACATTTGCTAGTTTTGAACAGGGCAGAAGTAAAATAAGAGATGTATGAAAAAAAATCTGAAAAAAATATTAATCCAATATGATTTTACAGCAGAAAAAGTAGTTTTGGCCACTGGGAGGCGCCAAAGGCAGTTTTTTATTAAATCTGATGCTACAGAAAAACTTAAAATGCATTGAAGTCAATTATATTACTTATCTTTGACATATTCAAGACTTAAATACCCTGCAAGAGATTACCAGTTTCTGATCATGTTTTATAAAAAAATTTGGTCATTTTCCTTAAATTTTTCCTTCCATTTTTTTTTGCTTTTTAAGTGACTTTATGTCTTAAATTGGCCCGTAAAGGGTTAAAATTTTATTTTCAATGAAACATTTGCTAGTTTTGAACAGGGCAGAAGTAAAATAAGAGATGTATGAAAAAAAATCAGAAAAAAATATTAATCCAATATGATTTTACAGCAGACAAAGTAGTTTTGGCCACTGGGAGGCGCCAAACGCAGTTTTTCATTAAATCTGATGCTACAGAAAAACTTAAAATGCATCAAAGCCAATGATATTACTAATCTCTGACATATTCATGACTTTGATACCCTGCAAGAGATAACCAGTTTCTGATCATGTTTTATAAAAAAATGGGTCATTTTCCTTAAATTTTTGCTATATTTGTGACTTTTTGTCTTAAATTGGCACTTAAAGGGTTAAAAAAAATTGTTTTCAATGAAACATTTGCTAGTTTCGAACAGGGCAGAAGTAAAATAAGAGATGTGTGAAAAAAAATCAGAAAAAAATATTAATCCAATATGATTTTACAGCCGACAAAAAAAGTGGCTTTTTTCGGCCACGAGGGACTCTGGAGGGTGAAAATTTGTCCTGGCTTTATTATTGACCTGGTGAAAATGTTGAATTCATGTTTTCGAGTAGAATTTCAAATTAAGCTTAGAAAAAAAAATTCATCACATTTGCTGCAGTAAAAAAAAAAATATATCCAAATAAGTCTCTTGTTTTTTCGTCAAATGGCCGAATTCGGCCACAGGGACCCGGAAGGGTTAAATTTGTCACTTATTAAGTGGAAATGCTGACACAGCATTTCGATATTCCTGGCGGCCACTTTTCTTTAGTATTAGTATTGTCATTCTGCCAATTTTTGGCCCCTTTCCAATTTGTGCTATTTCTACCATTCAACCTTTATACTACTCCACTCCTTCAGGACTAGTGCTGTTGTATTTTTTACCTTTTTCTTTTTGCAATATTTTACTTTTTGTGGTAAAATTCTTACTATAGAAATGAATGGGGAAGTTTGGCTATTCCACCTAAAGCACTACCACCTTCTCACCCTTATGACTTCTGCATACTTTCATCTACGTACACTACCGTTCAAAAGTTAGAGAAGATCCCAATTTTTCCAGTTTTTTATTGAAATTCAATCAGTTCAAGTCCAATGAACAACTTAAAAGGGTACAAAGGTAAGTGGTGAACTGCCAGAGGTAAATAAATAAGATGAGGTTAACCAAAACTGAAAAATAATGTACATTTCAGAATTATACAAAAAGGCCTTTATCAGAGAACATGAAATGGGTTAATAATATAATAATAATAAACTTTATTTGTATAGCACCTTTCTAGAACAGTCATCAAATTAAAAAGGGTGAGACAACAAGACATAAAAATCAACAAAAAGTACACCAGTAGCCAAAGTCCTGTTTATACAAAGGCAAGCGCAAACAAATGGGCTCTCAACCACTTTTAGGCTGTATTGGCTAAATGAGATTGTGTTGGTTCGTTCCACTTTAGTGGTGCAACATAATCTGTGATTCATAAAATAGCTCTATTGATAGTAAGTACTAAAAAAAAATATCTACTCATGTCATCCAGATGATTTTTAGTAATCAGTGTTTCGTGTCCAACTATTTCTTGTCTGCGGCGTAGTGATACTTGCACACGTGCAATCGAATATGCAAAGGGGTAAAGCAATTTTTGTCACGTGGACCAATAGGAGCCAAGTCTCGTTGCCATAGTATCATAACAACACAAACATGGCGACGAGTGCATCTAGCAGCGAGACAAACGAAGAGGAAGAAAAGGAAAAAAAGAAAACAACCTTCAAAAGTAGGCCTGGACGATATAGAAAGAAAGCATATCGATAAAAAATAAATCATATTGATCGATATCGATAATTATCGATATAATTGTTATAATTATTTAACATATATTTTAATTGCAGCCCTGGATGTTTTATGCTATTGCTTAATGACCTACTTTTAATAAAGAACACACAAGCACTGAATTCAAATTCAAACCTTTATTCAACCACTTTTTTTTTTACCACAACTGAAAGTTTTTTAAAAAAGAACTAAAAAATAAAAGAAATCAACTTAAGTGGCCTGAGTGACGTCAGTTAATACTGACAAACAAAGACTAAAGTGACCAGAAAATCTGATAAATAAATATTTAAATAGTCTTTTGATGAAAATAAACAAAACAAACAAATATATAAATAAACAGAATAGCTTTAGGTGGGAATAGCATACTGCCAGTTTTAACTGTGTGGGAAACTGCCCACAGCCTGGTGTCTGAACACTGAAATATTTCTCCCGGGGTCGGGAGATTTATTTTTTTTAATTATCATGTGATTGACTTAATACACAAACTGAGCACGAGAAGCAGGACTTATCCACGCCGGTGTTGTGTCGCAGAATGCACCCCTGCCGAATGCACCCCCTGCTAGTAGCCATGATCCAAATACTCGCGTCTTTGTAAAATATGAGCTCATTTTCTTCCACTTTAAGAAGCTACACCGGAACGTATTTCCTCCGCACCCTTCTCACCTTTTCAACCCCTGACCCATTTTCATGCCTGAAGCGCTGTGTTTGAGAAATACTTGCGGCCGGGCACTTCATATCGCGTGTCGAGAGTGGCTAGAAGCTGTTTGAAGCCAGGCTTTTCAACGGTAGTTATTGGCAGTATGTCCCTCGCTATGGAGCATGTTACTGCATGGGTGGTGTCCTTATGCCGCTCGGACGCTTTGTCGTATTTTGGCAAGAAACGAAGTCCAGTTTGGTCTGCTTCACATGCTTTGTGCTGGTGCTGGCAGCGGTTCCAGAGGATTCCGACGACGACGACATGGAGCCGCGGCGCGGCCGACACAGCTCGTACTCCTGCAGGTGCGATCGGTTTAGATGGTAAAACAAGTCGGTTGTGTTACCAGACTTGGTTTTTACTCATTCTCTGCAAATTTTGCAAACGACCGCTGTTCGCTTTTTGTCAGACTTCTTAAAACCAAAACATTGCCATGCTGGTGAACTACTGAAACCTTTTTTCGGGACAATGTCCTCCGCTTCTCCTTGCTGTATCATTTTTTCTAATACACGTGCTGTCTGTTGTGGTTTGAGAGGGGCTGGGCTTGGTGCCGTGGCGTACCTGGGTCTGCGTTTGTGATTGGTTGGGAGGAAGTAATGACTGTAGTAAAAGCTACATGATAGGCTATGATGAAAAAGAAAGAGAAACTGTGTTTTTCTATCGAACTTTTTATCGACCCGTTTTTTTTCTATTGCACCACACGTCTATCGATCGATATATATTGTTATCGAATTATCGTCCAGCACTATTCAAAAGTGCATAAAAAAGGAACGAAACGATGCTGTATGCATCTATTATCTGTCCAGGCGATGACGTTCTTGACTTTACAAGGACACATTGGGAAACTTACAGAACTTGTATTAGAAAGTGTCTTTCTCTACAGGGTGAGACAAAGAACCTTGCAGAAACTTATAAACATTGCGTTGATATCGACTTTGACAATGTTCCTAATGACGCTGGGTTTCACATGACATGCTACCAGTGATTTATTTGCAAAAGGCGTTTGAGTTTGGCCGAAAAGAAACTAAAATGTGATGCAGCCGTGGGCCAGTCAAACCCTTCAGCCAGCATCGCCAATGCATCCACGTCTACAGCATCTGAAACTCCGCAAAAATAACTTTCCTCGAGGTCATAGGCTGTATTGAGACAAAGGAAAAAGTGCCTAGAAAGTGAATTTCGTTCCACTACGCTTGTGCTACTTGTTCAATGCATTTTTGCATAGACAAACCATTCTGGACTTTGGGTTAAAATATCTGCTCACAAAAAAAAGTAATACTATCTTTGTAAATATATATACGTATACATATATATATATATATACACATACACATATATATTTATGTCCATGCAAAGCTCTGAACACAAGAACAAGTAATTCAAATTGAATGGGGAGCCAGTGTAAAGACCTGAGGATGGGTGTGAAGTGGGACCATTTGGGTGATCTTGTCAGGAGACAACAGTTCTGCAGATATACAGGTTGATGAAACCTTGAAAGTTAGTTCTACCAATTCCTACAGGTGTCTCAACTTTCTTGATCACTTACAACCCCCGCTGTCTGCATAAACGTAGTGTTGGAACACACTGTGGTACCATAACATTGCAAGCATTGTTTGAGCAGTAGTGCACTGGATCCTGCCTGTGTTTCGTGGATCACAGATTACCTGACAGGAAGGCCACAGTTTGTCAGGCTGGGAAACTATGTTTCTGGGACATTAATGAGCAGTACAGGGGCTCCACAAGGGACAGTGGAGCCATTCCTGTTTACACTGTATACGTCAGACTTCAAATACTGCACTAAGTCCTGCCACATCCAGAAATACTCAGATGACACCGCTATTGTGGCATGTATCAGAAATGGATAAAAAGCTGAATACAGAGATCTTCGGTGACTGGAGTCACAAAAAACTTCCTCCTCCTCAACACCTCAAAGACAAAGGAGATGGTCATAGACTTCCGTAGATCCAAACCCCCTCTTCAGCCAGTGAACAGTGGACATCAAAGTGGTGACATTACCTAGGTGTACATCTGGATAATAAATTGGACTGGTCTAAGAATATAGACTTCCTCTACAGAAAGGGGCAGAGAAGACTCTGATCAATAGACATCTGTAGTAAGATGCTGCAGATGTTTTATCAGTCTGTGGTGGCAAGTGTTCTGTTCTATGCTGCAGTCTGCTGGAGAGGAAGCATCAAACACAAAGATGCAAGACGTCTTAACAAACTGGTGAAAAAGGCTGGCTCTGTGGTTGGACTCAAGCTGGACTCAGTGGAGGATGTGGTGGAGAGATCTACACTGAGGAAGGTGGAGTCTATTCTAAAGAACATGGATCACCTACTCCACAACACCTTGATGGACCAAAGGGCCAATGGTGTTGGACGGCTCCTCTCTCTTAGCTGCAGGACAGAAAGATTCAGAAGATCTTTTGTACCAACAGCCATTTGACTTTATAACTCTTGTGTAAATAATAGATAACTGTTCGAGACGTATTTTGTGAGACAACAGACAACTGAATTTCCCTATGGGGAAGTTATTCTTATTTTTACTGCAGAAAGTATTGTGTCACTACAAAAATGGCGAGGAAAAGGCAATTCATGATAGAAGAGAGACAGACCATCATAACACTTCAAAATGTAGGTCTTGCCTATAGAGAAACTGCCAAGAAAGTCAAGGTGTCAGTGAGTACAGTTTCCTTGACAATCAAAAGGCACTCAGAAACTGGGGGAAATGCTGACAGGCATTGCTGGATCCAGGGTCGGATCCAGCAATGGAATGCCACCACAGCATTCCGCAGCGCCATGCAGTACCCTCTGGGATGCGCCTAGTTGGTCAGGGGTTGATCGTACAGCAAGATATTGGCCCAAAACATAAGTCCAAGCTATGCCAGAACTATCTTAAGAAAAAAAAAACATGATGGTAAGCTTGAAAACATGGAGTGGCCAGCCCAGTCTCCAGACTTCAACCCAGTCGAGCTGGTTTGGGATGAACTGGACAGAATAGTGAAAGCAAAGAAAACTACAAGTGCTACACATTTATGGAAACTTCTGCAAAAGTTGGGAAGACTTTTCTCAAGACTATTTGATTTTCATTGTAGAAAGAATGCCACAAGTGTGTTTAGCTGTTATATTTGCCAAAGGTGGCTACTTTGATGTGACAAAAGTTTAGAATACATTTTCGTTTCTAAATTGATTCTATGATTTCTTTTTTACCTTAACTGTTTATTAGCTCTATGCATTAATTTCAGAGTACACTGAGACATTAAACTGCATCATTTCAGTAGAATTCTGGAAAAGTTGGGGTGTTCTAAAACGTTTAAAGTATTTCATTTTTGGTGATTTTTTGGTCATTATTGATAGGACAGGGTGAAAATATGGGGAGATTGAGAGAGGAGCAAGGACATGTAGCACATGGTCAAGGCTAGACTTGAACCCATGACTGCTGCGGGGACCGTGGTCACCATAAGTGGGAGGCGCTAACCCACTAGGTCATCTGTGCACCCTGGGTGTTTTTAAACTTTTGACTAGTAGTGTACTTCATTTTTGCCTTAAAATGTTTCTACTCTTGTCTGCTACAAATGTTGTGGTCACTACTTTGTACTATCTCCTACTGTTTTTGCACAGTTTAGCTTTGTGCAACACAAACTTTTCTGCCCTTTACAGCCTTTAAAATGAGTGTTTATTGGAAACACTGGAGCGGGTTACATCTCACTCAAGTGGGGAGAGCATTTTGGATTGACTAAACCAAGCGTGAATATTTTGTTCCCACACCTACAATTTTTACTCCACAGACATAGAAAATACATCAAACTATAGGGAGACTTCCTGACAATCACTACAGCAGTGTTTTTAACATGCTGCTGTGGACACATTTTGTACACTACAGACATAAAAATGCATCGTCTTCAATGGGATTCCTACCATGGTCTTATTTTTGTGATAAAAGTTAAGACGGTTTCTGCCACATTCGCGTTGGAGGCTCTTCTCATGGGCTGTGTGCTTTGATTCACAGGACACAGGCTCGGCCGTGCAGGGACACACACACTGTTACCATGTGTGTGCATTACTGTCTTCCTGTGTTGTTGTGTTACTATGTTGTTTTAGTCCAGGTCTTTAACTGTTTTAACATACACGTTACTTCTTATTTCTCTACATCTGCTGTTCTTTAGTTTCTTCATTCATACACCTACTTTAACTTCAGCTCTCTAATACTTGCTATATCCATATGTAGGGCAGTAACTAAAGCACGCCACTAGATGGTGCTGTTATGCCGTCACAAGTTACCATGGTTAGATGCTGCAGACTGCAGACATTATTTAAGTATTCGTACATTTAATGGGCACATACATTAATGTTAAGGCATTTGTTTTTCCAAATCACTTGCACCGATAATAATTTCTGTTTATTCACACACGTCATATAACTTTTTTTTTACTTTAGCTATTCTACAACTTTTACATTCATGCAACTTCTTTACCTTCAGCTATAGTACAATTTTTCCACTTATACAATTTCTTCTTCTCCACCTTTTCAACAGTTTTTACATTCATACTTTTCTCCTTTTAGCAGTTCAACATGGCTTTTTCAGCTGTCAGCATTTCCATGCATTTTCTGTAAGGAAATGCAATTTTTCTAGTTATCATTGTTTACTCTGTGTCTGACAAATATTATGATTCGCTGAAAAAAGCAAACTTGTTCATGTGCACTTTCTCACAGGAGCTCTGGGTTGACTTATGAGGTTGATGATCTTCTTTGTCAGAGTCAGTGATGGGAAAACACCCTCAGTATGTTGAACTCACTCCTCTGAAAAGACTTCAGACCAGTTCAAGCAGTGCATCAACTTTATGTTGGGATGGACCAAATTTGTGACTTTATTTATTATAATTTGTCTTATTACTTAAGTTTCAGAAGTAGACCTCTTATTTCAGTAGGATCAACGTCACTCAAGTGAATGTCAGGAGAAGATGAAAAAATGCCAGTGCTGTCTCATCAGTCTGTTTGATTTTATATCTGTCTCCCCTAAAACTAATGCAGTTTTATGACATGTGATGTATAATGAAGAAAAAAGTGCAGTAGAATTACCAAAGAAGGTCTTGAGTGAGAGATTGGGCCCTCACCTGATATACAGCCAAAGATGACTTCACACTGTCTGTATTCACAGAGGGCACAGCCAGCAGCTCCATCCTCTCTGACACCACGTACAGCCGCTGGATGAGCTGCTCCAGGTGAGAGCAGAAGACCTGGAACATTGAATGCAATTATGTCTTCTATAGCAGATGGAAATCAAAGTGCCTTCACACATGAACCCCTGACATTAACATAAGGATGGTCAGGTGTTCATAAGAAACATCTAACACAAGAAACTTTCTCAGCCCAAACATTCAACTCAGTACACTCTTTGTGTGTGTGTGTGTGTGTGTGTGTGTGTGTGTGTGTGTGTGTGTGTGTGTGGGCGGGGGAGTGGGAGGGTGGGGGGTAAAAGCCATGGCAACTAATAGATGAGTTCACTTTTAGTTATTCCAAGTGTTACTTTAAGCAGTGGAAGCTGCTGTCCCCTCATAATTACAATGTCCCTGGTTCACATCCAAACTCAGTCTTTAATGGAAAGGATTTACTCTGACAATGCAATTTAACAGTACAAGTTAATTTGATGAGGTAGTTACAATTTTTAACAAAACCAAATAACTTTAGACTTGTTCTTTTCACTTAAGTCAACTTTAGTCCAAACACAAGCTTATTCCATATTTAAAAAAAACAGTGTTTTGTCCGTAAACAATGGTCGTGTGTGTTTTTGAGTTAAAATCATTATAGCAAGTGATTTTTTTTCTCAGATCAAGAGGACACCAAGGGAAACACTGAAGACTTCTGTTCATTCTCATCATTGCTCTGTACACTCACTAGCTGCCAGTTTTCCTGACCTTTAACTGCTGTATTCACACCCTGACTCAGTCACTTTTTGTGCATGTTTCATGCCAGCAGAAACAATTGTGACTGGGTCAAGGTCCTTACACACCAGGCGCGAATTCGCCAGGCGAATTATTCGCCTTTTTTTAAAACAGCATAAAGTCAATGCAACCTTCCACACCGGTGGCGATTTTTCCGCGGGGCAAAAAGGGACTTTTAATTTTTCGCTCTTGTGTCGAATTTTTCGGATATGCAGGTGAATATCTGGACCTGCTAGACCTCTGGCCAATCAAAAGTCATGTTTTGATGACGTCACAGACCCATGCGGCTGCAGTTCACACGACACACACCACCACTGGCACCAAGAGCAACGATGGGAGAGAGGCTGGTAATTGCGGTACAGGACCACTGGATGGTAGTGTGGAACTCGCCCATCTCCTTCCTCAAAGCCAATATGGGATGTACCCAAACACTCATTTGTTTATTCTTCTGTCTTCTTTTTTTTGCCAAAAGCATCACAACGAGCTCATCATCGCTTGAGGATGTTGTTGACTCAATTTCTTTGTTCTCCTCTCCTCCTTAGCGCGAAAGAACTCTCGCCAAAGACAATATATATTTATTAATTCGCTTTGCAAAATTTATACGCATATTCGCTTCGCGCCCGGTGTGTATAGGTGAAAGCGATTTTTTCGGACCGGCGAATATTCGCATTTTCGTCTCGCTTTTTCGCTTCGCTCCACAAATTCGCTGGTGTGTAAGGACCTTCAGGGTGAAAGACTATGCTGTTCGCTTTGATACATACAAAGTCAGGAGCTGCAGGATTTTTGATCATGTGTGAAGAGGGCTGTAACAGCTGTTACAGAAACCTTTTTGACTGCAGTGGAAACAAAATGTGCCACGATCTATGTTTCGAATTGTATTGGAAACAATGTAAAATGAGAGTGGTCGGGTCAAACTGTCTTTACCTTGATGTGGTGGATCAGAGAGTCTCTTTGCCTCTGGTCCTCTTGGCTGCCAGACAGGGTGAGGCCAGAAAGCTGCTGTACCAAACCCTCCACCTCCCTAAGACTGTGCTGACTCAGTCCCCCTCCAACAGGCTCCGCTAAGGCTCCAGTGCTTGTCCTTACTGCTTCAGAAACAGTGTAATCAAGTGCTGCTGGACAAGACAAGAAATAAACGTTTAAGGTTCCATCTAATTTGCTACATTTGCTAAAAACAGAGTACCTCTCCACACACAGCCAGTCAGAGAAACAAAGTGAACTTTATACCAAGTTGTCAGATAAGAAAAAGGAGAACATGAACACTCATCCCTGAGAGCATTTTTGGCTGCGGTGTGTATGCAGAAAAGGTCTGCCAGTCCACTCTTCCTCAGTGACAAAGTTTTTCTAGGTGTTCTGTCCTCAATATATGTGTGGAATATATATCTTGACAGACAGCTTAACTCTTTCCCAACTTCAAAACTCTTAAGACCTTTTCCGCTTGTCCACAGGTTTATTGAGGTCTAAAAGTGTGAAACTTAAACATACAGAAAGCACAAATCAGTTGTATGAATCCTTTAACATATAAACAAGCACAGTATAATATACAAAATTGTAAGAATTACATCTGTTTTTTATTTTTTTTCTTACATGAACAAAAGTATTTTTTTTAATCTTTATCGCTGTGTACTCCTGAAAACTAAAGAATGGTAAGCAACTGAACAGAAGGCATTGCAAACAAATGTCAAATCAAACTCATTAAATGAAACATTTCTCCTGCAAGTACACATCTGAGGATAAAGAATATAATTAAACTAATGATACATAGCCAAAATGCTATCAAAGGTTAAAGTCCCGATCTGATCTTTTTTTTTTCAGTATTAAAAGAGTTCTCAGGGGTCTTTAAATTGAGATGAAGTTTTTGGCCCAAATCACAAAACCTGAGTCACGTTCAAGGGCTTTTCTTCTGCAGAGCTCCAGTAGCTCATAAGCAATTCATCTCTGAGTCCTTCTGCAGAAACAGCGCTGCTCTGCATCCTCCTGCTCACTCGAAGTTGTAGCCTAACATTGCTGGTGCAGCAGAACAGGCAGGTTATATAGAAGTTATTCAGCTCTTGGACAACAATGTCTTTAGTGGAAATGATTAAAGCTAATATCATGATTAGCTTTCTTACGAGCATTGCAATCTGCTACTGCACACACTTGTTTAGCAATCATCCTCTCCACCTCTCTGGCCTCTGGTCTGGCCTGTAGAGCAGGATGCTGGGGGCTCAGCTTGGATTTGTGATATAGAAAATTCCACTGTTTCTGTTGTCACAGGAACAAGGGGTCTACAGTTGATAATGGCTGTTACTTCTCACATGAATGTCACAAGCAATTCATAAGTGAGTTTGTCTTTGAGCTGTAGGAACAGAGAATTCAGAATTCTCCTTGCAAGGGTAAGTATCCTTTCCCATATTCCACCAAAATGGGATGCGTGTGGTGGATTAGAAGTCCACAAACAACCTTGGTAAGACAGGCAAGTCTTAACTTTTGTGTTGTCAATGTTTGAAGGAATGTTCAAGTCTTTGCAGGCACCGATGAAGTTCGTCACTCGGTTTGTGCGGATGTGCTTCACTGGACCGCACACAGCAAGAAAACATCTTGTGTGAATTGATAAATCTTGAGGTGTTGAAAGATTCAATGACTTAAATGTGAACTGCTCTCACACTTATACATGTAAAGATCACAGCCCACTATTTGTTGTGTGAAAGACCTCCTCTTGCACGCTGTGAAGAGACAACCCATGGGCTAAACATGTCCAAACCCACATTTGTGAAAGAAGGGTCTGTTGAGAGATGGTTGGCTGGTAAGACTGGCCATCTTTTGGATGCTAGTTGGTGCTCTTAGCTGTCTACAGGTGACACATTGGTAGATGTTACTGCTCACTTTTCTTTTCCCACCAACTATCCAAGAGCCAGCTGAGCAAACAGCTCCTTCTGTCAACAAACATCCTTGATGTTGAGTCTGCTCGTGATAGTGTCTGAGGAGCAGTGTAGCTTGCCTGGTACTATCAAAGGACTCTTTTCACTTGAATCAAGGCTTAAATGGTGAGTACGTCCTCTGGGTTTGAACTTGGATTGACCAGATCATAGCTGTTTTCAGATTGTCTTGTCTCCAGTTAGGTCAGGTATTTGCTGTTGCTGACATGAACATAAAAGCCCCCGGTCTCATTATGAACATACCCCTACCTTGCTGTTGGAGTAGTAGGTCACTGCATCTAGCTTTAGGTGTAATCCTTTTGAGATCAGGTTTGCTAACTCTATAGCAAGCACAGTTTTAATCTAGGAATTATGTGCTCTGGACATGGTACCAGTTTTGCTTTTCCCATTACGAATCCCACAATATTGTTCCCAGCAGCATCCATCACTTTCAGATATGCTACTGCTGCAATGGCTTTGGTTGAAGCACCAGAAAAAACACGTAATCCTCTTCTGACAGCATCTGAAGATGATGTTTCGGTGCAAGGCCTGGGGTTAGTACGACTGGACAGTTCTGTTTAAGAAGTTTCCCTGACATCAAGTTTTCTTCCATCTCACGCGGTAGTGGTGCATCCCAATCCTCAGTTCTCTTCGGATAACTTTGCCTTGGATTAAAACAAGAGTACCAATCCTAGAGGATTATAGAATAAGAATAAGAAGAACTTTATTCATCCCCAAAGGGAAATTCAATTGTCTGTTGTCTCATTTGTCATGTCTTAACTAAAAGTCATCTACTATTTACAGAAGAGTTGTACAGTCTGATGGCTGTGGGTACAAAAGGCCTTCTGAATCTTTCTGTCCTGCAGCAGAGAGAGAGGAGCCATCCAACACCATTGGCCCTTTGCTCCATCAAGGTGTTGAGAAGTGGATGATCCATGTTCTTGAAAATAGTCTCCACCTTCCACAGTGTAGAGTGCTCCACCACATCCTCCACTGAGTCCAGCTTGAATCCAACCACAGACCCAGCCTTTTTCACCAGTTTGTTCAGATGTCTTGTGTCTTTGTGTTTGATGCTTCCTCCCCTGCAGACTTCAGCGTAGAACAAAACACTTGCTACCATAGACTGATAAAACATCTGCAGCATCTTGCTACAGATGTCTATTGATCGGAGTCATCTCAGGCAAAAGATGCAACTCTGCCCCTTTTTGTAGATGCAGTCTACATTCTTGGACCAGTGCAATTTATTATCCAGATGTACACCTAGGTATTTATATGATGTCACCACTTCGATGTCCACTCCACAAGTGTTCACTTTGGCTGAAGAGGGTGTTTGGATCTGCAGAAGTCTATGACCATCTCCTTTATCTTTAAGGTGTTAAGGAGGAGGCAGTTCCAGTCGCTGAAGGCTCTTATCAGATCTCTGTATTCAGCGTCTTGTCCATTTCTGATACATGCCACAATAGCGGTGTCATCTGAGTATTTCTGGATGTGGCAGGACTCAGTGCTGAATTTGAAGTCTGACGTATACAGTGTGAACAGGAATGACGCCAGCACTGTCCCTTGTGGAGCCCCTGTACTGCTCATTAATATCCCAGAAACAAAGTTCCCCAGCCTGAAAAACTGAGGCCTTCCTGTCAGGTAATCTGCGATCCAGGAAACACAGGAAGGATCCACTCCCATCTCTGTGAGCTTGTCTTTGAGTATGGCGGGTTTGATGGTGTTGAATGCACTTGAAAAGTTGAAGAACATGATCCTCACATGAACCCCAGGTTCCTCCAGATGAGACAGGGCAAGGTGCAGCATGTAGAGGACAGCATCATCCACTTCAATGTGTTCTTTGTATGCAAACTGCAGGGAATCCAGTTTGTCTTTGATCTCAAACCTCAGAAGGCGTAGAATCAGCAGCTCCAGGGTTTTCATGATATGTGAAGTGAGGGCCACTGGTCTGAAGTCATTGAATTCAGCAGGACATTTTGTTTTTGGTACTGGAACAATGCAGTATGGTTTCCACAGAACGGGTACTTACCCCAGCTGTAGACTCAGGTTGAGGATCCTGTGGAGAAGTTGACACAATTTTGCAGCACAGTCTCTAAGCAGCCTTGGACACACACCATCTGGACCAGCTGTTGTCCTCACCCCTGTTTCTGTGACAGACAAAGACAGGTGTTCAAGGTGGGAGGTAGTTGAAGTGGTTGAGACATTTGAACAAGATGGAGGAGGAACGAGAGAAGTTGTAGTGGAGATTTGTTGCAGAGAGGAAGGTGGAGCAGCAGTGGAAGTGAGGAACAGATTGAGTTCATCAGCTCTTTCCAGATCATCCGCCACTGACTGTCTTTACTTTTTATTGCTGTGTCCAGAGATGGTAATGATTCCTCTCCATACTTCATGGATGTTGCTGTGTTGTAAATTCCTCTCTATCTTCTTTTTGTATTACAGCTTTGTCATCTTCAGTCTACTTTTCAACTCTTGTTGCACTTGTTTGAGTCGTTCTTTGTCACCATCTTTAAAAGCTTTCTTTTTCTGTTAAAGGATTGCTTTTATGTCACTATTGATCCAAGGTTTGTTGTTGGGGAAACAGCGAACACTCTTTGCCGGTATAACTGTGTCTCTACAGAAGTTGATGTATTCTGTAAAGCAGTCAACCTGTCTGTCAATGTTCATACCATCCACATCTGTTTCCAGTAGCACATTCCAGTCTGTTGATTTAAAACAGTCCCATAGAGCTTCACTGGCTTGAGGCGTCCATCTTCTGATTTTGACTTTGGTCACAGGCTGCCTTAGTCCACAAGGTCTGTAACAGGTTTGCAGATAGACCAAGTTATGATCTGCCTTACCAGTGGTGGTAAGGCAGTGGCTCTGTAGGCTTCTTTGACGTTTGCATACAGCAGATCCAGGGTTTTGTTTTCTGTGGTAGGACAGTTCACAAATTGTGTGAATCCAGTCAGGTGAGAGGGGAGGATGACATGGTTGAAGTCTCCTGATGTTATTATTATTATTAGTGCCTCCAGGTGTTCAGTCTGTAGCCTGGCAACACTATTATGGAAAAGATCGCATGGAATTTCTTCAGTCGATTTGGGTGGGATGTAAACAACTACTGTTATGATATGACTGAATTCTCTTGGAGCGTAATATGGCCGAAGAGCAACTGCCAACATTTAAATATCCGGACAACACAACTTCTCCTTGACAGTTACGTGTAAAGGGTTAAACCATCTCTGGTTGACAAATAAAGACCTCTTCCTTTCTTCTTGCCACTAGCTCGAGCATCTCTGTCTGACCTTATGAGAGTGAAGCCAGGTAGATCCACACTGGAGTCCGAGTTGTTTTGATTCAACCAGGTTTCAATAAAACACAGGAGACTGCAGTTATGGTATGCTTTCTCAGTCTCCACCAATATCTCCATCTCATCGCTTTTGTTGGGCAGAGAGTTTACGTTTCCTATGATGATTGATGGAAGAAAGGGTTTATATCGCAATCTCCTGGCATTCAGCTTTGCCTTCACCTTTGCACCAGCATGGCAACCACGATAACACCTCCTGATGTCCTCTGGAATTTTATGTTGTTTTCATAGATTTGCTTTTTCTCAATGACAGGAGCTCTTCTCTTGAGTAAACTCTTCCCAAGCAGAAGTATCCATCAACAGCCAACATAAAGACAACCAAAATATGAAAAAAATCTACCAAAAACTACAAAAATTACAGATAATACTGAGAGACCAGACTTGCAGCAACCTCTCGGTTCAAGCCCATCATTTGAATGATATAGAGCAGGGGTCACCAACCTTTTTGAAACGAAGAGCTACTTCATGGGTGCTGAGTCACACGAAGGGCTACCAGTTTGATACACTCTTCTGAAATAATACATTTCCTCAATATGCTTTTAGTCATACTTTATTAATAATCATTAATGGTACTTATCTATGTGAAGACACTGATCACGTTAATGAATTTTAGCACAACAATGACAGCAAAATGGGAAACATATCAATATCCACCACTTTATCTCTATTTATCTCAGCAACTGTTAAATTTTCAGATGATCACTTAAAGTACATCACTACATTTACATAGGAATTTTCACTTTCACTCATTTTCACTAGCCACCGACAAACCCTTTTAACATATCATGAACTATGCTGCACCATGTTTCAAAAAGTTATCAATTATCTAATGTTAAAGAAAAATCAACTTACATATTTAAAATAAATCTTGTCACATTTTGAACTCATGGCCAAATCTTCAACATTTTTAACAATATAATTATTGAACACATGAACACAGTTTTAAATTTAACACAGTTCTTCACCATTTTAATTCAACTTTGTAGTTAGTGGGAAGACTGACATTGCATGCTGTTCACCAGTGCATTGTAATCTGGTGTGTAACTTGACACTGCAACTGTGAGTGCATCTTTCAGATGTGCATCAGTGAGGCGTGTTCTGTGTTTGTTCTTAATGAAGTTCATATCAGAGAACGCTGATTCACAGAGATAGGTTGAACCAAACAGACTGGCCACCTTCATAGCTGCTGTGCAAACACCACTGTACTTCTGTGTGTCAACAAGGCACCAAAAGTTTGGTGCAGCCTGATAGGCTTTGAGGTGGAGGTCATTTTGCAATGTTGTGATCTCAATCTCCACCTGTCCAGCATCTAAGGTGAACGTTGCACTTAGTTGCTCAGCAAGGATTGTTGTGTCCACGTTTATGAAGGGGTTGGAAATGAATGACACACATGGCTCGATTTGTTCAAGATCACAAAACCTATTCTCAAACTCTTGGCCAATTCTGTTGATGGCTTCACAGTACTTTCCTACAACTTTGTCAAATGTCTCAGATGCAGAAGCATTGTCTTTCAGCACCGACTGCACTGAGGGAAAGTGTATGGAGCCAGATCAGGCTCAAAAGTATTGAAAAGTAGTGTAAGTGAAAAAATAAAAAGTGAAGTGAAAAAATAAGATTTGAACCTAAAAAAAATAAAATGGTACCTGAAAGTCTTGAATTTCGAAATTGAACTTTGAAAAATCCCAGAATGCATGAAAAAAATCAGTTCAAATGTAACTTTGATTCTGTTTTTTTAATACTTTTGAATAAATTACTTATTTCTATTTTTCACTTCAAAGTATATTTCGATCTTGGAGTACTTTTTTTTTTCCGATTGAATTTTATTTATTTATTTCAGATTCAGACCTTATTTTTACGGATTCAAAACTTTTTTTTCGGTTTCAGATTTTTTTTTTTCAGATTCAGATCTTTTTTCGGATTCAACTTGAAAAGTTTCAGGTTCACTTTTGACCCTGTTTTTCCGTGGGGGCGGGCCTCGACTGAGAGGGGCGCGGTCTGCCATGAGTGACAGGCCTCCCCCTCCTTCCCCACCCCATCACCCTGCGTTCAGGAAGTGGCATGAATACACATTAGCTTACCCTACGATTAGGCTGTATTGGGTGAATGAGATCGTGTTGGTTCGTTCCACTTTAGTGGTGCAATACAAACTGTGATTCATTAAAAAGCTCTATTGATAGTAAGTACTGAAAAAAATATATCTACTCATGTCATCCAGTCGATTTTTAGTAATCAGTGGATGACAATGTTCCTGCTGACGCTGGGTTTCACATGACATGCTACCAGCGATTTATTTGCAAAAGGGGGTCTCAAACCCCTTTTTCTGTGTGTAACAGAAAACCCTGACAAGGCACACCTGTTTAGTAAAAAACATTTCAGGTGACTATCTCATGAAGCTCATTGAGAAAACAGCAAAAGTTTGCAGCGTTATCATAAAAGCAAAGGGTGGCTACTTTGAGGAATCTAAAATATCATTCATGTTTTCAGTAATTTTACACTTTTTTCTTAGACACGATTCTACATGTGTTCATTCATAGTTTTGATGCCCTCAGTGAGAATCTACAATTTAAATAGTAATGACAATAAAGAAAATGCATTAAATGAGGATGTGTGCCCAAACTTCAAGGGGGCTCCACAGGGGACAGTGCTCTCCCCCTTCCTCTTCACCCTGTACACCTCGGACAAATCTGGGAGCTGTCACCTCCAGGAGTTCTCTGATGACACAGCCATCGTCCGATGTGTATCGTCAGGGGATGAGCAGGAATACAGGACTGTCATCACTGACTTTCTCAACTGGTGTGGCACAAACCACCTCCAGCTAAACGCCAGTAAGACAAAGGAGATGGTCGTGGATTTCCACAGGAGGAGGACACCTCAGACTATTCCAGTGAACATCCAGGGTCTGGACATTGAGATGGTGGAGTCCTACAGATTCCTGGGTGTCCACCTCAACAATAAACTGGACTGGTCAACAAACACAGACGTCCTGTACAAAAAGGGCCAAAGTCGTCTCCACCTGCTGAGGAGACTGAGGTCCTTTGGAGTGTGCAGGACTCTGCTCAGGACTTTCTATGACTCTGTGGTAGCATCTGCACTTTTCAATGCAGTGGTCTGCTGGGGGGCAGGGAGCACCAAGAGGGACAGGAAGAGACTGAACAGACTGGTCAGGAGGGCCAGTTCTGTCCTGGACTTCTCACTGGACTCCCTGGAGGAGGTGGGTGAGAGGAGGATGTTAGCAAAGCTTGTATCCATCATGGACAATCCCTATCTCCCACTCCACCAGATTGTGGGGGCTTTAAACAGCTCCTTCAGCAGCAGATTTAGACTCCCACCTTGCAAGACGGAGCGCTACCGCAGGTCATTCCTCCCTTCCACAATAAGACTTTACATGAACTGCAATAAAACTGGACCCACACCACCACTTTTTTCTGGTACTTAAATTGTGTATATTGTATATAGTTTTATTTTTATTTTCCCTTTTTCCTTTTCTAAATTTTTTCTTAATTAGAACATTTATTTAAGTTTTTGATATATGATCTTTAGTTTTATAACTGTATTTTTGCACTTTGTCTGTGATGCTGCTGTGACAAAAAAAAATTCCCCCATGGGGGATCAATAAAGGAATATCATATTCTATTCTAACTTTTGGCCTGTACTGTATGTCTGCTGTGAAGGCAATTGCTTCTGTTCTGGGGAATCTGAAAGGTAATGGTGCTACCCAACTACCATCTGGATCTTTCTTTAGTCCTTCATCCATTATTTTCATGAAAGAAGCGTCCTGAATTGAAGGGGCCACTTGATTGTCACCTCTGCTACGTTTAAACCCTGTGCACCCCAGATGATCTGCATCACAGGGGGTTTTCTTTTTAACTGATGTTGGAGGGTGTTTAATGACCTGCAAGCCACTGTACCTATCTTTGACATGAAATATATTCGGAGGACATGGATCAAAGAGACTGCAGCATTTTTGCTTCAAGGTGTTTGTGTAGAAGGTGCTGATGGTTGGTGGTGTGTGATTACTTCCGAGACATACATTGCCTACAATGACCCACTCTCGATCTAGCTTCTTGTATGCTAGACTTTATAAACTCTGATTTGCTTGCAGACTTTATAAACTCTAATAATATCTCTGCCTAAGAGGAGCATTATTTGGACTTGTGAGTAAATTTCTGAGATGAGATGCGCCACTGACCTCAGGTGTGGATAATGAATAGCTGTTATTAAGAATGTCATTACACTCTATAAGACCTGGTAGTGGGGTCCTAACTCTCCCATTCAGGGGGTCCACTTAATAACCACTGGCTCTTTGCCTGTTGTCTCCTTTTCTCCAGCACATGCACAAAGAAATCCAAGATGGCAGCATGCACTGAAGCAGGGGCTCACAGCTCTCCCTTTCAGGTCTGTTTTTTGTATTTTTTCTTTGTTTGTTTATGGACTCTGCTCGCGTTCGCTTCAGCGAACAACTGGTACACACACTAGGACCTACTGGACATCGGCTTCCAACACATAAAAGCCGTTTTGGGTGACTTTCACCATGACCAAAACATCCAAGACATGCTGGCAAGACCACCGGGTTCCCTGTGGATTGTTGTGGGGTCAAGGAAGAGACGCAGGCAGCAGAGGGAAAGTAAGCAAAAGAGGGGCCACAGGTCCAGTCTGCTGCTACGGCTAAGAAACAACCCACACAAGCCACCTCTGCCAAGAAACCTTGGATGACCAGCCAGGCCCATTCACTCCTCAAAGCCAGCAATGCTGCTTTTAGGTCAGGTGACAGAGCTCTTTACAGCGTGGAACGAACCGACCTGGAGAGCGGAATTAAAGAAGCCAAAGTGGACTACAAGAGGAGGATAGAGTCCCACCTTGCCAGCAACAGACCACAGAAGGTGTGGCAGGATCTACAGGACATCAACTAGGACATTAACTTCAGATAATGTGATGTGAGGTTAGGAGTATGTAACTGGCAGAGGAGCTCAACAGCTTATTCTCCCATTTTGAAACACCACAGCAGCGACACTCCTCGTCTGCTCCAGCCCTGCCCCCGCCCCGCCCCCTCCCCCTCCCCCAACTGGCCCCAACACCCCCTCCACTCACTGTAGGAGAGGACGATGTGAGGCGTGTGCATCTGGCAGTAAACCCAAGGAAGGCCCCCGCCCCTGACGGAGTACCTAGGGAGGTGCTCAGAGCATGCGCCCACCAGCTGCCCAACATCTTCTGCAGGATCTTCAACCTGTCCCTGGCCCAAGCAGTCATCCCTACCTGCCTGAAGTCGGCCACAATCATCCCCCATACCAAAGACAACACTCATATCCAGCCTTAGAAACTACTGCCCTATGGCTCCCGCACTCGTCATTATGAAGTGCTTCGAGAGACTGGCTCTCCAGCACATCAAGGACTGCCCCCCCGCTTGGATTAAGGACTTTCTGATCGACAGACGTGTGAGACTCGCCCCCCATCTTTCCTCCAACCGCACTTTGAGCACCGGTTTACCACAGGGCTGCATGCTGAGCCCCCTCCTGTACTGTCTGTACATCTACAACTGCAGTGCAGCCCACGGTAACTACATAATCTTCAAGTTTGTTGATGACATCACCAGTGTCACCACTCGTGGTCTGACTGATCTCAGAGGGAAACAAGGCAGCCTACAGGGAGGAGGTCCAGAGGCTGATCACCTTGTGCTCTAACAATAAGCTGGCACTGAACACCAGTAAAACAAAGGAAATGATCGAGGGCTTCAGAAGGAACAGAATTGGTAAGGTTTGGTACAGTTTAAGGCTGCACGATATTGGAAAAAACTAACATTGCGATTTTTTTCAACCCTGCGATATATATTGCGATATTAAAAATATAGGAATCTTCACCAGATGACCTGAATGGCATTTAATGTTATGCTGCACCGCTGAGGTCTTGAGGACAGGTAACCTGCTCTGATCTTACCTCTTTTTGTGAATGTTAGTAGAATGGCTTCTGTCTGTCTCAGAGATATTTTTAGCTTTTATTGTGCTGAGACGTTATTGTGGCGACAGATGAACACAGAACACGTGTTTTGGTCAACATCATCCTTCTTTTAACCGAAATAATTACAGATAACTGACTTTCCTTTTCTTTTTGGCAACAAATCTTAATTTTCGGTGGTTTTCTCTTGTTCGTTGCTCATTTTGCAATCGTTGTAGTTGTTGTTAGCGGTGTTGTGCCGAGAAACGCATGTCCTCCGAGAATTGCATGCACCTCCAAAACGCGCACCGCTTATAGTAGAGTGGTCCACGGAAATATACATTTCAAAACCCATACAGTTCTTATTTGTTGGGCTTAGTAATTCTCAGCGGACATGCGTTTCTCGGCTCAACACCAGCAGCCAGCGACTAACTCCATGTGCATGGGTGGGTTTTCTCCTCTCTGATTTTGATTGACAGCTGGCAGAGTAGTCTGACTGGCAACTGAGAACTGAGTCTGATTGGCAACTGAGTAAAGGACGAAGGTGATTGGTGGATCGCTGCACAGCACATGCAGAGTCACATGCAGTGTATCTCAGTCAGTTACCCTTGAAATTAACTGAGTTCATTCACCTCCGACATCGCAGGCTCTGCGATGTGACTATTGCACACACGTACATCGCGATGACGATGCTCAAACGATATATCGTGCGGGCCTAGTACAGTTATTTTAACAGTCCAGTTACTTCAGTTATTTCAGTTATTACAGTCATAACTTAAAAATAAACTGCAACAATAAACTCTCTAAAGCTAGGGCTGCAGTATAAAGTAGAGGAGAGCAACATTCACATTTTATGATAATTTTTTCTGTAGATCTCAAAAACAGAATGACATTGGCGTGATTTTCAGTCAAAAATTCATGTAAAACACTTTAATTCTCATTAAAAAGGAGAAAAGTGAGTTCTCCGGGATTTAGCTGGGTTTAGAGCGGCAAGGTGTATGATGTGTGTCCCCGTTAAAAGAAACGGATACAGATGTCCAGTATAGTGGTGGATTTATTTGACTGTGGTTCGGCAGATAAAGATACAAAGCAACAATCAGTACAGCTCACACCATACACAACACATGTATATAATATAACTCTAGATACAAAGGACTGTATTCAGCAATCAATCATATGATATCTGCCTCATACATTGTAAACAAACTATCTCACACGAGGCTCTCGTGTGAGGAACCTGTTCTTTGTGAAGAACCTGTTCTTCAACAGATTTGACACTGCTGTCACTCCCACTTCCACTGCTACTCCACCTTCTTCTCTGTAACAAATCTCCACTACAACTTCTCCCCTTCCTCCTCCATCTCGTTCAAATGTCTCAACCACTTCAACTGCCTCCCTCCTAGAACACCAGTCCTTGTCTGTCACCGAAACAGGGGTGAGGATGGAGTTTGGAAGACTTTGTCCTGGGAAGGTAGCTCGTCCAGATGGTGTGTGTCCAAGGCTGCTTAGAGACTGTGCTGCAGAACTGTGTCAACCTCTCCACCAGATCTTCAACCTGAGTCTACAGCTGGGGCTAGTACCTGCTCTGTGGAAAACATCCTGCATTGTGCCAGTACCAAAAACAGAATGTCCTGCTGAATTCAATGACTTCAGACCAGTGGCCCTCATTTCACACATCATGAAAACCCTGGAGCGGCTGATTCTACGCCTTTTGAGGTCTGAGGTCAAAGACAAACTGGACTCACTGCAGTTTGCATACAAAGAACACATTGGAGTGGATGATGCTGTCCTCTACATGCTGCACCGTGCCCTGTCGCATCTGGAGGAACCTGGGGTTTATGTGAGGATCATGTTCTTCGACTTTTCAAGTGCATTCAACACCATCCAACCCACCATACTCAAAGACAAGCTCACAGAGATGGGAGTGGATCCTTCCTGTGTTTCCTGGATCACAGATTACCTGACCGGAAGGCCACAGTTTTTCAGGCTGGGGAACTGTGTTTCTGGGACATTAATGAACAGTACAGGGGCTCCACAAGGGACAGTGGAGCCATTCCTGTTCACACTGTATACGTCAGACTTCAAATACAGCACTGAGTCCTGCCACATCCAGAAATACTCAGTTGACACCGCTATTGTGGCATGTATCAGAAATGGACAAGACGCTGAATACAGAGATCTGATAAGAGCCTTCAGCGACTGAAACTGCCTCCTCCTCAACACCTCAAAGACAAAGGAGATGGTCATTGACTTCTGCAGATCCAAATCCCCTCTTCAGCCAGTGAACACCTGTGGAGTGGACATCGAAGTGGTGACATCATATAAATACCTAGGTGTACATCTGGATAATAAGTTGGACTGGTCCAAGAATGTAGACTTCATCTACAAAAAGGGGCAGAGTTGCATCTTTTGCCTGAGACAACTCCTATCAATAGACATCTGTAGCAAGATGCTGCAGATGTTTTATCAGTCTATGGTGGCAAGTGTTTTGTTCTACGCTGCAGTCTGCTGGGGAGGAAGCATCAAAGACACAAGACATCTGAACAAACTGGTGAAAAAGGCTGGCTCTGTGGTTAGATTCAAGCTGGACTCAGTAGAGGATGTGGTTGAGAGCTCTACACTGAGGAAGGTGGAGACTATTTTCAAGAACATGGATCATCCACTTCACAACACCTTGATGGAGCAAAGGGCCAATGGTGTTGGATGGCTCCTCTCTCTCTGCTGCAGGACAGAAAGATTCAGAAGACCTTTTGTACCCACAGCCATCAGACTGTACAACTCTTCTGTAAATAGTAGATAACTTTTATAGACATATTACGTGAGAAAACAGACAATTTAATTTCCCTTCGGGGATCAATAAAATTATTCTTATTCTTCTTTAATAATAACATAGTTTTAATGTATCATGCAATGCGTATAAATAGTTAAATCAATGTTGATGTAATTTGGCATTCTTTCAATGTAGATCACAGCAAGCACTTACAATGTTTATTTTTCAATACCTGACATTAATTTTAACTAATTAAATTTAATCATTTTTGATAGACAGAGCACTGACCATGCTGTTAAGAATACAACAACCTGTTACTATAAAGGGACCATCAACAGCAGAAAACCACATCGTAATGTAAAGTGTTGAAACTTTCCAACAATGAAGATAGATTTAAATTGATTCAAGATGTATGTAAGATTATCTAAAATGGATTAAAGATTGATTAAAAAATTTATTAAATATTTATTTTAGATTGATTTAACACTGACTTAAAGCTGTAGTGCGTAAGCGCTACATGTCTGTAAATATTCGCTTCACCCAAGCCAGTACAGGAGGAGATGATACAACACTGATTAAGTCGTTCGGCTACTCGAACAACCTGCTGTATTTTTCAGTGTTTGTTTTTTTTGTACTTGGTGTCAAGCAGCAACATTCCCGCGCTGGCTCACATGAAATCACACGTTCTACTCGGTTTGAGACCATTGAGGGTGAGGAATGTGAATATGTCGATAGCAAAACCACAGATTTTTCAAAAATAACTACTGCCACCTCCTTCAAGAAAGACTAATTGAGGGACAGGTTCAATACACGAGCGCCTTGGTTGGATTCAGACTCTCTACCTTCCTCCCAGCAGGGGAGCTGGTTGCTTCATTAATACATTGGTTACCTTTGTGAGTGGTGCCCCTCTCCCCTCTGCCTGTCTCATCCTTCTCTTCAACTGTATCTTCATGTTTGTCCTCTGGCTCCAAGTCTTCAGTCTCCTGTTTCTTCGGCAGGGTGATCGAGTACAGGATGGAGGTGGTACCTGGCTCTAGAGTCTCCTGGCTGGCTTTGACATTCTGGCTGACCTGGGCTGTCACCTTCCGAACCTGTAAACAGGAAAAGATTTAGTCTGAGGTGAGTAACACAAAAACTGTAATTAGGAAAACTGCATTTCCTTACAGAAAATGTGTGGAAATTCCGAGTGCTGAAAGCTAAAAAAGCCATGTAGAACTGCTAGAAAATGAGAAAAGTATGAATGGAAAAACTGGTGAAGAGGTGTGATAAAATAGTAAGTTTAATGAGTGTAGAAATTGTTGAAGAGTTGAAAGTTAAGAATAAGTAGTGCTAATTTTGAAAGAGTTGAAAAATTTAGAAGTTGAAACTTTTAAAGACCTGAACTATAAGAACACAGCCAATAGAAATGTGGGTTATGATTTCATAGACAGAAAGACTGTCATGCAGACACATGGTCAGAGTGTGTGCTTGTAGGTGTCATAGACAGAGACTGGCATTGACAAAAAGAGAGTCAGCACACACATGGTATTAGATTAGGATAGATAGACAGACAGACAGACAGACAGACTACAGGCCAAACGTTTGGAAGCAAGATCAGATTTGTACAAAAAAGATCATAGTTTCATATATGTAATTTGAAACACAATAAACATGACTATTGTGTAAAGAGTAACTTATCAGAAGACATTTTGACTATAATTATGAAGTATTTGAGTTATTGTTGCTTAGACTTTGCTTTTTTTAAAGTAACCTCCTCTGGCTTTAGCAACTCTGGCATATACCAGGCATTCATTCCAAAAGTTTTCTAAGGTATGTTCCAGGGATTGCATTCCAAGCTTTCTTAAGTTCATTAAAAAGAGACTGTTGATTTGTGGGCCACGTTTTTCTGACCGATCGATCAAATTCATCCCGCGCAAGCTCAATTGGAGAAAGGTCTGGAGACTGAGGGGGCCAAACCACCTTCCTCTTCTTTTTTGTCTAGGTAACCCTGACAGAGCTTGGCAGAGTGCTAAGGGTCATTTTCTTGCTGCAAAACAAACTTATGAGCTACAAGTCTGAGTCCAGATGGAACAGCATGGTGCTGGAGGATGGAGTGGTACTGTTCCTTTTTCATGATACCCTTTACTTCAAACAAATCTCCCATCACCTGCAAAACATCCTCATACCATGGAACTACCACCTCCATGCTGAATTGTGGGTGTAACATATGGTGCTTTCAGACATTCACCAGTTTGTCTGCGGACATAGACTCTGCATTTTGAACCAAACAGTGCAAACTTGTTTCTAGTCATCATAAGTCCAATTTTTGTGAGCTTTTGCCCACTCATATCTCTTTTTCTTGTTCTGTGGACGAAGTAGTGTTTTTTTGCAGATACACAACCCTTCAGACCAGCCTTTCTCAAAGGTCATTTCACGGTTGTCAGAGATATGGGTTTCGACCTTGTCATGTTGATTTCCTCCCTTATTTTTGGTTCTGTCTTTTGCTGATATCTCTTACTGGTGACAATGCTATGTTTAGTACCTTTTAGCTTTTGCAGTAACTCTCTTTCCTCCAGGTCTTTTTCTATCTTCATAACTTCCAGGTTCCTCTAGTCTATTCAGAGTGTAGTGGAATCCTTCTTTCCTCAGTGTACAAATATGTACTTTTGTTTCTTTACTCAGTTGCTTCTTTGTAGCCATTTTTGCGGTAGTTTGAACGCAGTGGAGATTTATTAGGATTTTTATATGCAGACTCTCAAAAGCCAAAAAGTTGAAGTGAATAATCCAACTGAGATTTGCTTTTTTGCTTTTGCACTGAAGTTGTGACTCTTGAAAATGTTTTCAACCCTAAAACTAAGCCCTTATTATCTTTTGCTGACATATATTTATCAATGGTCTGTTAACATCAATGTATATCTAAAGGTAAATGGAGTAAAATGGTGCATTTCCATGAAAGCAACATCTAATGATGGAGTACATACATCCCAAAATACATAAAACTCATGCTGGATTTTAAAAAAAAGCATTGTGAACAAAAAACTTGAAGTTACTCCCAACTGTTCTGCCTGTAATGGCCTTGCTTCCAAACTTTTGGCCTGTAAGTGTAGATAGAGAGAGATAGAGAGAGATAGAGAGAGAGAGAGAGAGAGAGAGAGAGAGAGAGAGAAAGTGTGTGTGTGTGTGTTTGTGTGTGTGTGTGTGTGTGTGTGTGCAAGCGTGTCCCATTAATCAAAGTATTCTTAACAGCTGTTAAAGATCAAAGGGATTAAATAACCCATGGTTTTCATAAATTCCCCTAAAGCACAGAAAATTACACTATGGGGTCATTACTGTAGCAAAAGTATTTGCAAAAATGTATTTTGATCCATGTGTGTAACCAGCATAGGCATCAGTTTAGGAGTGGGGGGATCGTTTTGTCTCCACCACACACAAATCCTTCATGTGTAAGCCATTGTAACCCCAGTTATTTTCAGTCGTGCAAAAATTTCAGACGCTCCTGAACGCATCATCCGTATTTGTCCAAGAGTTTCTGAGAGACGCAGTAGATATTTGCGAGGATAACAAAAACATGCAGCTGTTGTAAATTTGCGTCTATGCCAAGTTGAAGCTGCAACCCAGAGTGTGCTTTTTCTTCTAAAAATACCTGTGGTGAGTTAGAAAACTTGTTTGCTTGTTTAACCCTATGATTATCCCGTGTAATAAATATATACAAGGGGGCGCTAGTTGGTTACATGAAATAAGTGTACGTAGTTTGTAGTAGCCATATCAAAAGTAAAATCAATTATAGTCATAAACCCAAAGTCAATTTAGCTAGTAGCCCCCCCCCCCCCCCCCCCCCCCACTTTTCGAAACAAACTGACACCCTTGGTAACCAGATACACAAGTGTGTAAAAAAAAAAACTGTGTGTGTTTGTAACAAGATCCTCAAATGTGTAAAAGAAATCTCCAAATGTGTACATTTATCTGTATGCGTAGATCATGTGATCTGTGAATTTTAGGCCACTAGATTGTTCTTTTACACATGGCTTTTGCTATACTCCTGCCATGGAAGATCCACAAATGAATGCAGCTATTTGAATGTGTGGAGACTTGTCTGTGTGCCTTCATAGCTATACAGCTTCATACCACGAGGGGCCGCAAGCACCAATGACACTGCCCACCACAACCATTTTAAGCGCGACTGGGTCTTCGAAGTAGGCTACACCCATTGATCCATCTTTGACACTTCGGTAAAGTAAAAAAGATATACACAGACTAAGACTTTGCGGATTGTAATTCATCAATGAAACCACATAGTTATAAACCCAATCCCTCTTTTTTTTATAACTGTCAAGAAGACTGAGCTACCACTGGGGCTGAATGATTAATTGCATTTGTGATTACATTGCGATATATTTAAAAAGCGATTTTCTAAACGCAAAGGCTGCAATATTGACTTGTCACATGATCTAGTCATGTGACGTGAGCAAGCGGAGCAGAGAAGGCATGGAGAGAATTCCCGCTGTGTGCACGCTGTTGCACTATGGGCTAATGCTCGACATAAGCTGACACTGCAGAGAGTTTAGTACCAAAGAGGGGCAGCACGGCAGGCAGTTGTGTGGATTTCTTTTGGCTAAACAAGTTGCTATTGCGCAACGTGTGCAGAACCTGCCGTGCCGCTGTTGCTACATCAGGAGGTAACACTACTTTATCAACACTTAAAAAAACATCACAAAGCCATGTAAGATAGCTGAATGGCTAACACATACGTGACGAGCACTTAAATCTTAAACTATGTCTGAATAACAACGGACAACACATCTAATACAGTGATGGAAGCATAGCTGAATGAAAAGTCCAGACTCCAGTGTTTTAGGCACTGGTTACATCTTGCCGTGGGTAAATAAATCAGAATCATAACGTATATGAGTGTCCGTGATTGTGTGTGTGTGTGTGTGTGTGTGTGTGTGCGTGCATGTTTGTGTGTGTGAGAGAGAAAGAATGTAAGAGTTGGAGGGAGAGAATGTGAACGTGTGTTTATTCCAAAGTTGATAACCTCGTATCACACATCAACCTCTATAAATTTCATTGTTCTTGTTTTATTTTGTATCACAGGAAATGCACTCAAAGTTGACAGAGTGTCCAGAGCAATACGGCTGTGCAGGATTTTGTTGGGCACTTCTCCCATAGTTGGGGGAAGGAGGCAGAAATAACTGAAGCACAGAGGGTATTGTAGAGAGTAAGTTAAGAGTGATTTGTTAATTTATATGAGACGCGTTTGCGGTCTGTGCCGTACGCCTGTATTCACGGGATCTGCAATCTCATTCATTCATCTGATCTTGTTCATGAATTCATATCAGCCGTTGATCAATGCTGACTGTAGTTTATCTTTCATTTATACAATTTCTGGCATTAAATCTAGTCCAGAACCACCTCTGCCTGTTCCTCAGAGGATGTGATGCCATAAAGAGTTTAGCTGGCAGTGAATCCTAGTACAGGACAGGGGCCACACTGGGTGCAGCAGTGCATGCTGTCTTAAATTGCTAAAAAATAAATAAATAAATAAACTATTCCCAGTAGTGCAATAAATAAAATCTAAAGGCTTCGTAAATCTGGTGAAACACCTGAGTCCACGGTACAAATTACCAAGTAGGGTGTTTCATCAGATTTACGAAGCCTTTATCCTGTACTACACTAAACGGCTGGTCCTCCAGTGCCACGAACTCCATTATTTTCCAAGTGGTGGCTTTGGACTTTTCAGTGTTGATGTCGAACATAGGAGCCGCGGCGGGGGGTTGTTGTGGTCGCTGCGACTCTGCTGCATCCCTCCTCTAAGCGGCAGTGTATTCCTTATATTTGCTAAACAAGCCTGGGTGCTTCTTTTCCAAGTGGCGTATTAAGTTTGTTGTTCCAAATGTCTTAGGCGTTGATTGGTACAAACTACCAAGTAGGCGGTACTTTTCTGACACAGCGCTGCCAGAGTCGTTTGAGAGAGGTACTGGAGGGGTAGTCAATAAATTACATTGTACCAGGCAAATGCTGGGACGTTTTTGAATGTTGTTTGAATCTAAGTTAGTTATTGACCTGTAAACTTGACTGAATGTTATGGTCAGTGTTGAAAATAAATCTGCTCAGGAGGCACTGTTGAAACTCTCACTCAATTTCTTATTTGTGAGGTTTTATTCTTGAAAAGGGGGGTTATGATAGCATATAGCCTACCATTAGTTGTGCTTTTAATTGCAGTTAAGCAAAATTTTGTCTTGGAGAGGGGTACCTAAATTAAAATTGGGAATGGGTACTCAAGCCAAACAAATATGGTGTCTATTATATGATTATAATTATTTCTTAGATAGAAAATCGGTATCGGAAAAAACGGTTTTGGCAGGTCAGACCTCCTTTAAAACCGGAACTCGGTATCGGCCAAGAATATTGCAATCGGTGCATCTCTATAATATAGTATTTAAAGATCCAGGTGGCCATCTCAAAGAAAGGCTAGAATCTTGAAATTTCAAGTGGCTGTGAGCAGTTTCTGGTCAAGTGACCCATGTACACTCCTCTTACCATTTTTCAACTAATCTGGCAGCCATCTTGAAAAATGGCCGCCATCTGTAATTTTTCAAGTGTCTTTCATTATTTTTCAAAAGACTGGCCCTCAAAGGGCACTTGGCCCAAATTTCGTGCTTGCATTACCTTTTGCATTGCACTACTTATCCATATTAGGTTTTTAATATGCATCATAATTCTTGTGCGTTAAATTCAGGCATTCAGCCCTCCCGTGTTTAATAATATAATCCAAAACAACTTTAAACTTTGGCATCCCTTCCTTTATCTCGAGCATGTCCTATACTTACCAACACATCTCAACTCTCCTCCCATTCACAGTCATTGCCCCTGGCATTAAGAAAGAATAATATGCCACACTAATACTATCAAAACCCAATTCTGACTTGATTGTAACAGTGATAATGAAGAAAAAAAAAAGAGAATTGTAAGTGAACTTTCAGTTCAGAAAACCTAAGAGTTACCTCTGTTACCTCTGTTCTCCAAAATTGTGTCATTTTCAAGGGCTGTTCTTCTGCGGAGCTCCAGTGGCTCATTAGCAATTCACCTCTGAGTTGTGGGTGAAGACAGCGCTGCTCTGCACACTCCTTTTCGCGCTTGCTTGCAGCCTAACATTGCAGGTGCAGTAGAAGTGGCAGGTAATATGGGAGCTATTCAGCTCTCAAAAACTGATGTCTTTGGGGGCATAATGAAAGCTAATATAATTAATTGCAACCCACTACCGAACATGATAGTTCTCTCTATTTCTCATAATCTGGCCTGCAGAGCGGGGCAAAGGGGGCAGAGACTAGGTTCGTGACATCCCACTGTGTCTGAACCTGCTGTTTGAGTCTGCCAGAGGTCCACAGCAATTCGAATGCAGAAATACTCAGAAAAGCAATTCTGCACTTAGTTTTTACATGGTATGTCCTCTAGCATCAGAAAAATGCCATATGAACATATAGACAACAAGAAAAACAGAGTGGGTCTTAGGTATCAAAGAGGAAGAACAGACTCTGAAAAAAGGCATAATACCCCCTCTTTAAGTAAAAGGTCACCTGAGTCCACAGCACTGACCTGATGAGACAGCTGCTGCAGCTCCTCCAGCTGCTTTGGGAGAGGCCAAAACTCCTCATCCAGGTCCTTACGTACACACCTTGACCATGGAAGAAAGCTGGTTGAGCACCTAAAAGCCGAGGAGGAGACAACATGGGGCTGATGCTGGTGTTGTGTCTTTGTGTAGAGATTATTTCCACCTGTGTTCTTCCTACAGTCCTGACTATCCAGAAACAAACCTATAGGGTCTGAAGACAGACCATTTGAAGAACTGATGGACCCCTGCAGGTCAGGTGACCTATGGCCCTCAACAAGAGTACTTCTCCCCCTTATCTCCCCGCTGCTCAACCCTGACAAGTTGGGGGAGCTACAGAGGTGGTCCAGATCAATCCCTGAGTCCTGCAGATTGGGGTCTGTTTGAAGGAGAGACTCCTCTTGTAGCTCTGAGGTATGCCACTCACTTCCCACCTGTCCTGGTCGCAGAGGGTAGGTATAGTCCAGGAGGGCCTGGTACTCCCTATTTGGGTCCCAGCTTGCAGAGTGTCTATCTGGAGAGGGGGGCAAAGGTTTAGGGATGGCACAGGCCCAGTAGTTTGCTTGATGGGAGGACATACTTTGTTTTCTTATACGTCCTCCAGCCGAGTAACATATGGTCTGTCCTTTAACTCCACCCTGCCTTTGTCCCAGCCTGAGCTGAGTCTGGTCTCCTCTATGTTTACCCAAGAGGGGGTTGTAGGTAGGGTGCATAACTGTGGAGGTCAGCAATGGTCTCAGAGGTAGATTCAGTCTTTGGACTTCCATAATTGGACCAGTGAAGCTGTGCTGAGTTGATCTGCTGCCAGTGAGAGATGATTGGAAACCGGGTTCCTCACTGAACAGCCTGGAACGCAGCTCTGAGACCGTGAAAGGTGAGTCTAAGTCTTCTCTGGAGGCTGAGGGGGCAGAGATGTCAGCACAAGATAGTGCTCCCATGATGCTCTCTGAAGACATGTCCTCTCTGGCTCTGGTTAAGAAGTACGACTTACTGTGTTTCTGATTTTCTAACTGTTTGCCCTACAAGAGAGGAAACACACAAACTTTGTTATCCAAGTATCCAAGATTATTGAAGACAATCTCAAACACATTTTTGATATAATCTTCAATCAGACAGAGATTAACAGTGTGTGTTCTGTAAGTATATGTACAATCTGTTACCAGGGTTGTGTTTTGAGTTTTCTCACCCAGGGGCTGCAACTGTGCACCTGGTCTCTATGAGCTCTTTCTTAGTACACAACAGCCACTCATAACAACTTCAACATGAAAAATGAGAACTTTTTACAGGACATGCAGACATCTTTCAAACTGGCAAAGATTGCACTTCAGACGCTGGCTTCTAAAGCTCTGAACTGTGGTCTCCTCTGTCCTTCATCCTCAGCTGCAAGTATACACAGACACCTGTGCTAAGTCCTGAATAAGGCTTGGGGTAGTGATGAGAAAGGATTTGCGTGAGCAGCCTTTAATGAAGTCTTTTTACAGAAAGACAGATGTGTCAAATATCACACTCTGATGCAATGCTGCAGCACGTTGGACTTCACTAAAACTTCACATTACTAGAGTTACACCAAGGGAAAGAAAAGAAGAGCCCTGAAATATTTGCCGGTTTGTAAATAGTATGTAATGAGCTGAGTATGTAGCCCCAAATATTAAACATTACTGTCCAGTAAAACAGAGGATAACACCAAAACAGTTATACCGTTTGGTAATACAGACCAAAAATATTCATGACCAGTTACTTAACTGGTTTACATTCATATCACTTCTTTTTTCCTTTACTCTATGTAAAGAACTTTTTCAAAGTCTGAGAAAGTAGTTTGTCCATTGGCAAAAAATATTAATTTTTGCTACATTTAGGCTACTCTTATTTATGTTTCACATTGGGATGATAATTAGCCAAGTTTGACAAGTTTCTGGAAACTTCGAACCCTATGAGTTCCTGAGACATTGTAAAGAACAAAATACTCCATAAGAATTAGAGTTCACAATCAGATCAGCGATGAATGCAAATGTTTTACATGATCTCTCGTATGAGGCTCTCTGAACATCCGTGCATGCAATACAGCAATCTTTTATCTGAGGCTGCCCTGAACACATCACTCGGAGACTGTGCAAGACTATCAACGTAAATATTATATCTCACGTTTGTTTCCTTTTCATTGAAGTGTTCATTTTGCAACAAAATGAATCAATATAGTTTACAGCTTAAATCGACCTGAATCATCTCAAATGGTAAACTAAAAATATCAATCCAGTGTCTGGGAGGCTCAGCAGACACACAGGACTATCATCAGTTGTCAAGAAACCTGGCAACTTGGGACAAATATAGTGATCCGATTCATGAATGAATGTGGACCATGCAAACTACGGGAGATTCCCTGGAGAAATGACAATACGGGAGGTGGGCGGGAGATGGATCTGAAATATGGGAGAGTCCCAGGAAAAATGGGAGTGTTGGCAGATATGGACATATGTTATGTTTACCATATTTTGAAGCCCCCAAAAGAGGACACAACTACAGGGGGCGGAAAATTAGAGGGTTTTTTGTGTTGGGTCAGGGGTTTTTATGTACTTTTAACATTGTTAAACATGTATTCTGAATCCCCAAAGACAGTGCATGCATGCATCGCATCAGTGGCTTTGCTTATATGAGCAGAGGGGCAGAGCTGCAGAGAGCACTGATGCGCTGCACTGTTTTATGATGAATTAATACACATTACGGACATTTGAAGGATTTTATAAACTCCCCTGGACATCCACCAAAAGAGGGCATGTCCGGGTAAAAGAGGGCGTATGGTCACCCGATCATGCGTACCTTCAATGCCGTGCCGAGATGAAGTTGCAGCCGCTGACGACCGGCTAAGAGCATAGAATACATGTGACTTCTTATATTAAATGCCGTACCCTGTTGACAAATGTTTAAGCATGTTGCTGGTGTTTCCACCTTTGCATGATATCACTGCTCAACAAACATTGCACTTTTGTCGTCTTTCTTAGTAAAATTAAGCCACTTGTTTCTGCCTACTTTTGTTATCATCCGCAATGTTTTTTTCTCTCTCTGTTCCCATTCGCGTAAACTAGCACTTGCGAGACCATCTTTCAAGGCACCCAGAAGAAAAGAATTGTTAAGGGAATCATTAGAGATGTAAATGATGATGGTGTATTGAACCATTTGGAACCGCTTCTCAACAAGAACCAGTTCTCGATTCCCATCCGTCTTAAACAGAGAAAATATTCAGTGTACAGCAGCTGTGTGGAAGAAAATGTCTTATTGATGTTAGAGGTCAGGGGAGAACGGGCAGACTGGTTTGAGAGGATAGAGAGGCAACAGTAAATCAAATAACCCTTTGTTACAACCAAAGTCTGCAGAATATCATCCCTGAACACACAACATGTTCAACCTTGAAGCAGACGGACTACAGCAGCAGAATACCACACTGGGGGGCCACTCCTGTCAGGTAAGGCCAGGAAACTGAAGCTAAAGTTCACACAGGCTCACCAAAACTAGACTACAGAAGATTGGAGAAACCTGGTCTAATGACTCTGGATTTCAGCTGTCACATTCAGATGGTGGGTCAGATTCTGGTCTAAATATCATGAAAGCATGGATCTGTCTTGCGTTGTAAGAGTGATTTAGGCTGCTGGTTGTCTAATGGTGTGGGGGATATTTTCTTGGCCCACTTTGGACCCCTTAGTACTAACTGAGCATTGTTTAAACCCCACAGCTTTCCTGGGTATTGTTGCTAACCATGTCCATCCCTTAAGGACCACAGTGTGCCCATCTTCTAATGGAAACTAGCAGGATGATGCACCTTGTCAGATCATCTTTAACTGGTTTGAGATGATCTGAGGTCTCCAGTGACCTCCACAGTCCCAAATCTCAGCCCAGTAGAGCCCCTTTGGAACATGAAGGAACAGGAGATGGACGTGCAGCTGAAAATCTGCAGCACCTGTATGATGCTCTCATGTTAATCAAGACAAAAATCCCTGAGGTTTTAACACCTTGATGACTGCTAGGAAGAATTAAGGCAGGGTCCAACCCGGTACTAGCATGGTGTCCCCAATAAAGTGGTCAGTGGGACCTTCCTAAACAAAGGTCTATCCTTCTTACTCGGCCTGCACGATATATCGTTTGAGCATCATCATCGCGATGTACATGTGCGCGATAGTCACATCACAGAGCCTGCGATGTCGGAGGTGAATGAACTCATCTAATTTCAAGGGTAGCCGACTGAGATACACTGAGAAACGCGTGTCCGCTGAGAATTACTTTCGGAACATTACTCATCACTGTTTAGCCCAACAAATAAGGATTGTGTGGGTATTAAATTGTACATTTCCCTGGACCACTCTACTATAAGCAGTGCACGTTTTGTGAGGTGCATGCAATTCTTGAAAGACATGCGTTTCTCAGCACAACCCCGGTAGCAACAACAACAACGATTGCAAACTGAACAACAAACAAAGAAAACCACCGAAGATGAAGACTTGTTGCCAAAAAGAAAAGGAAAGTCAGTTATCTGGAGTTATTTCGGTTAAAAGAAGGATGATGTCGACCAAAACACGTGCTCTGTGTTCATCTGTTGCCACGATAACATCCCAGCACAATAAAAGCTAAAAATATCTCTGAGACAGACAGAAGCCATTCTACTTACATTCACAAAAAGAGGTAAGATCAGTGCAGGTTAACTGAAGTTAATGCTAACAGCTGATTGCTATGCTACAGGCTAGCTCTAATTTAATGCTAGGGCCTATGCTTTGATTTGATTTTGATTTGATAATTTTATTTAAGTGTCATACACCAAAATTGGTGCCCAGCCCACATGGGCTTATTAGGCACTGATCAACAGATTCATAACACAATGTATCCAAGACAGCCACGCAACATAATAGACAACAACAATAACAACAAAACTCCACTAAGAATCGTGGCACATACAATGAGAATAATAAAAGAAAAACAAAAAAATTTCATCCTACAGGATACAAAATACTTTGCCGCACATGCCAAGCCTTTTCAACAAATTTTGCCAAAACAAAAACACCCTTTTCAAACAACCAACCCAAAATCTCACCTTCACTCTTCCAAAATAAATCAGGTATTTTAAACTGAATTGATTCAAAAATGACATTCCTTAAGTCATCATACAAGGGACAATTGAGAGCAAAATGAAATTCATCCTCAACAACCTGTAAATCACAGAATTCACACAAACGTGCATCTTCAAAAACCTTTAAATCATCCCACTTCTACTGCCAGAGGTAAGGTACCTGTTCTCAACTGAGCACAGAGAGATCTCTGTCTTCTCTTTAAATTAAGGAAAATATAAGGTTCTGTAATATAATCCTTCTTGAACTGAACAGAATTTCTGAGCTTTAGTTTCTTCCATATCCTGTTTCCATTGGGCTTCATGCTTCTCAAACATTTTTTGTTTTACAGAATTTATATTACATCACAGATTATTTCTAAACATTACATGCATGTCAGAGGCAAACAGGATCATTGAAATCTCACTGGACCAGGGATGATGATTTGCTCTGTCCCAGTTAAAAATTTTCCTAGTTAGCCTTTCCTCTGGCAGACTGACCAAACGATTCCACAGTCACACCACTTCACAATGTTGTTTTACAATACAAGGGTCCCATCCTACATCCCCTTCAATTGCTGCCTTTGCTGCATATTTATGGACACCAAGAAAACATCTCAAAGCACGATTCTGAACAGAATTACAATCAGAGACCTCCTCAAAACCCCAAATCCCTGCAGCATATAACAAAACCGGGTCAACCAAAGATTTATAAAGCTGTGTAAATGTAGAAAAACCAAGGTCCGTACAAGATTTCATTTTACTCAACACTGAGCCTAATGCTCTTCCTGCAGCCTCTGCCAGTATTTTCCTTCCCTACGAAAACTTCATATTTTCATCAAAAACAAAACCAAGATATTTATAATGGCAAGTATACTCTAAAGATGCCGAGCCAAGCTGAAATTTATAATTACTCTGCAATATACTTTTCTTCCTAAAATGAACTACTTGAAATGAACCACTATTAATAGCAAGGCGCCATTTATTGGATCAAGAACTCATAATATTAAGCATAATTTGCAGATTATTTTTATTTTCTGCAATCAAAACAATGTCATCTGCATAAAGCAGAATACTCAAATTAATATCCTCTATAGGAACACCAACATTAACCCGTTTAATGTCTTTAACTAGGTCATTTATATAAAGAGCGAATAGAGAAGGGGAGAGTAAGTCTCCTGATAATTGATCTGTTCCACATTGATGGGATAATACCATTGTGAAAACATATGTAACACAGGCAATGTAGTACATTAGTTAAGTTAAGACTTTTAAGGACCTCGTTAGGGAGCTCTTCAATGCCAATGGCTTTATTTTCTTTAGCTTTATTAAGCACTTTAAGTACCTCATCTACTGTGATTTCACTGTTCAGTAAATCATTTTGATGATAAATAATATTCATCCCACTTTCCAACTCAAGCTTTATTTTACAGATTTCCTCTAAAAAAATCATCATCAAATGAAGAGGAGCTACTATGGGTGAACAAGATACTGTAGTCTTTTTCCCATTTTTTCAATATTTGATCCGACTCAAAAAAAGATTCACCATTTTCCAATAAAACCTCCCAGGGTATTAATGATTTCTTTTTTGGACCTAACTTATATTTCTCTCCAAAATTGCTGTGGGTTACCGGTTTGTTGCTGTTCTAACTTAAGAGCTTGACCTCTTTTAAACTTCCTCTTAACAAACGAATTCACTATGCAGGAACCCTCCTCTTCCCGGGATCCATGTTACTACATTTAAGGAATGTTCTCTCTGCAGAACGTAACTTTAACCACGCCTCATTTAATTCGTTATTCCAATATGGTTGTTTAGCTCTGTAATATTTCTTTGTAGAACCCATTTTTTGTACAGGACAGTATTTCTCCATTTCAGCATGTAAAAAGTTACAGAGATTGGTGTAACACTGATCCACCTTTTCTTGATTTTCCTGTGCTATCTGTAGTTGGTCTACTACCTCTAGTATAGCCCTGCGACATATTTCCGAGGAGAGGAAATTATCAGGATAACTATTGCTTCTCCTTTTTACATACTGTAAACGATCAGCATTGTATTGAAGACTCAGAAGTGGCTAGAAGATTAGTTTTATTCTTAACTTTGAGAACCCCTCTAAGCAGTAACATCGGCTTCCCACTGCTCCCTGCCCAGTTAAGCCCCCTTTCTTCTTTACTTCTGGTTTGTTATTTTGATATATCCTGTTTATCATTGTTACTGCAGCGATGTACAGTTGTTATTGTTGTTGTGTGTGCGATGTCATTCATACAGCGGAGATATACGTTCTTTCAGTGTTGCTGTAATTAGGCTGATGTGTTCGTATCAGTGCGCGTGTGATTTGGTGCGTGCGTGTGTGTCTGCCTGTTGAGTGAGAGGAGAAAGTTTTGAGAAGAGAAGACGATCGGAGCAACTTCGTGTGTCCTACAGATGTACATTTCGGTGAAGTTTTGTGTGATTAATAACCCGCACAACAAGTTGTTTTTAGACCTGTGAAGATTATACCTAAAAGAGGAAACAAACAGACTTTATATTGAAGTTAGTTCGCCGATTAACGTGAGCTCTCGTTTTCCCAACAGTGGCTAGCTAGGTCTCGCTAGCTGCGTCATTGTCCTTCGTATCCCGGCAAACGTTAACTGGCCCCAGTTTAAGGACTTAGTTCACCCCCCTCCTCCTCTGGACCACATCTTCACCCCCTCCCCTCTTCACCAGAGAACAGTTTTTCATTCATCTTCCGTGGACACCTGATCATCACAATCCCTCAACACCGGGACCTCTCCACAGACCTCCATCCTGACCGAATCACAATCCTCACGTCCTCCTCTGAGCTCCAACCCCGGGCAACATTGGTACCATTAGTTTAGGATTAGGTAGGGACTTAGTATAGTTAGATAGGACATATTTAGTATAAGATTTAGTGAGTCAATTGTGCATTGTTTGTTTGTGTTATAATAAATGTCTATGTTGTTCCCTTTATATCCTTGTCCCTCCCCTGTTATTTAGTGAGAGTCCACAGCATCTTTGTCCATAGAAAGGGACGCCAGGGAGCGGTGGCTAGCGCCCTACTGTACCTTACAGTTCTTAGTTAAATTGTGGTCCTACGCTACAAGCATTATTCTGGTTATTAAATACCTCTCCCACTTGAAAACGAAGACAAAGAACCGAGTGATCTGGGAGTCTTCTATAGTCACCAATCAAATTTAAACTTTCTGGACCGACTTTATCAATGAGATCAGAGGGGGTGTAAACATTAAATTCAATACATGTTTTCATATCAGCATGAGGCGTCACTATGTAGTCTACAACAGCTTTGCCCCTTACAGAAATTGATGTTTTCAGGATTTAACCTGCCGTTAAGTATACAACAATTAGAGTCCTTTAAGAATTCAATGAAGGTATGACCATGTTTATTTACACTTGTGTCCAAAATCATACGAGGCAAAATATCATTTCCTTCAGCATAGTCTTCAATATCCCCAATCTGACAATTCAAATCACCACAGATATAGATTGAATCCACCTTGTCTGTAATAGTATATAGCACCGCCAGTAAAAGGCTAAAATAAAGATCAGCATTACGTCCCCATGTAGATGATTCTGGAGACAGGTAACGTGAAATCAAAATAAAAGAATACTGCGACTCCCGGTGCTCAAATCGTAAACAAAAAATCCCATCAAATGTTTTATCAACAATACTAACTGAATATCGATCCAAGACTGCATTTTTTACCAGGAACCCAATTCCACCAGAGGATTTAACAACTCTTTTGTGAGCAATACGATTATGTCCAAACCAGGTAAATTCATCAACGTCTAGTGAATGTGAATCACTGCATAAATAAGTTTCGTTTAAAGAAATGAAATCGGGGCGTAAGGATTTCAGTTGTAATATTCTAAGATCGCAGTTTGACAGCGTCCATCCATTAACAATCCAATGGGCTAACAAAAAATGTTCAGTCACACACCTGTCGGGCTGGGCGTGCCACTCTCAGTCACCGCCAAGGCCAGCTTCTCTCGCCACACTCCGGGATGACTGCGTCCACTTGACATTAAATCCTCTCCTTCAGACTCAGGGAGCGCCACCACAATCACAGAGATCTCTGGATCAAAATTCTTCTTCCTAGCCTCTGTGTCGGATATTTTCTTCTCCATCCTTTCCATTCATGCACACAGAATTCCCACCTCAGTGTCCAGATTTGCTCGCATGTCTTTTGTGGCTCTTTCAGTCTCTTTCAGCACAGCGTCCTTATTCTCAGCCATCAGTTTCTCCATCGATCCACACAATTTATCAACTCTGGAGTTAACTTGCTTTTCCATGCTATCAATTCTGGAACTGACCTGATTTTCCAAGTCAATCTGCATGCGGTCCAGTCTTGTGTTCAGCGCCTTCAGCTCTTTCATTATCACAGCACCGCCACTACAGCATTCGCTCTCATTCTTGTTGCTTCAGCTTTGCAATTGCTTCTCTTGATCCGCCATAATTTTGCCCAAAATAAGGCACTTCACGCCACAAAGCGAAGGTGTAAGCTTCATAGAGCTAATGAAACAACTGTGGGTCAGTTTTGATCAATAAATCTTTTTGTTTTGTAGAAGTTTGTTAAAGTTTGAAGACGTTCACACGCCAATACACTCACGCGGCCATCTTAAATAACTGAGGTTAATAAGTTGAGGTTAGAAAATAAGAACTGAGGTATGCTAATGTTAGCCCCGTTAGCCAGTACACTGCGTTTGCAAGTACACTAGCAACCCCAGTATACTAGCATTTCGCCGCCATTGTTAGCATCATTTAGCCACAGTTATCTTGTAAGAAGCACAAACAGTGTCAAATGTAGAATTAACAGGTGTGTTTAATGCAATACAGATTTATTTCTGCACTAACTGAACTGGGTTGTGTAAAATCCCTTAAAGGCAGGGTGAAGTTGTTCAAAGACACTTTTTGTCATAGTGGGTGAAATGGTCCTTCCACCCTGAGAGCAGTCAATTCATTATGTTTTCAGAAAGAGAAACAAAGAGAATCTGAGATCTGTGGCAGCTGCAATACAGTAAAAAATTTGACCAATCATTTCATTCCATCCGAATGTAAAGAACCAATCAGATGTCTTGAATTGCGCCACCCCACTCCCCTCTGCCCCTACCTCCCTCCCCTCCTCCCTGCGGGCACACGATCCCTTCGTCGTTGCTGCAGGTAGCAAGGACGCTCTTCTGCCGAAATACCTCAATAGCCTGTTTACAATAGCAGAGAAATAGCAGCTGAAATTGCCAATTCCAGCATTACCCGTGACAGCTCAGCCAGCTACACAGCCAAAGAAGAGGAGGACAGTGGTAGAAAAGGCTGCAACAAGGCAGGCTTGTGATAAATGAAGAAGACATACCAAGGTCAACATCGGAGCAGCTTTTTAGCGATGGAGACAACTGAGGGACCTAGGGGGCCTGAAAAGCGATAAAGCAGTCGCTTTGTTTCAGTTGGAAAGGAAATTATTTGTTTTGCTTTGATGGATTTTTTTATTTTCTGGAAAAATGTTATGTTTGCCAGCTTAGTCAGTTTTTATAACCAAGCTAACGTTAGCTTTTCTCTGCATGTAAGCGGTCATACGGGTACCGCTGTATTAAAGAGGTTGTAGGGCATGTTATTTTGGTCATATTGCACAGCTACAGTTGCCAGTGTCTGTATTTTATTTGTCAGTGTTTTCCTCCACTTACTAATTATGCTTTTAGGCCAGCAGCACCCATTGCGTGAGGGCAAGTCGCCGCATATCCGCGATTACTGGTTTGCTTTGTCTGGTCGGGTCCAAAGTGAACCAGTAGTCACGTATGCAAGTTGAGCTTCCCTCACGCAACGCGATGGATACCGTATTTTGCTTTGATGCAACAGGCAAAAAGACCCCACAAATTTTATTACTACAGCAAGAATGGTGATGCTCTGAAGACTCCAATTTGCTTGGAATCACTTCAAGATATCAGCATGGAGGACACTATGTAAGATGCTCCTGCCAAAACCCCAGATCTAACTATGGCAGACATGCCATCACCCACAGAAGCAGCAAAGTCCTGGTTGAGGATGACATCATTAGCCATCCTGCATCTATTGCTTACCATGACAGCCTGAGGCAGCTTGCTGAGTACCTGCTCCCCCCTGTCATCATATGTTCTGTCAAGGACCAAAACACGAAGGAAGAGTGCCGTGCACCTGGACCATTCGAAGTCAAAGTCAGGTCCAGGGGAACAGCTGCAGTAATTGAATGGCTGAGTCTTCATTTAGCATAAATGATTATTACATAAGTTGGGACATGTTTTTTTTTTTTTACCCTGTAACACCAACCCTATTTTCTGGATCAACTTGACCATATGCACAAGAAAAAGATTACAACACAAGTTCTGTAGGGCAGAGAATGGAAAATGAACGTGTATTAGTCATTGTAATTACTATAATGTGCTGTCTTTCTCTACCTGCTATTTTTCCAGATGTTTTTTCCCAGCCCATGTTGAAATATGGGATGCTTGTTGGAGACTTTATGCTTCCTAGTTATATTTTGCTGTCATGCAACAACTATGCAAAGATCTCATTACTGTTCAAGGTTATGAAGATGGGGATGGTAGGGAGGTTGATATTCTTCAGAATCCAGAACTCCTATTGTGTTGACACTATAAGGAGTTCTGAGATGAGAAGAGGGCCACAATCATCATCCAGCTCAAGTCAAAAGGACCTGTTCTTGCTCTGGGTGAGTTAGAGACATATACACATGCACACAAACGCACAAAAAAGAATGATAAAGTATTGATGAGGGAAATCTGCATTATTACAAATATGTAAGATGGAAATGTTCTGGTAACTGTATTGTATACTGTGTATTTTTTGAGAGGGGGGGTTATTTTCGAAGGAGATGGTCGCTGACAGTCCTGGATTAGTGCACAGTATTGTACATATACTGCCATGGACAATCAATCTAGGGCTGCAGCTATCGATTATTTTAGTAATCGAGTACTCTATCGATTAATCTGTCGATTAATCGAGTAATCGGATAAGAAATGTTTTGCTCTCACTGTAATACTTTGCATTGAATCACGTTTGCCTCATTAAAAACCATCAGTAACACACAAAACTGAAATAGGCCAGGTCTTTCAAATGAATATTTTTACTGCATAAATCAGGAACCAAAAGTTTTACATTTTACCATGTAGTTCACATGAAACTACTGAAGGCAAGGTCTGCAGATGGTCTTTTAATTGCTATGGTAATGATCTTTGCAGTTTTCACTAAACCAGTCACAACTATTTCCAGGCTTTGGATCTAATTTTACTTGTTTAATTAATAGGCTGAAATAATATAATTCTTGGATACTAACATAATTTGACAAGCAAATGTACATTTATTCAATATATAAAAGTGTTACATTTTTATTTACATGTTGTTGTGTGTTGGTCATTTTGCAGCCCTCTGCTGCTCATCACACGCCTAGCAGGTGGTGTATAGCATTATCACCATGGATACACGGATGTTTGTGTGATTTTTTTCATCCACTGCCGCCCGGTTTGTGTCGTGTAGATGTTGATTATGAAAACACTTCGCAATAATTTGGAAACGTGAAGGGGGAGCTGCTGCTGCCCGGTGTTTACGGTAAATAGACGCAAACACCGACCAAGTGGACGCTTCGGTCTCCGAAAACGCCGAACAGCCACTATTTCAAACAACTGGGCTCATAATCGTGATGTAAACACTTACTTTCTCGCTAGAAAAAATATTATTATTGAATTAATTTATATAATTTGTCCGGTATGCAGTCGTTCTATGTAGCTTGTGGTAGGACTATTTAAATTTTCCCGGCGCTGCGTCCGGCCGGCACGAAATGCATTCTGGGGTATTTAGTATGTATGTGTGTAAACGCTCGGGCAGCCGCGGCATACTCAAATCATCTTTGAGTAGTCAGTAGGCAGTAGCTACTGCTTGAGTAGGTAAGTAGATAGCAGGCAGTATGCCATTTCGGACACAGCTTCTGTCTGTCCTCGTTTCCCTCCATGATTGAACCAAACGCGCGGCAGCGGAAGGAGCGGAAAGAGCACGCTTCTGCGCAACAGAAATAACCGTCCGTGTCAAACACCGTGCGCTGCACATGGTTCCGGATTTAAACGATTCCTCGAGGCATATAATTTGCCTCGAGGAATTTTATTAATCGAGTTACTCGAGTTACTCGAGTAATCGTTTCAGCCCTAAATCAATCAAAACAGATAATATGCATGGTCAACATTGACAAGCGTAAGACCAGTCGGAATTCTGTTATAATGGAGAAGGAGGGCTTGATGCAGGTATTTGAGACAATACGGGAAGAACTCAACATTAAAAAAATTCTGCACAGATGTTCATACACAGATATCAGCTTCATTCAATTAGTTACTTATTGTATTTTGCAGTGCTGTGGGAGGTTGTTTAAGCAGTCCAACACTGTCCCATGCATCAATCATCACTTACATTATTATGAATGGACAGTGATTTGGATAATGACTTCACATATATTCTTTATGACGTCCAACAGACAACAAAGGGAAATATAAAGATTCTGGCATCCGACACACCCTGGACATGTGGCATGGGTCCAAAAGTTTGGGGAAAAGAATTCATGCAGTAAGTTCATGATCTCTTTAAAAAGATATAGTTGCCTTTTTCAATACAATAATTTACACCACTTCTCATCTCATACACCTTTTTGACACCGAGATCTTTGTTTTGTGCTACAATGTAAAGGGGTTGCACCATCCTTCAGATGTAGAGTAAGGATATCTGCACCCATTTCTGGTATTGCTGCAAGACTGCAGACAATTATGAGGATTTCTTCGTAAGTATTATGATCTATGTGGGCCATAGATTGCTGAACAGTTATTGGGCAAAATTGGCTTCTATTCTTATTGACCAAATTATTTACGAAAGGTGATTTTCTTTCCCCATAGGACTGGTGGGCTGGACTACTTCACCATGTGACAGGAGAGCATGCCTGGGCCCTTGGTGCCTGTCAACAAGGTCCTTTGGTGGAGGACGGATAGAAGGAACGGATCCAGGAGGGTTCTGTGGCACATCAGAGAGTGACAGAAGTAGTCCTGGATGCACGTTGGCTAAAGAGCATACACAAATACCTACATTTTAGGTATGTCACCATATGTTCAATGTTTTTCACTCTGTAAATATCTCACTAAACTTTGGAATGTGTCCTGCTGTGTCTTCGTTTGTATTACCAGAGTATAAGCAATTATATTTTTCCTCTCTGCTCTCAGATCAACTGCAGAGTTAGAATCTTTCCACGATCACATTCTAATGTATGACAGCAAACACTTCAGTTTTTCGCCACCTATATACGCTGCTTGAGTCATTCTCGCTGGCCTGGACTACAACCACCATGTTGACAGACCAGCCAAGAAAAGGACTGATGGTTCTATTCAGTATGTTGAATTTTATGTGGAAAAACAAAATCAAGCTCATAATCTTTTCTATTATGGTAGATACGGCAAGGTGTACAATAAAAAGTCCAGGAAGTGGAGCCTTTACACACTGAAGGTGGACAAGGACTGCAGTTATATTGTGGACCTCTAAGGTGCAATTCTGCGGTGCACATTGTCTCTTACTGGGGGTTTACCAAAGACTGCAAGACAGAGACCTGACGATCCCCGTCAACATGAGGTTCTATAGGTGTCCCAGCCCCATCAACACTGGAGCTTTTGCAGAGTCAACAAAGCATAGGGCAAGGTGAGTTTTCTTTAAATATTATAGCTTGATCATGAAGTGCAAAAATAAGTATGAGCAAAAGGTAATTTAAAATGTCCTTATGACTTACGATCTAAAATAGTTTTCTAAACAAAGCAAGGATAAACCACTTCAGAAACTGTCAGAAAAGTTCATCACTGTGTGAAATGGAAACAACAGTTGTAAGTGTTTTCATTCATTGCATGTCTCTGAAATGCATTATTTATTGTCGGATGTGTGATTGTGATATTCTTTCTAAAGGTAAATCACTGCCAACTAACTAGATTGCCACAGCTGACAATGACGCCTCATGAAAAGTCTGACTTGTCACCCATCCCTGGAAACATCTTTTCTTCTGTGTAAATACAGATATTTTTGTAAAAAAATATATGTATATTTTATGATTTTGTAATTAAAAAAGTGTTGAACCACATTCGTTGTCATTGGGTCTTACTGTATGGAGGTGCGAAATGTAATAGTTTGTTTATGGTGAAATAGTAAAAGAGAGGAATTTCTCATTTATTCAAACTTGTCACATTATAGTAGATTACAGTGCATCCGGAAAGTACTCATACCACTTCACTTTTTCCACATTTTGTTATGTTAGACTTATTCCAAAATGGATTAAATTCCCTTTTTCCCTCAACAATTCTACACAAAATACCCCATAATGACAAAGTGAAAAACTTTTTTTAGAACATTTTGCAAATTTATTAAAAATAAGAAATCTCAAATGTTGCATATACATAAGTATTCACACCCTTTACTCAATACTTGGTCAAAGCACCTTTGGCAGCGATTACAGCCTCCAGTCTTCTCATCTATGATGCAACAAGCTTGGCACACCTGGATTTGTGGAGTTTTTCCCCATTCTTCCTTGCACATTCTCTCAAGCTCAGTGAGGTTGGATGGGCAGCGTCGGTGCACAGCTACTTTCAGGTCTTTCCAAAAGATGTTCAATCAGGTTCAAGTCTGGGCTCTGGCTGGGCCACTCAAGGACATTCAGAGACTTGTCCTGAAGCCACTCCTTTGTCTTCTTGGCCGTGTGCTTAGGGTCATTGTCATGCTGAGAGATGAAGCATCGCCCCAGTCGAAGGTCTCGAGCGCTCTGGAGCAGGTTTTCATCAAGGATTTCAATGTACTTAGCTGCATTCATTTTTCCCTCGATCCTGACAAGTCTCACAGTTCCTGCCGCTGAAAAACATCCCCACAGCATGATGGTGCCACCACCATGCTTCACTGTAGGGATGGTATTGGCGAGGTGGTGAGCAGTGCCTGTTTTCCTCCAGACATGACGCTTGGCATTCAGGCAACAGAGTTCGATCTTCGTTTCATCAGACCAGAGTATTTTGTTTCTCCTGGTCTGTGAGTCCTCCAGGTGCCTTCTAGCAAAGTCCAAGTGGGCTGTCATGTGCTTTTTACTGAGGAGTGGCTTCTGTCTGGCCACTCTACCATAAATGCCTGACTGGTGGAGTGCTGCAGAGATGCTGGTCCTCCTGTAGGGTTCTCCCATCTCCTCAAAGGAACGCTGGAGCTCTGTCAGAGTGAACATCGGGTTCTTGGTCACCTCCCTGACCAAGGCCCTTCCCCCCTGCTTGCTCATTTTGGCTGGGCGGCCAGCTTTAGGAAGAGTCTTGGTGGTTCCAAACGTCTTCCATTTTTTAATGATGGAGACCACTGTGCTTTTTGGGATCTTCAATGCAGCAGATATTTTCTGTAACCTTCCCCAGATCTGTGCGCCGATACAGCCCTGTTTCGGAGGACTACAGACAATCCTTTCGACTTCATGGCTTGGACTGTGCTCTGACATGCTCTGTCAGCTGTGGGATCTTATATAGACAGGTGTGGCTTTCCAAATCATGTCCAATCCGCTGAATTTGCCACAGGTGGACAGCAAGCGAGTTGGAGGAACATTTCAAGGCTGATCAGTGGAAACAGGATGCACCTGAGCTCAATTTTGAGTTTTATAACAAAGGGTGTGAATACTTATGTATATGCAACATTTGAGTGTCTTATTTTTCATAAATTTGCAAAATGTTCTAAAAAAAGTTTTTCACTTTGTCATTATGGGGTATTTTGTTTAGAATTTTTGAGGGAAAAAAGGAATTTAATCCATTTTGGAATAAGGCTATAACATAACAAAATGTGGAAAAAGTGAAGTGGTATGAATACTTTCTGGATGCACTGTATGTAATAACAAAACAGAACTTTTGATTGTACAGACTGTACACCTCAGTGCAAATTTTCCAGGAATAATATGTAAAGCAGTACATGGTATACACAGCAGAACACAAGAGTGAGTGTTATTTATTGCACTGTGTTTACACTGTACTGGGGATGAAACCTGTTTCAAATCTTGCTAGCTTTTCAACATAACCAACCCTAGCTTTAACTGTGCTAAGCACTTAAAAGACTAACTTCATTTAACATTTAAAGCACTTGATTGAATTCATAACTTCAGTGTAGATAACATGATTTAAGCCACCATTGTATGGTGGTTATGCATTTATTTTCAAGTTCGGTGTGGCCATTTAATGGTTTTTACCACACAGAGAAAAGTTTTGTTCAAATGTTATGATGAAGCCCATTCGTTGAATTATTGCATTACTGGCGATATAAAGATTGGAGATTAAATATTCAAACTGGATTCTGACCCTAGTGCTGTAGGTCAACTTTTCTGGACAGACCCACCTGGACTGAAGCAGGACACCACTGGATTGAAGATTGATGGCCAGCTAACAACCAGTGGAGACAAACTCAAAATTGCATGCAAAAAGAAAAAAAGTGGGTGGTGGGCGGTGAGCGCTTGGCATCTGGAATCCGGCTGCCGCCCATCAGGGCCTACATGGACGACATGACAACCATGACAACAACAATACCGTGTACCAGGCGCCTTCTAGGGAATCTTCAAGAGAACATCACTGGGGCCAGAATGAAATTCAAGCCATCCAAATCAAGAAGCATCTCCATAGTTAAAGGCAAACTGACGGAGCAAAGGTTCTTCATCGATGAAGAACCTATCCCAACGGTCGCGGAAAAGCCAATCAAAAGCCTGGGAAGATGGTACGATTCAAAGCTAAAGGACTCTGACCAGGCGCACGAACTCAGGCAGGAACTCATCAAAGGTCTGAAGGTCATCGACAAATCCATGTTGCCCGGCAAGCTGAAAATCTGGTGCTTACAGTTCAGATTACTGCCTCGCCTCATGTGGCCACTAACCATGAATGGTCTCACGCTCACAAGGGTTGAGAAAATGGAGAGGATGATAAGCTCTCATGTGAGAAAGTGGTTAGGGGTCCCTCGATGCCTCAGCAGTGTAGCCCTCTATGGTCAGGGGCTACTCCAGCTGCCCCTCTCTAGCCTCACAGAGGAGTTCAAATGTACAAAAGTGAGACTAGAGATGACCCTGGCAGAATCAAAAGACACTGTCATCCGAGCTGCTGCTCCAACTGTGGCATCAGGAAGGAAGTGGACGGCTAAGAACGCAGTACAGCAGGCAAAATCTGCTCTCCACCACAGTGACATCGTGGGACAAGTCCAACATGGAAGAGGTGGCTTGGGACTGGGTGAAAAGCGTCCGTGCTGGAACAAGGCAGCCTCTCGGGAGCGTCGGAAGATGGTTGTGGCTGAAGTCCGCCGACAGGAGGAGTCAAACAGGTGTGCCAAGGCTGTGTCACAGGTAAAACAGGGCCAGTGGATGAGATGGGAGAGTGTGGAGAAACGAACCATCAGCTGAAAGGACATGTGGGAGATGGAGGCAAGTAGGATAAGTTTTCTCATCCGATCCACTTATGACGTTCTTCCTACCCCTACAAATCTCAACCAATGGGTGGGTGAAGATCCATCATGCCCCCTGTGTTCAACACGAGCTACACTCAGACACATCCTTGTTGGGTGTAAAGTGAGCCTCTCTCAAGGACGGTACACTTGGAGACATAACCAAGTTCTTAAGTGCCTGGCTGCAAGTCTGGAAAGCAGAAGAACCACCATCAATGCCTTGCCGCCCAGAGTAACGAACTCGGCCAACTCGATTGCGTTTGTTCGAGAAGGGAAACAAGGACAGAGGAAGTTTCCACCAAAGGCCAGAATGGGGGAACTGGAGACAGCCAGAGACTGGCAGATGCTGGTGGACGTGGGAACACAGCTCCTAGTTCCACCAGAGATAGTCATCACCAACCTAAGGCCTGACCTAGTCCTGTGGTCCAACTCACAGCGCAGAGTGTACTTTGTGGAGCTCACCGTCCCTTGGGAGGATGCGGTAGAGGAAGCCTTTGAACGAAAGAAACTGCGTTATTCAGATCTCGCAGCAGAAGCAGAACAGAGGGGCTGGAGAGCAAAGGTCTGCCCAGCAGAAGTTGGATGTCGGGGGTTTGTGGCAACGTCGACTGTGAGGCTGATGAAGGACCTGGGAATCAGTGGACAAGTCCTATGCCAGGCCATCAAGGATCTATCCAGAGTGGCAGAGCGGTGTAGCCAGTGGCTTTGGCTGAAAAGGAAAGACCCTAGCTGGTCTCCGAAATAAACTGGTTGGGCAGACGCAGAGGGGGGTGTTTCTGGGACGCCAGATTACACTGCTAAGCCTACTGGAGACGTCGTGGGGTTAAATCAGCGAAACGTTGGTGAAAGTAGGAACCCACTTGATAACCCCTGTGAAGTGTCTGTCCAGCTGTCTCAACATCTCAATGCTCAAGTCTTCAAGTGTGTAGGTATGCGGTCAGGTGCAAACCTGGCTCAGGGAGTAGGACGCCCCTGCCATGCAGAGTCCCCAGGCACTTTGGATCTTTTAACATCATGTCCTGTGTTTTTGAAATCATTCATCAAACGTCTGCTGGCAATTGACTGTTGCTGTGACGACAACCCGCCGCTTACACTTAGGTGCTTTGCTTCCATATGGCTGTGCATGGTTGTCGTAGACTTGTGATATGCAAGCTTGGCCTCGCAGAGTTTACACTGAACCTCTGCTTCACTTGTTTTGCTAAAATAGCTCCACACAGAACTTTTGGATGGCTGCTGCAGTAAACTTTTTTTTCAGATATGAACTATTCGACTTGTTAGGATTTAATGACTATTCGAATATTAAAAAATCATTGCACATCCCTAAACATTTTAAGCTAGTTTAATGTACTTTGTCCACTGGGGTAAGTATACAGAGATGGCATAAATAAACTTAGCATAGCCAACAAGCAAAGCTGTTGCATTTGTATGCCGTGTCTTATGCTGATTGCGTTATTTGCTGGCTGTATTATTTATTTTATGTGTCCATGCCCCTCTAAAATAGCTCATCAGCCTCCTAGGGTGTACAGTTTTATGTAACTAATTACCAGGGCTGTCCCTGGCAAAATTGGGGCCCTACACATAATTTTATTTTGAGCCCCTCATTACAAAATGGCTGTATCACACAATGCCACTTGGGTTTACAACCTTTATTAGTAGGAATTTAACAAATAAACAGCCTCTTTCAAAAATGGAGCAAGCCTTTTACAGATGCACATGTCTGCATTTTCTGGAGGCAGTTATCAATGAGGCCACCACATGAAAGCTGCTGTGCCACTTCTTAGTTGAAGCTTATGCAAATGCTAGCCTCACAAAGATATAAATGCAATCAATGCAAATACGACTGCAACTAATGAAAATATTATGATTTGATTTGATGATATTTCTATGAAATATTTTTATATACTCCTTTTGACATTTTGTACTTAAGTCCTACACTGCTGTTGCCACTGCAATGCTTTAAATTTTTCAATTGTCAGTCAAAAAATTAATCAACTTATTTGATCTAATCTTCTAATCTAATCTATGACTGCATGGAGGGAGGAACGGTTCTGTCAATGTCAGAACTATACTATTGTTTTGTACCTTTAATGTTTGGTTGTTAGAGGTGTCTGATGCTCTGTGGATACAACTAGAGTAATAACTTTTAACTTCGTTAACAGAGAGAAGTGCGAAAGATCCTCGTGTGGAGTGCACAATTGGGGTGTGTAAAAGGATTGTGAGTGCCTTTTCAAATACATGGAGAAGAAAGAAACAATTGGCCACTGCCAAGGCAGAGCTACTACTGCCCTTTCACTGGCTTATCACTGTAAAGCCAAAAACATACAGGATCCGTACTGAACGCATTCCGTATTTGCTCCGTATAGCAGTATTTAGAGTGTGGCAGCAGCGTAGTGCAGCCCCAGTCAGCTGGGCTCAGTATAGGGGAGACAATATATCCACAACAGGTTGTTTTGCCTTTCTGTGGTCTATTTCCTGCTAATTTGGATATAATTCAGTGACCGTTGAGCCACTACCAGCCAAAGTGACGTCAAACAATGACGCCGATGTGCAAGGTATGTCGGCAGTCGGTGCCCTCAAAAACTGGCATCACAACAAATCTGTTTAATCATTTGAAGAAGTATTTCCCCAGTGATTATGTGGAAAGCATGATGTTAGTGTTTACATTTTAAGGACTGTAAACTAGTTCACTGTATTATTTAAATTTACATTAATCTATCATACTGTTGAGTTAAAATGGTTTTTATATTTTTCTAAGTTTATCTCATATAGTCTGCTTTGTTATTTACTTTGTATTTCAATAAAATGTTGAACTAATCTCTAGTTTCTTTAGTTTTTAGTACAGATGCTTTAAAACTGGCAGTTAAAAAAAATCATGATAATAATCGGATCAGATGATATGACAAAATATATCCAGATCTTTTTTTTTTTTGACAAATTGCCCAGTCCTTATTTTAAATATGCTGTTTTTTTCCAAACTGGAAAGATAAGTGTACTAAGTACACTCCTGATGAAAATCTTAAGACCAGTTAAAAAACTGCAAGAATTTATATTTAGCACTGTTGGACCTTAAGACGGTTCTTCGTAGAGCTTCAAAATGCAAAAAGAAGAAATGGGAACAAGAGACCAAAAGTTTCAAGCAGGTAATTTATCGAAAACAACAATTTAACTGAAATCGGCTGTTCATCAGCTGATCAAAAGTTTAAGACCACAGCTCAAAAAAACCTAAACACCTCCAAAAACAGAAATTAAAGTGTCAAAAACTGACTCAGTAATGAGCAGCTCCACCATTATTACTTCAAAAATTTGTTTTGGCATGCTTGATACAAGTGTTTCCAAAAGGCTAGTGGGAATGTTGCTCCAATTGGTAAAGATGGCTTCACGGAGGGCATCCACTGTCTGGAACTGATGTCCATTTTTATAAATCTCCCTTGCCATCCATCCCCAAATGTTCTCAATTGGATTTAGATCAGGGGAACATGCAGGATGGTCCAAAAGAGTGATGCTATTCTCCTGGAGAAAGTTCTTGGTCAGACGGGCCTTGTGAATTGTAGCGTGGTCCTGCTGAAAAACCCAGTCATTGCCACACAGAAGAGGGCCCTCAGTCATGAGGAATGCCCGCTGCAACATCTCCACATAGCCAGCTGCTGTTTGACGCCCCTGTACAACCTGGAGCTCCACTGTTCCATTGAAGGAGAAAGCACCCCAGATCATGATGATGCCCCCTCCACTGTGCCGCATAGAAAACATCTCAGGTGGCATCTCCTTGTCATGCCAGTAGCGTTGGAAGCCATCAGGACCATCAAGGTAAAATTTTTTCTCATCAGAGAATAAAACTTTCTTCCACCTTCGAAGGTCCCATGTTTGGTGCTCCCTCGCAAAGCCCAAACGGGCAATTTTGTGACGTTGAAGGAGACGTGGCCTTTGAAGACGTTTTTTGTTTTTGAAGCCCTTCCTTCGCAGATGTCGTCTGATTGTTATTGGGCTGCAGTCAGCACCTGTAATGGCCTTAATTTGGGATGAGGATCGTCCCGCGTCTTGATGGACACACATTCGGATCCTCCGGCTCAGCGCTGGTGAGATTTTTTGGGGTCTACCACTTGATTTTTTTGTTCCATAACCCTCCGAATCTTTTAAGAAATGAAAAATAACGGTCTTACTGCATCCAACCTCAGCAGCGATGGCACGTTGTGAGAGGCCTTTTTTATGCAGCTCAACAATCCTACCACGTTCAAAAGCAGTGAGCTTTTTTGCCCTTGCCATCAAGAGATGTTGACAGTGTGACCCCTTGACAAGAAATGACATGGAATCCAAATTTTCGCACAGATTTGGGCTTTTAAAGGCTGTGGTCTTAAACTTTTGATCAGCTGATGAACAGCCTATTTCAGTTAAATTGTTGTTTTCAATAAATTACCTGCTCAAAAATTTTGGTCTCTTGTTCCCATTTCTTCTTTTTGCATTTTGAAGCTCTACAAAGAACCGTCTTAAGGTCCAACAGTGCTAAATATAAATTCTTGCAGTTTTTTAACTGGTCTTAAGATTTTGATCAAGAGTGTATTTCTTTTTGAACAATATCTGCAACTTCAGAGATTTGGAGTCGGGTACCACTTTTGCACGACTGAACAAAGCCTGTGGTACTTTAAGTAGGGTCATTTAGAGTATCTTCTTTTGTGTGTTCTTTAGGATATTGACAAAATAGTGTTTGGTAAATTTTGAACTAGTTTGCATTACAGAAAAAAATCTGTTGTACTTGAGGTGCTGTTTACAATATCTAGTTTATCACTGTGGTCTTGGAAGTGAGAAATTATTGTTGGCAACCAATTTACTGTCTTGCCATATGCATTACAGAATACCTCTTATACTTGAAGTACTCCTTCAAATTTAAACTTTATTTTTGTGTTTTTGAGGATGAGCAATTGTTGTTGACAACATCCTTAAAATTTTGCATAATAGAAAACATCCTGTTGTACTGTTTTTAAAATGTCAGCAATGTTATTTGTTTGTTTGCACTATTTTGCACCATAGAATGAGTTTTGAGATCTGCACAATAAATGTTCTAAAATATTCTGCATTATATCTGTTTGTTTTTATTGTTTTTTCTTTTTTTGATCAATTTAGCTTTGCTTAGAAATACTTTCATTATATTTTTACACTAAAGTTTATCGCTCAATATACAGTTACCATGAAGGGATTCAATTTATACCCTGATATGAATTTTAGGTCATATTGCCCAGCCCTACCGCTTACCTTCTCACACTCTGGATGAGCCTTCTTTAAGATGCACGTGTGCTGCTCTGATTCAAACAGAGGCTTCCTCATCACATACTGCCTGTCAGTCAAATACCTGGAGGTTGGAGCCATAGTTACACTCTTCTGGGACCTTCCTCCATCCTTTTCTCTTCCAAGGTCATCAGTCATTGGAGTTAAACACTGTTTGCTGTATTTGATCTCTGAGAGCTGCATCTTATACTGCTGGCTGCATCCATCTGCTTCCATTGGAAACAGGAGATATTTGAGGGTCCTGTCAACTGAAGAGGCAGAAAAAGATGAATATCAGGAAGTTCAAGATTTACATTTCAAAGCTTCCTTAAAAAGCAGATCATGGTTATCCAATTCATTGTACTTTGGACTTGACATTTTGCCTGAAACGCCAAGTCTAGGTGCCCTTCAATGTAAAGCGGAATTGGATCGGAATACAAACCTATTGTGCTTTCGCTGAACACTGAAAATAAAGGACCATGCATTACAGTAGCTTCTTGTCCCATATCATTGATATCAAACTCCTGGAAAAATACCTAACTCAGATTTTAGAATCAGATTAAAGCCTTAAATTAAAAACCAGTCTTTGTAATATGACTCAGAGACACATTCACACATTCAAGTAGTGCACCCCTAAGCGGGTTAGTGGGAGCAACATCTTTGCCCATTGTTGTGCAGGTATTAAATGATATGCTCACTCCTCACCTGACCGAACTCATTAAGACTGCATTTTTAGACCTGCTCATGCTCGCTGGACTGAACAGGAACAGCAACAAGGTGACCATTGCAGTGCTGTGGTCAGAGATGGAGACTCCACAATGACTAACATACATTAACAATAAGTGACTGAAGGGGAAATCAAATTTTAAGCAGTGAATGGGTTGTTTGATTTAGTACAATATGACTGCTTTGGACTACGCATTTGATGAAGAGGAGCACCTGGCACTGATATGAGCCACTTAAACAAACAGCCCTGAAAGCCACAGGAAATCTTTCAAGTGACTAAGTGATAATTCTTTCAACCAATCGACAGATTTTAGTGTCCTGCCCAATGCATTAGGGTTCTGGTACCACCACAGATGGGTGCCACAAAAGTAGACCGATACAGAATGGTTATTTTGGTTCTCTTTACAACAATTGTGTCTCCTATTGAACCGAACTGAGCCAGACTGCTGGCTGGGAACAAAGCTTTTCATATTAATCACTGTTCAGCGACATAGTTCAAACACGCAACTCAAGTACTGTCACATACGTATAGCACTACATTTTTAATTTAATTTATTCAACCTTAATTTAACCAGGAAGTCCTACTGAGACAGAGGTCACAGCCCCGCAGAGTCACAAAGCACACAAAAACTGTCACAAATAACACAGTCAACAGATTTAAAACACAATGGCCCTCATTTATCAAGCTTGCGTGAGGCAGAAAACTTACATACACCTTGCGTACGTAAGTTGCGACGTGAGGATCGGCACTTATCAATCTGCACGAGCTTACGCTACGACCAAATCTCATGACAGGTCTGACATTATGTACACAAGTTTGAGTCAGTGTAGATTTGTGGTGCAGCCAATGTCTGTCTCAAAATAATTGATAAACAAACCTCAAACCTGTCATTTAGCACAATCAGCCAGATTTCATTAAAGATTAAGACGTAAATAAAATAAAATAAATTTGTTATGTCCTTAGTGAATAGGCCTATTTGATAACTCTGCACAGAAACACTGCCACATAGCAGGAGCGCCATTTTAACATTGCACACACACGCGCCACTGTGGAGCGCTGCGTTTGACTCCTAAAAGGCAGGTAGCTCTGTCTTAGCCCAGCAGCAGGGATGTTGTTGTACAATGCTTTAAAGGGTGCAGGACATAATTTGGGCCAGTACAGTTTTGCACAATGTCACACTGGCGAATGCTGTGCTGTTGGCTGTGCCGGTACAACGCGAGGACCCGATGCCCGGAGTACAATAACGAGGAGAGACTCCACAAAGGTGCTGTGCAGAGGAGACAGGACCTAATCAATGGATTCTGACATGTAAAGTTTAAGTTTAGAAAGTGCTCTTCCTATTTAATCAGAGATACAAGTCCAATAAAAATCTATAAAAATGTGCCTAAGGGGCAGCAACACACTGTATGGTGATGATCTGCTCTACATTACAAAGACGCAACAAATTAAAACTAAATACTTTTAATAATAGGAGCAGCATAGCCTATGTCATGGCAATAGAAAAATATGAGGCATGTATGAGATATTAATTTATCATCATGAGCAACTTATTGACTAATGATTCATTTGAACTTCAGCCACTGTCCGCTACCAGCGGTAGTGCTGTTCACCACCACCATAATCCTGCTCCAGCCAGGAGTTTTCTGGACTGCTTTTATACCAGTTTTGATGCTTCCAAAGAGCAAATCCTTGTTAGTTTCCACCACAGATGTGAGGATATCCACTTTCATCTCGGAAAAGTTTCAAATCTTTCTAATATTTCTCCTCTTTCATGTTTGACCTCAGTGGGTGAGGCTTCCGAACCACAAATATTTAAGGGCGTGACATGTTAATGACGATCGATTTCAGCCGCCACATTTATGAAGACCCGATCATACGTACGCTGGGATTGGTCAGATACGAACCCTTTAATAAATCTCACGTGTGTCCTTTCGTACTATGAATCCTTCGCTCAGATCTGCACTCAGTTCTACGCAAGATTGATAAATGAGGGCCATTAAGCTTTTGAGATGGCGACCAGAGGTGGCCCCTAAACAAGTGTTGTGCTAAACACTGTGGAGGACGTTACATCTGCCACACTCTCAAATTAGTATAGATGGATTTGTTGTGTGACAGTCGGGCCCACAGGTAAGGAAACATCCTTTTCCACATATAAAGATACTTACATCAAGTTGCATATATAATATTTCCCACTCCAACCTTATTTTTACTACCTAAAGTGTTTTCAGTGGTCTTTAAATCATGATTATGAAGTTTTTAGCCAAAATCCTGTTACCTGTAATTTTAAAGGGGTAATGAGCTCAAGTAGCTCATTAGCAATTCAACTCTGAGTCGTGGGTGGAGAAAATGCTGTTCTGCACCCTCCACTTTATGTGAGTTTGCAGCCTAACATTGCCGGTGTAGTAGAAGTGGCAGGTAATATAGGAGCTATTTAGCTCTAAGATAGTAATTAGTGATGCACGATATGAAAAATTTCAACCAATACCGATAACCGATAATTTTCTTCTTCTCATGGCCGATACCGATAACCGATAAATTCATATTTTTACATTTATTATAATCTTCATATAATCTGCAGTTTGTGCAGGATGCAGCGATTGAAAACTGATATTTTTGTTGCTCTGGCCTATCTAGAACAACAAACAAAAGTTTTTGGCTCTTCAAATGTGGTCATTTGCTATAAATAACAATAACAGAGCAAAAAGCAGAACTTCATTTGATCCCCTGAGCTGTTCAACAGAACTGTAAATTGTAAAGGAGCCATTATGAGCCGTTAGGCTTAGCATGCTGACCGGACTAACATCTGACGTCCATATGTCTGTGGTAAAACTCACGTGTAGTCCGTTCTTGTCGATCAGGTTGTGAATGTATGTGGCGACAATATCATAGAGTGCAGGAAGAGACACATCCGAGAAGAAGTGGCGGCTTGGGAGAGTGTAACGTGGCTCCAAGCTTTGCAGTTTTTAAACGCCTGCTGAATGGGGACATCGATCCTCCGTAGTGTTGTTGTCTTAGCTTTAGTACCGCTAGCAGCTTCGGCGGCTGTCTCATATTCTTTTAATACCGCTTCGCCGCGATGGCGACTTTTCAGATGAGCTATCAGATTCGTTGTGTTAAAACTTGACGTCTTCTTTCCTCCTCTTGAAATCCTCGCTGAACAGGTTTTGCATATAGCAATGCTGTTGTCATCTTCTGCCACTGAGAGAAACGACCATGCTGGTGAAGACATTTTATTATCTGTCAGGCAGTGACGGGGTCAGGCTTGGGACCTGCGAGTAAGGCTTGATAGACGACGTGACCAGCGCGTCTCGGACGGGCGGCTACTCCGCCTGCAAACGTTACTCGTAATTTCATTAATATATCGGATCTTTCTATCGGAAAAATGCACCTATCGGACCCATAAAAAATGACGTAATTTCCCCCCAAATCGGCCGATATTTTATCTGTCCGATAAATATCGTGCATCCCTAATAGTAATGTCTTGGGGGGCATGATGAAAGTTAATATCATAATTAGCTTTCTTAGGAGCATTGCAATCTGCTACCGCACACACTTGTTCCACAATCATCTGCTCTACTTCTCTGAGTCTGGTCTGCAGGGTGGGGCTCTGGGGGCGGAGCTTGCAGTTGTGACGTAGGAAATCCAACTGTGTGAACCTGCCGTTTGGGTCTGTTGGAGATTCATCACAATTTGAATGCAGAAACACTCAGAAATGCAACTTTTCACAAGGGCTGAACGATTAATTGCATTTGCAATTACATTGCGATATGATAAAGCGCGAAGTTCTAACCGCAAAGACGGCACTGTTGACTGGTCACATCACATCACCTATGAGCCAGTGGAGCAAAGCAAAGCAGGTAGGGAGAGAAGTCAACACTGCGCTCTGTTGCACTATGGGCTAATGCTCGACAGAAGCTGACACTGAAGAAAGTTGAGTTCCAAAGAGGGGCAGCATGGCAATTGTGTGGATTTATTTTAGCTAAAAAAGTTGCTGCTGTGCAATGTGTGCAGAACCTGCTACTGTTGCTACCTCAGGAAGTAACACTACAAACCTTTATCAACACTTTAAAAAACTAGGGCTGCAACGATTAGTCGACATAATCGATTACGTCGACACGACAAATTCATCGACACGAAAACGAAGCGTCAACGCGTCGTGTTATTGTTGTTAAGAATCACATGCCGGCGCCTCATGCTCATCTATAACTGCAGTGCACTACAGGATGTGCTGGGGGCAGTAGCGCTCGCTGTTTACATCCCGCGAGCAAACACAGAAGAAGAGTGCACACGTTATGGCAGAACAAACTGAAAAAGACGCTCCAAAACTCCGACCCAAAACTTCAGAAGTTTGGGAACATTTTACCCGGAACAAACCAAAAAAACACGTCGATCAAAGCTCAGCTTTCCTACCATGGCAGCACCGCGGCGATGCATGAGCCCCTGAAACGCAGACACCCCGCAAATAGGTGTTTATCAATAAAGAAGATAGTGATTAATCGTGATTAATCGGACGACTAGTCGGACGACTAGTCGACAAAAAAATAATCGTTAGTTGCAGCACTAAAAAAAACACCACAAAGCTATGATAGTTGAATGGCTAAAACACCAGTCTAAGCGCTTCAAACCACATCTGCATAATGACGGACAATGAATCCAATTCGGAGATGACAGCACAGCTGAATGAGAAGTCCAGACTCAAGTGTTTTGGGCACTGATTACATCTCGCCATTGGTACAGAAAGTAGTATCATGGTGACCCATCCCTCTGTGCCAGTTTCAGACCCATCTCAAATCTTCCATATCTGTCCAAGATTCTAGAGAAGGTGGTCTACAATCAATTGTTACCATTTTTGGAAGATAATGGTATCACAGAGTTGTTCCAGTCTGGTTTTAAAGCTCTCCACAGCACAGAGTCAGCACTTTTAAAGGTTTCAAACGATATTCTAATGACAACAGACTCTGGAAAGTTTGTTGTCCTTGTGCTCCTAGATCTGTCTGCTGCATTTGACACTGTTGACCACAGCATTTTAATCTCTCGCCTTGATCACTGTGTGGGCATTAAGGGTGTTGCCCTGGACTGGTTCCGGTCTTATTTAAGGGACAGAAGTTTCTGCGTTAAACTTGACAACTCTGTGTCGTCAACAGCTCCCCTCCCACATGGGGTCCCCCAAGGCTCAATCCTTGGCCCTCTTTTATTTGCCTTTTATTTACTCCCCCTTGGTTCTGTTTTTAGGAAACATGGCATCTCCTTTCATTTTTACGCTGATGATTGTCAGATCTATTTTCCACTTGCACAGAACAACTCCAACTCAGTCCAGCAACTCACTGACTGTCTTAAGGACATTAAAGCCTGGCTTTCTTTTAACCTCCTCAGTCTTAATGAGAACAAGAATGAAGTAATGTTGTTTGGACCAAGTGGCGGCCACCCCCCCAACATCGACCTAGGCTCCCTCTCACCCTACCTTAAAGAGGTCGTCACTAACCTGGGAGTTAAGTTTGACCCTGATTTTAAATTTGAGAAGCAGATCAGCGGGGTGGTACAAAAAAGTTTTTATCAGCTACGTCAAATAGCGAAGGTGAAGCCCATTTTATCAAGACCTGACCTGGAAAAATTAACTACCCGTCTTGACTACTGTAACTCTCTGTATGTAGGGATTAGCCAGGCTTCCCTTGCCCGCCTGCAGCTTGTGCAGAACTCTGCTGCACGTCTCCTCACCCAGACCTGCAGGCGTGAGCACATCACCCCCATCCTGGCGTCCTTACACTGGCTCCCTGTACAGTACAGAATTCATTTTAAGCTTTTAATATTTGTTTTTAAAAGTCTGAACAATCTTGCTCCACCTTACATTTCTGAAATGCTCCAGCCTTACTGCCCACCCCGACCCTTAAGATCAGCCGATCAGCTGCTACTGACGGTCCCATATACAAGGCTGAAGCTCAGAGGGGACAGAGCGTTTGCTGCTGCTGCCCCGAAGCTCTGGAATGAGTTGCCCTTGAATATCAGACAGGCCTCCTCATTTGCTGTTTTTAAATCCCTTTTAAAAACACACTTTTACTCCTTGGCTTTTGATACTTTTTAGTGTTACTTTGTTTTTTATCATTTTAGCACCTGCCGTGAGCCTGCTTATTTATTTACTTATTTATCCCCTTGCATTAATGTATTTCTGCTCACTTTATCTTGCTCTTTGTGTTATTTGTTTTTATGTATCATTGTACAGCACTTTGGCTACCCTTGTGGTTATTTTAAAATGTGCTATAGAAATAAAGTTGATTGATTGATTGATTGTAGGACTGGGAGATTATATGAACGTGATTGATGATCGTGATAAATTTCATTTCGATCACGGTGATCAGCTGTGAGCATATTTACTCGATCAAACATAGCGGAAATGTGCGTCACAACAGCCAATCAAAGTCGAGCTTTTCCTGCTCACTTCTGTAAGGTACCGGAGAAGTAAACAGGAGAAATTAACAGAATCACCAAACATGAAGCCAAACGCGGAGCTAAGGGCAGCAAAATGGATGTCAGCCATGAATTTGAGTCATCCTCAGAAGATGTTATTGTTGAGATGTTATTCAACGTCTCTCCAAAGTGACGTCGAGCAATTAAGCCGATAAACCGGACATAACAAATCAGTTTAATCATTTGAAGAAGTACTTCCCGAGTATGCGGGAAGTATGAAAATGCGAGCGGAGTCTGTACAGCCTGTCACTGCTGACGGCACGAGTGGCATTAGCAGTTTAGCTACAACTAGCGGTGCAGCCACCAGACCAAAGCAGCAATCAATCATATCCATACCTGCCAACACTCCCGCTTTCCCGGGACTCTCCCGTATTTCAGATCAATCACCCGCCCACCCCACGTATTGTAATTTCTCCCGGGAGTTTCTCATAGCATGGTCCGCATTCATTCATGAATCGGATCACTATAGTTGTCTAAAGTTTCCAGGTTTCCAGACAACCGGAGATAGTCCTGTATTTCTGCTATGCCTCACAGACACTGGATTGACACTTTTACTTTAAAATTTGGGATGATTCAGGTCGTTTTCAGCTGTAAACTATATTTAAGCAGTGTTTGTTGAAAAATGAACATTTCGATGAAAGAAAACAAACGAGATATGCGAGAGTGATGTGTTCAGGGCAGCCTCGGATAAAAGAGTGCTGTATTTCATGCACAGATGTTTAAAGAGCCTTATAGGGGAGAGAAATATGAGGAGTTTAACTCTAATATTAGTGGGCTAAATAAGTTAAAGGCATATCGTAGCTATTATTTTTTTATTACCATTTGTCATTATTAAAACAAAACAAAAAAGTGTGCAGCTTCACTTATACTTATTTGGATGAGCAATTTAATTACATATACTCTCATAATTAGCTCGTATCCACGATACGAAGTCACCCTGAAACTGCCCATCGTGCACCGCAAACAACTCCTGGATTTTATAACCCAAATGTTGGCAGGTATGCATATCATCAACGTTTACATTTAAATGTTTAATGTTTACATTTTAAGACGTTTTCATTATCTCTGAGGGGGCAATTTGTTTATTTTGGGTCTTGCATACCTGCGAAAACACTCAGGACTGTAAACTAATAATTCACTGTATTTATCTACGTTTGTTGTACTGTTGAGTTAAAATGTTTTTTATATTTTTTTCAGTGTATCTTATTCAATTTGCTTTATTTACTTCGTATTTTAATAAAATGTTGAACTAATCTAACAGATGCTTTAAAACTGGCAGTTTAAAAAAATCGTGATCATTTTTTTTGCCAAATCGCCCAGGCATATCATGACGTATATGAGGGTGCACGCATAAGAGAGTGCGTGATTGTGTGCAAGCAGAGAGAGCCTATGTGAGTGTGTCTGTGTGACCGCGAACGTGTATGAGTGTGTGAGGGAGAGCGAATGTAAGAGTTGAAGGGGGGGGGGGGGGGAGTATTATAATAACAATAATAATAATAATTATTATTATTATAATAACACACACACACATATATAAATATCAGTGGCGATTGCTCTAAGACTGCAAGGGAAGCTCGGCTTCCCTTAAAATGTCACCCCTCAAAAAAAAGAAAAAGTGGTGAAATACGTACTGCTGTGTGTACATTTCATTAACTAAATACGCACTAGAAAGCCTTCATCTTTTGTTCAGACACTGTGATAAGAAGCTGATAATCACAGGTAACCGGCATAACTTCGTTCTCATTCATCCTCGCAGCGCCTCAGCGCTTTAAACAGCCGGACGCTGGGCTTCTGCTGACTTCAATGTGGAAGCTTAAAGTGGGTTGTTCCAGCAGCGAAACTAGACGCTCATTGGATAAATGCTGGGCTTTGTCCCACCCAATGGAAGCCCAGCTTCACTGGAGTTCTATGGCGAGAGGGCGGTCCCGACTTTCTCCCGGACTCCAAGCTTCTGCATCCATGATTGGATGAGCTGTCTGAGGCGAAATCCTTTTTTGATTGACAGCTAAACAAGCGAATCAGCGATCTTGAAGAATAAAACATCTACCAGAGCATTTTCCAAGTTATTCATTCCGTTGTTCTTAACTGCTCTGGAGACCTTACCGATCCTCAGCGACTCTTGTCTTTGTTAAAAATGACTGCCGTTGTGTTTGGCGACTCTGTTCTGTTACATACTAATAAACAAATACAATTATGATGTAGGCCAGAAAAATGAGCTTCCCCTCCTTGAAAGACCAGCAGCCGCCACTGATATATATATACATATATATATACATAATAACAATAATAATAATAGTGATAATAACTTCATTTTTATAGCTTTATTCAAATAGCAGGGCGTTTCAAATCAAAGAGCCCTGACGGAAAAGATGGGTGAAGAAATTTAGCATCAAATTAACTTTCTTCTGTAGTTTTACTGGTTGCTTGGCAGAAAATGCGATTACAACATTAGACAACTGAATAAATTTGTGATTTTTTAAAATTGATTTTCCACACACACACGCGCTCTTGCACTAGTGGTCATTTATCGAATATCGATCACCGTTTAATCAAAACAGTTTTCAGCCTGCTGCACTAACCCTGAATCAACGTACAAAGCTGTCACCTACCGACCACTCCGTGCAGGACGGTCCTTAGCTTACAGCTGCAGCAGCTCTGTTGTGCTATGACTCGACAGACCCGGACTGAGGCGCCTGCTTCCTCCACAGTGTCAGGCCCCAATTTAATGGTACTCCTTATATCCACTGGTAAACGCAAGGGGAGAGCAGATGTAGATGTACAGACGTGATAAGATAAGGTTTCTCAGCCAAAAACGGCAATTCTCTTGTCCGGAAGGTCTTAAGGTTTTTTTCTTTGGTCTGTCTCGGGGCTGTAATAAACCAATGAACCGGTTTCCGTGTTTAATAATCTATTAACAATTAATATCCTACAAAAAAATGAGTAAACTTTGATTCCGTGAACCTCTACAATTTCGGACCGTTCTTCCTTTCCCATTCCATCCTCCTCCTGCTACTTCGCCTTCTTTTATTATTTCCGGCAGTTTTTCTTCTTCTTTCGTTTAATGGCGGATCGCAAGCGACGTTCAAGTGCATACCGCCACCTACCGTACAAGAGTGTGTAGCGTCATGTCTCATGGCTCTTTCCTCTACCCCCCTCTGATCCAAGAATTCAAGCCAGACTCAAGTCCCACTGAGCTGCTTTAACTTTTCCCTGTAGTCTCTCTCACTCTGATACATACTTAACACAATGCATGTTCCACATTTTCTTTCACACCCCATTTCTCACACTTTTCAGTATTCTTTTCCCCTATTACATTCATTTTATTGTTCACACCAGTATGGCCAGCTCTAAGCCTCATCAATAGGATTTTTTCTCTTCTATTTCTTTCTTTAAAGATTTTTGTTAAGACAGATTTTTGTATGTTGTAATATTTCCTTCCTTTCTGATCATCTTCCCATCTTTTCTGCCAAATTTCCATGCCTCTTGCCCTTATCATTGTTTTACCCCCTCCTTTTCCATGAGGCATTGTGACTGTTATATTATTTTCCAGAGCCCTTTTTGCAAGATTATCAGCCACCTCATTTCCCTTCACCCTTATGTGAGCTGGCACCCAGCAGAACCATACATCAATACCATCCTGTGAAGTCTGAACAGACTGTGCTGTATTGCAATTGACAAGTCCTCCCTGAGAATGTTTGTTGACTGTAGACTGTTTAAAATAGAACTAAATCTGCGCTAATTTAAATTTATACTGATGCACTCCTTCTGGACATGTTCGCTATTACTTTTAACCTTTCTACCATTTATACTTTTTGCAATATTTCACTTTTTCTGCAAAATTGGTACCATAAGAAATGAATGGAGAAATCTGGCCATTCCGCCTACAGCACTACCGACTTCTCACCCTTATAATTTACACATACTTTCACCTACAGACTCCATTTTTACTTTAAAATGGTCACTGTCTTATCTGCTACAAATGTCGATAGTACTTGTTTGTACCATCTCCTACCGTTTTTGCACAATTCACCTTTATGTACCATGAGGTTTTCTGCCCTTTTCAGCCTTTACAATGAGTGTTTATTGGAATCGCTAGGGTGGGTGACATCATCACTAGAGCGGGGAGAATGTTTTGGATTTACTAGACTAAGCGTAATTATTTTGCTCCCAGGGCCACAATTTTCACTCCACAGACACAAAAAATACACCAAAATGGAGGTACACTAGTCATGCTTCTCACAAAATAGGTCTCAGGTCATCAAATTGTAACACTCAACCAGTAGGTAAGTATATTCCTTAGGAGTGCAAACATTCTGCCCATTAATTCCCATGTTAAATTTAGGCCAATAAACCCTAACAATCACTATAGCGAAGCCATTTTTTAACTCGCTGTTGTCTTTCTGTCCTGTAGCGGAGAGAGAGGAGCCATCCACCACCATTGGCCCTTTGCTCCATTAAGGTGTTGTGAAGTGGGTGATCCATGTTCTTGAGAATAGTCTCCACCTTCCCCAGTTTAGATCTCTCCAGCACATCCTCCACTGAGTCCAGCTTGGATCCAACCACAGAGCCAGCCTTTTTCACCAGTTTGTTAAGATGTCTTGCATCTTTGTGTTGGATGCTTCCTCCCCAACAGACTGCAGCTTAGAACAGAACACTTGCCACCACAGACTGATAAAACATCTGCAGCATCTTACTACCTATGTCTATTGATCGGAGTCTTCTCAGGCAAAAGAGGTGGCTCTGCCCCTTTCTGTAGATGCCGTCTATAGTCTTAGACCAGTCCAACTTATTATCCATATGTATACCTAGATATTTATATGATGTCATCACTTCAATGTCCACTCCACAGGTGTTCACTGGCTGAAGAGGGGGTTTGGCTCTGCAGAAGTCTATGATCATCTCCTTTGTTTTTGGGGTGTTGAGGAAGAGGCAGTTTTTGTGACTCCAGTCACTGAAGGCTCTTATCAGATCTCTGTATTCAGCTTCTTGTCTATTTCTGATACATGTCATGATAGCAGTGTCATCTGAGTATTTCTGGATGTGGCAGGACTCACTGCTGTATTTGAAGTCTGACATATACAGTGTCAACAGGAATGGCACCAGCAATGTCCCTTGTGGAGCCCCTGTACTGCTCATTAATGTCCCAGAAACACAGTTTACCAGCCTGACAAACTGTGGCCTTCCTGTCAGGTAATCTGTGATCCAGGAAACACAGGATAGATCCATTCCCATCTCTGTGAGCTTGCCTTTGAGTATGGTGGGTTGGATGGTGCTGAATGCACTTGAAAAGTCGAAGAACATGATCCTCACATGAACCCCAGGTTCCTCCAGATGAGACAGGGCACGGTGCAGCATGTAGAGGACAGCATCATCCACTCCAATGTGTTCTGTTTATGCAAACTGCAGGAAATTCAGTTTGTCTTTGACCTCAGACCTCAGAAGGCGTAGAACCAGCCACTCCAGGGTTTACATGATGTGTCAAGTGAGGGCCACTGGTCTGTAGTCATTGAATTCAGCTGGACATTTTGTTTTTGGTACTGGCACAATGGAGGATGTTTTCCACAGAGTAGGTACCCGCCCCCAGCTGTAGACTGAGGTTGAAGATCCTGTGGAGAGGTTGACACAGTTCTGCAGCACAGTCTCTAAGCAGCCTTGGACACACACCATCTGGACCAGCTGCCTTCCCAGGACAAAGTCTTCCAAGCTCCATCCTTACCCTTGTCTCTGTGACAGACAAGGACTGGTGTTCTAGGAGGGTGGTATTTGAAGTGGTTGAGACATTTGAAAAAGATGGAGGAGGAAGGGGAGAAGTTGTAGTGAAGATTTGTTGCTGAGAGGAAGGTGGAGTAGCAGTGGATGTGAGTGTGACAGCAGTGTCAAATCTGTTGACGAACAGGTTGAGTTCATCAGCTCTTTCCAGATCACCCTCCACTGGCTGTCTTTTCTTTTTATTGCTGTGTCCAGAGATGGTACAGATTCCTTTCCACACTTCACGGATGTTGCTGTGTTGTAGATTCCTCTCTATCTTCTTTTTGTATTACAGCTTTGCCATCTTCAGTCTCCTCTTCAACTCTTGTTGCACTTGTGAAAGGAAGGACTCGGAATTAGATAAGTAAGGTTAACTGTACATTTTCTTTTGTAGTCAAAAGTGAAGAATTCTGTCCAGAATTCTGACACTCCAGCCTGTCTAGGCTTTGGACTCTGTTAGGCTGTAGATTGGGAATGGATGGACTCACAATTAAATAAGTAAGGTCGACTTAAGATTACTATTTTAGAGTCAGAAGTGGAGAATTCCGTCTAGAATTCCGACACTCCAGCCTGTCTAGGCTTTGGATTCTGTTAAAGGGTTTAACGCTGTAAATGGATGAATTCTGAATTAAATAATTAAGGTTAACTTTAAATGATTATGCTAGAGTCAAACGTGGGGAATTCCGTCTAAAATTCCAATCATGAACCAACAAGACACTACAGTGATTGTTATGTCAAAGTAAAATGTGGATGAAATTGTGTAGAACTGAAATACCCTGGTTTATCCAAGTTTTTAGTGTTGTCAATCTCTAATAATGCAAGTGGATGAAGTAGGAACTATACCAAGAGAGATTGCATAAGAAAAACTAACTATTTAATAAAAAAGGAAAATAAAAAGAAATAAAGAATGAATCATTGAGTAAGAAGACTAGAATAAAAACTGGAGAGAAGTAAAGTAAAAAAAGTAAAAAATGAAAAATCCGAAAGGGAAAGTACAAATTAAAAATTAAACAGAAGAAGATCCTAAACTCAAAGGGTTAAAGGGTGTTCTAAAGTGATAAAAAGTAATAAAGTAAACAAGTGTTATGTTAGAGTTAAAGGTTTATTATTAGTATTAGGGTTAGGGTTACTCTTAAGGTTAAAATCACTGTCCAAACCCTTTTTACGAGCACATTTCAGACCATTTGGAGTCAATTGGTACAAAAAATTAGGAAAAATGTCAAATGTTTTTGTAAGTGTTAGGTTTATGTTGGGGTAAAATTGGGGTATTAGGGTTAGGGTTGGGGTTAGGGCAGGGGCGGACTTGGACCACAATTTAGGCCAGGAGTTTGACTCCATCCAGGCCAGGCCAATACACATTTAAATGCTGGCACTGGTGAAAAGTTTTGGACATTTGAAGCCAGATTTAGTGTATATAATGCTAATGTGAAGAATTCAACATTGGCTACATAACTGCAAATTTAATATGAAGTAATTTGACAGGTGCTTTATAGCCCACTCAACTAGATTTTACAGAAGGATACTCGTCATGGTTGTAAAAACTCCATATTAGTCATGCCTTTAACTATTTGTTTACTCATTTAAACTAAGAATGTAGCCTACCACATTGCTGTTGTATTATAATAAAATGTTGAAAGCTTGTCAGAAAAAGTTCTCAAGAGACATAAAACTTGGATTAGCACGCACCACTAGCATTGTAGCCGTCTCGGTGTCAGTCGGTGACCTTATTAAACTCAAAACAATCACATCTTAGAGCAACAACATGAAAAACACAGACATTGCCTCAGGGGGAGGAGGAGAGAGAAACATGATCAGCTCGGGAGCGGACAACAACACTTGATCAGCGCATCTGCGGCCAATCACCCCACAGCTCTACTTCCAGTCGCACCGGCTACGTGTTGCCACAGCAACGGACATAAATCAGTTCAACCCTTTTATTGCTGGCCTGGCCTGCTTCCAAGTTCCGTGGTCTGCCTCCGTCACACGCATACACACATTTTTTTGTTTGTTTGTTTGTTTGTTTTTCCCAGTGGCCTGGCGGAATCAGCTGGGTGATCCCGATGGTCCAGTCCACCACTGCTGGCAGGTACCATTAACCCCAAGAGCAAAGGAGAGCTGTAGTTTTGTCACACCGAAGGGGTTGTTTTCATATAATGTCGTGCCATTTGGCTTGCAGAATGCCCCGGCCACATTCCAAAGACTAATGAACAAGGTTCTGCATGGACTTTCAGGGTGCACTGCATATTTGGATGATGTTGTGGTGTACAGTGATTCTTGGGATGATCATGTGCAGCGTATCAAGGCCCTGTTTGGTCGGTTGTTTGAGGGAGGCTAACCTGACAGTAAACTTATCAAAATGTGAATTTGCTAAGGCTAGGGTGACATATTTTGGCAAAGTTGTGGGGCAAGGAGAGGTGCGGCCTGAGGGAGCTAAAGCTGAAGCTATTGATAACTACCCAAAGACAAAAAAAAGAGTTGGAGAGGTTTTGGGGTTTGGTGGGGCACTACAGAGGATTTTTTCAGAACTTTCCCACTGTGGTAGCCCCACTGACAAACCTTTTGAGTAAAAAGACTGCCTTTGAGTGGTCTCCTCAATGTCAAAAATCATTTGTTACAGTGAAAAACCTTCTCTGTTGTTCTCCTGTCCTTGCAGTTCCAAACTTTCAAAAACAATTTTAGATTCAGGTGGACGCAAGTGGCGTTGGTACAGGAGCTGTGTTGTTACAGGACAGGGGGGCATTGATCTTCCTTTAATTTTCCTTGTTGTGGCCTATACCACCTGGCCATAACACTTCACCCCCTCCAGGTTTAGTCTTCTAACCCTGGCCTGGGAATGTAAAAATGAGAAAACTCACTCCAATCGTATATTTAGAAATGGTTTTCATCATATTATGTCTGTGAAACTATCACATTAGTCATGCATACCTGATCATCTGCCAGTCTCTGAGCTTGATGCTCTCCACATGGGTAAGATCCCCTAGTGCCACATCATAGAGACCCTGGTCTCTTTGTTGACCTCTCTCCCGGTTTCTGCCTCTGCCATGGCCCCGAGCTGAGACTTTTCTGTCCTGCTTGTGGTGGCCAGCCTCTGGGACCTTCTCTACCTCACCTTGCTGTGACTGGGCCAGGGGTGTTTTCATCCTCACGGTCAGTGCTATCTTCCTGAAAAAAGGCACCAGAGTTGTATTGTTTTTAATTTGCCACAGTCTGCTTTTGTAAGCCTGTATACAGGAAAGATAGCTGCTGTGGCTAATTCTAAAGTCGGTAGAAAGAGCTAACACCTATTAGCTCAGCGGGTATGCAGTAATGTAACGATTTGAATTCATAATAAATGTGCTAAAATAATTTTGACATTTATGAACTCGTTGGGCACCACCAACCTTTTTCTGATGAGAAAGGACAAAAACAAAGTTTAATTGAGTAATCAAACATTGAATCAGTCTTAAACAGATTTAAATACATCTCACGTCTCAGCCGAAATTCTCATTTCAGGGACTCCAGTTCTAGAAGAACACTAACAGACAATAACTTAGAAAAATAAATGATCGGTTTATTACAGGATTACAACATCCATGCAATAAATGAGGATAAGATGAATATAGATAATAAAAGATGAATGAAAGATTCTGAGTCAGGCTAAGACTACTAAAGTTAATGATAGTGAGTGAATATGCTCAAACATTTTAACCTACACTAGCTTTGGTGAAAAGATAAATTTAGATGTGGTTAACTGAATTGAATGCATGAAACAGCATCATCCCTGTTTGGAGCTCTGGAGGTTTGGATACTTAAGTGAGGCTGGTCCCTGAAAAGGATGGAGCAGGTTCCGAAGGTCTGGGCTACCGGTTCGAGAGGTTCAGCTCTGAAGAGGACCAAATTCAGATGAAGGACAGGCCAGGGTTCACAGCACACAGGCCTGAATGCAAAAACCAGTGCCTTATGTATCCTTTTTGATGCTCCTTTGGTCTCACTGCAAAACTCTGGCTCAGAGGATGACTTTGGGCCTGCTGGGTGGCGTTCAGTTGAAACGCCAGTTCAGGCTCAGGCTCGATGACCAGTTGAAACTATTTAAAAAATGGCTTGCGAAATCAAAAAAAAAACAATTAAAAGCTTAATCTTGAATTGCTATGCGCACAAAAAGTTAAAGTTTCACAACTTGAACTAAGACGATGTTAAAGAAAAATCAAACAATGTGAATGAACACGTGGCAGAAAACTTAAAAGACAAAGGAGAAAACAAGACAAAGAGAAAACAAGATAAGAGGGAAAAAGGGGAAAACAAGAGTGTGAAAAGCAAAAGGCAAGAGGGTGAGCACCCGGCTTAACTGGTTTTATACTCTTCAGACTGGGAGTGTCTCTAAGGTGTAAGGAGAGAAAGGAGGGGGTCCTGATCCCCAGCTGCAGCTTCCTGAGAGGAGATTTTCAAGAGCCCTGATTGTTTGATCCAACTTATACTTTGGTTAGTAAAGGAGTCAGATTGAACATTCACTCACTATAATTAATGTTAAGGAATGGTTGGTTCATAATAAAGGATTTGATGCTAAACAGATATAAAGAATTGTAGAATCACATTAATGAACATTCTCATTTTGCTTTGAGTATCACTTTCAAAGAACACTGATCATGCTAAATTACTCTGAAATGAAACAGATAGTAACACATATTAACTGTGAACAACACAAGGGTAAACACATGTAAATGAACTTCATAACAATTCATAATGGATTCTACAGACCAGCATTCAGATTAATAACTAACTACCTAATGGTTAATAAAGCTAAACAAATGATTAAGAGATAAACTAAATATTTCTACACTTTCCTAATAGAATAAGGTTGTAATTCAAACATTACAAACATAACCTCAGCTCTTAAAAATTCATGAAACAGTTCAGAAAGCTGTTGATCTCAAGGAACTTTAAGACTTAAGGATTTATTCTGTCAGTATAAGATCTTGGCTTATGAACATGATAGACAAATGGGACACAGACTGTTTCACTGCAAATGTTGAGTACTGAACAGAAGATCATGAGTGTCAATCCAATCTGTAATTGGACTAGTTGTAGTTATTTTCTTTGGATTGTACTCACAGAGAGCACAGGGAAGATCAACCAAATTTAGGATTTATGGCTGAGCTGATAAACCTGGCGCTTTCCAGCCAAGGTGTGATGACAGATGTCTATCTGATTGAGTGGTCCTGCAGTTCTTTCCTGCTGGCCATAAACAATGTCTTTGTCTCTTTGAAGTAGAAAAGATAGAAGGTTTGTCCTTTTGGGAAGGCTTCTTTGGTTATCTTGTATAGAGACAGGATTTTGTAGAAGGATTGTGATTTGGTGTTAAAGGTCATCATCATCTTGTCTCCAGTGAGCAGATGTAAGCCTTACATTCTTTTGGGGGGTTGGGATGTGAAAGTGGTCGGCTCTGTTACAGTAAGCTAGCTGGGCTCCGTTTTCCATCAATTTGGCAAATTATACTTCATAATAACACAGCATGTAATAACCGTGAGTTTTATGTAAAGGTAAAAAGTTGACTTTAGTATCATTGAAAGTTGCTCACCTCAGAATCAGACATGATCGAAGTCCTCAGTTAGTCTGCTAGTAAATTGCCTGGGAATCGGAACGATTGGAGTCAGCACGAGCTGTGGGCAGGGCTTGCTGGAGCAGAGAGGGAGGGGAGAGGAGGAGCTGAGGGGAAAACTGGTGGGAAGGGGTAGCGTTTACATTCAAAAAATTTTCCCAAAACTGGCGTTTACTCAGACCCTGCCTACCTCACCTTCAAGTGTCTTATGTTTTGTTTCTAGACCATAGACTGTATATAGAATGGACAGAGTCTGCCTCCTCGCAGGGTGAAGCCACTCCGAGAACAGTACCCTCTGTTGAGCAAAGCTTATGGGGCTGTGGACAAACTTTAGAAATTTATTACACAGAACATAATTTTTTCTCCCCCTTGCTTGTGATGTTGACATTGTAGCAATCAAGACAACCCTGTCTAATCATGAAATTTGTGTTAAAATGAGGTGTCTCCCGTTTTTCTATGTGCTCCAGAAGCCAAGTTATCACTCTGACAGAATAAATCCTTTATTCTTTAGTTTTTTTAGACCAACAGCTTTTCAGACTGTTTCATGAACTTTAAGAGTTAAATTTATAGACTGTGACTCATAACTTTACTCTAAGTAACAGAAATGGTTTAGAAATGTTTGGTTTACATTTTAGTTGTTTATTTAGTATTTTAACCATTAGGTGGTTATAATATCAGTGAATAATCTGAATGTAAGTATTTAGAATCCATTATTAATCATGATGACGTTCATTCACGTGTTTACTCTTTTGTTGTTCACAGTTTCTATGTGTTACTATCTGTTTCATTTCAGAGTAATTTAGCATGTTCAATGTGATACTTTAAACGTAATGAGAATGTTTGATGTGATCCTACATTTCATTCATATGTGTTTAGTATCAAATCATTTATCATGAAACCAAGTATTCAATGATATTAATCATGGTGAGTGAGTATCAAATCTGACTCTTTTACCAGCCAAAAGTATAAGTTAGATCAAATGATTAGAGATCCAAGAGGTCTCTTCTTTCTCCTCACACACACGCCAGAGACACTCCCAGTGTGAGAAGATAAAACCAGTGGAGTGGGGTTGCTCACTCTCTTGTGCCGCTCTCTTCTCCGCTTTCGCTCTTCTTGCCCTTACACTCTCTTCTATTATTGCTCTTACTACTTAGTCTTACTTTTTCGTAGTCTACCAAGTTTTACGCCACGTGTTGATTCACGTTGATTTTTCTTTAACATCGTCTTAGTTCAAGTTTTGAAACTTCAACTTTTGTGCGCATAGCAATTCAAGATTAAGCCTTTGATTGATTTTTCTTTAATTTCGCGAAGCCATTTTTGAAAGTTTTCTCTGCTCGAGTCTCGTTTTTCTGAGTTATCTGCGTGATTTCAAAGTCACCTCTGAACGCAACCCAGCAGGCCCAGGTCATCCTCTGTGCCAGAGTTTTTGAGTGAGACCAAAGAAGCGTCCAAACGAGCATCCACAGGATCCACAGGCGCCGGCTTTACTTCAGGCCCGAGTGCTACAACTCCTGGCCCATCTTTCGGCTGACTTCAGTCGTCTTCTGAGCTGAACCGCTCGAACCACCGGTAGCCCCAGAGCTTCGGAACCTGCTCCATCTTCTCCAAGGACCAGTCTCACTTAAGTATGCAAACCTCCAGAGCACCAAAGAGGGCTGATGCTGTCTCATGCGTTCATAACTCAGATATCCACTTATTCTGGTAATCTTAGATTCCTCCAAATCCACATCCGAGTTTATCTCGACACCAAAGTTAGTGTAGGTTAATATGTTAGCGCATATTCACTCACTATCATTAACTTTAGTGCTCCTAGCCTGACTCAGAATCTTTATTTATTCACCTATTATTATTTATATTCATTATCTTATCATTTATTGCATGTATGTTGTACCATCATTTATCCTGTAATAAACAGATCATTATTTTTCTAGGTTCTTGTCTGTTAGTGTTCTTCCAGAAGTGGAGTCCCTGAAATGAGAATTTCGGCTCAAGATATGAGATTGATTAACTAATGATTGACTTGATGTTTGATTTCTGAATTAAACTTTAGTTTTCTTTATTTTCCCACCATTAAGGGTGGGTGGTGCCCCTTTCAACGAGTGCATAAATGTCATAATTTGAGATTATTAATCTTCAGACATTTATTATAAATTCAAATTGCAACAACATGCAGTTACTGTCAGACTGGTTTGTGCTCGAGTCGTCTTTTTTCTGTGAAGCTCCATTTTTAAAAGTTATTAGGGGGTTCATGTTTTCTATGATTGACATCTGATACAGCCTATGGGCGTTCAGGGATTGTGTAGCTCACCCAGGGGATACGCTGTTTGAACCAAGCGTCATCACAGTGACTCTCGGCGACTGCACAGCCGAATGCGCGCATCGCTACTGCGCAGCGCTGGTTTCAGGGAACGAAGAAAAATCCCGGAAATATCGAGAGCTTTTTGGCTTTAAATCCGTACACAGGCGGAACCAAGTTGTCCATAGTATATACAGTCTATGTTCTAGACCAGTTAATGAATACAAATATCTTAAGGACCTTTTCCTCCTCTTTTAAATTCAAATTCA